CCGGTGAAAGTGCTATTCCACGGTTACATTCAACATGTGAATTAAACGGGTGGTAAAGATCATATCACCACCCCCTGGTAAAAAAAACATTAGAAATTGTTTGAGCAGATATTTATCAAAAACAAAATGTTTAAAACTTTAAATACATATATAGATAACTATTTGGTGCGACTTTTGACCTAATCATGACTTTTTTTTAGTTATCAATTTGATTACAATTTGTCAAGGACACATAATTGAAACAAACGTAGAAAAAGATAGAGTTTTCAGATAAGATTCAAACACTTATGGCTATGTCCTTGACAAGTAATAAAATTGAGAATCAAAAGTCATGAATGGGGGTGAAGTGAAGGCTGCCGAAACATCAACTGTTGTTTTCTTACCCAATAAGCTTAAGCATAGACTTTTTTCAAGGACGTAGTCAGAAGATGAGATAGAGAATACAACACATTTTTGATAAAGATTTTATAGAGAACACATGGTAAGATTATTTTGGCTGCCGGCTGCTACCACTTGATTAAATAGAACTAACGTTCACGTTAAACACTTCCTATTTTTTATGCATAAGATTATATTCTGAAGTGTATCTTTTTAGATGTTTCGTGGGGATTCCGTTTAAGTCATCGTTCTTAATTATTTAAGTCATATATATCCGCGTAGCTACTTTCTATAGTTTTGGTCGGCGTAGATAAAAGAGTTGCAATTAAAATAACCACGTTTTTAGTTACCTTTAGAATCTAGATCATAAAGGTGGACCAATTATAAATTATGATTCGATTAGTGAGACAATATGGTTTCGTTATTTTATAAAATAGTGAAGATATGCGGTCTATGTGATTGAAACAATTATAAATCTATCAAACCATAAATGTTTGAAACATCAAGTAAAGTCATGAAAAACGTGGGAATAGTGTTAGAGGAGAAATTAGCACATTTCCCTGAGCCCGTCATCATTAGTAAAGTCACAAAGCCCAATCCGATTTTAGGCCTAACATCTTCAAGAAAAAGGCAAGACTTGAAGAGAAAGGCACAATCCATGGAGAAATGTAAATAAATCTTCATGCCGACTTAAAGAATGGAAAAGATCCAAAAACAAGAGGGATTTTCCATATCGCAAAAGAGGAAGTTTTCCATCTCGCCTGAAGGAGAATATTCATCATTCGGCCGACTTATCAACCTATATATTGAAGACCCCCCCTTGGGAGAGGGATCCGAAATCATCTAGAATCACTAGGCTTTCACATTAGCTTTTACTCTATCCTCTTGTTCATCATCATAATCTCGCTAGGCTTGTTAGCGAGATTGCTCTCTTGTAATCTTCTTGATAATCTAAGAGTCGAATTAAGCGTTCCAGTTTCCTAAACTCACATCTTAGATAGCCCGTCTTGACGAGTGCTATCTCGGATTCAACAATTGGCGCCCACCGTGGGGCTGGAAACGCTTCTCGCTATTCATCTCGAAGATATCTAGATTTTCACGAACTAGCAACGATGGCGAACTCGAAAGAGAACACTCCCACCGGGAGCCCGTCTCCCTCAGAAGAAAACTTAAGCGACAGTCTACCAGCACGATAGACAAGTCGCTACCCGCTGAAGGTAGGGACAAGCCTGTCCCTACAAGAAACCCATCTTTCTCGCCACAGAGATCCGTCTCGCCGCGAAGATCGACTTCGCCGCAACGATCTCCTCCGCCAAGAAAGGACGAGAGCCCCCTCCGTCCGCACCACGCCGCTCGAGAAAATCTTCCTCGAGCGACAAACCCCGCAGCTCGAAGAAATCCTCCTCGAGCGAGAAGATCCTCAAACTCATGGAGAATCTCGTCAAGCCACTCGCCGACGGTTTCGAGTCAATGCGAGCACAGCAGAAAAAGACTCAGGAACAGGTGGAAGCCCTAGCACGAGAAGACGATGAAGATCCGTCAAGTCCCACCGACGGAACAACCCCCCGTCCTGCGCACTTCAGGCGACTTACCACCAAGAGCTTGAACGGGTGAATCGCGCCTCGACGAGGTCGATTCGAAAGTTCATCGCGCCACCAGCTCAGCTCCGGAATTGACGAAAGCACTCGCCGACACCCGAAGAAGCCCGCTCACCCGCAGGCTCCGCCAGATTGAGCTACACGAAAGAGTTCGACTCAAAATCGACTCTTACACCGGCGAAGAAGACCCCAAGAAGTGGCTAACCGCGTTCAACCTCGCCATGAGGAGGGAGAAATACAAATCTTACGATGAAAGGGAGGCCAACTACTGTCAAGTATTCGTCGAGCACATGGCGAAAGATGCCTTGACCTGGTTCTCTAACCTCCCCGCCGAGTCGATCGATAACTTCGACGACCTAACCAATGCTTTTCTGAAGCATTACTCCATGCACATGACCCGAATCACTCGGAACATGTTCACCACAACGCAAACCCAAGGCGAACCATTGCGCAGCTTTATGGAAAGGTTCAAACAAGCAGCTCGCGACACTGGCGACATGCCCGATAGCGTCCCGCTAGAAGCACTCCGCAACGGCCTCTGGTACGACTCCAAGTTCAAGGAGGATTTGTCACTAAAACCCCCTGCGACTCTGGAGGACGCGTTCCACCGCTCTCGGAACTACATCTTCCTCGAGGAAGACCAGCGCTTCTACGCCGAGAAACATGGAGATAGGAGGGCAACCTCGACGAAACCCAGAGAGGAACCCATGGAGGCACGAAGAAGACACGATCCAAAGAGGTCTCTCCTCACAGCGTTCGCAGCAGCCGACGACGAGTTCGAGCAAGAACACGCAGCGGCCGTTTCGATGCCACAAGACATCAACTCGCTCGGAGATGACAACGATACCAAAGCTTTCTGCAAGTTCCACGGGAGGACTGGCCACGCCACTGAAAACTGCAAACACCTAATGAGCAACCTCATGCGCATGTACCATCGAGGAGAAATCCCGCCAATGGACGGTGATAGGTCCCAAGGAAAAAGCTTCCCGCCGAAACCACCAAAATCTGGGCAGCAGGAGAAGCGCGGACGACAACCCCGTCCGAGGAAGGACGCAGAAAAGGCGGAAGCCCTTGGGAAAAGGAATCGTGATGACCACGACGACCTACCTCCACCACCGAAGCGACAAGTCAGCATGATCATGGGAGGCTTCCTGGATAACGACGATTCCATATCGGCGATCAAGGAATACGAACGAAAGGCCGTCGCGGCACAACGCTACCCGTATATCCATAAAGGGATCCCTACCATCTCCTTTCACGGATAAGGATGCGAGCGGGCTGGACATCCCTCACCTTGACCCACTCGTAATCACTCTACAGATCCACGACTGTGACGTCGCGAAGGTCCTGGTTGATACCGGGAGCACGGTGAACCTCATCTTTCTGGAAACACTGAACCGCATGGGGTGGAGGAAGGATCTATCAAACCTACATCCCGTCCCCTCACCGGTTTCACCGCCGAGCATGTTTACAGCTGTGGCACAGTCCGGCTCCCCGTTTATGTCGGCGGAATTTCAAAGCTCTTGAAGTTCATCGTCATGGACAAACCGGCCATCTATAACGCTATCCTCGGCACCCCATGGCTCCATGAAATGAAAGCTGTCATCTCGACGTTCCACCAATGCGTGAAGTTTCCGATACCCTCTGGAATTTTCACCTTACGTGGAGATCAAAGAGTGACGAGATCATGTTTCCTCCGCGAGCGCAAGCTCCGCACCGCGTCGTCCTGTATGATAACCGAGCCAGTATCGGACGACGAAACCGACGAGTCCAACGCAATAAAACGAGCCGTCGCGACGCAGAATGCAGATCCCCCGATCCATCGGCAAAGGAACTCCGAGCCCGCCTGGAAATCCGACTTAAGGTCCAGCTTTGCACTAAACACAAGGATCTCTCCGATCTATTCGAGATGGAGCAACTCGAGGACGAACCGCTACGAAGCTACCTGAACAGATTCAAGAGCGCGCTGCTCGACCTCAGGGACATTCCGGGAGCACCCCCAATCGCGGAACCGGTACTCGTCCAAGCCCTCGGAAACGGACTTCGATACGAATCCGGATTCTGGGAAGATATCCGCATCCGCCCCTCCCCAACTTTGAAGGACGCCTTCCTCGCGCTGAGAATTACATCGCCTCGAGCAAGACATCCCGCAGCTACGGTTCGACCCCGAAGATCCTCGGTTCCGGCTAAGAAACAAGAGAAAGTCATCATCCTCTCGCCCGGAGAAGTCCACGCATAAAGCACCAAGGTGCCATCACGAATCTCTCCCTCGCCGAGACGACGCCCCTGTCTACGATGGCGAGACCAGGAGAAACATGGAGAATCGCGCGAAGACTGATCGCCATGCACCCCCGCAATGCTCGTTCTCCGATCAGGAGATATTCGAGATCATTGCCGATATTCGAAGAACTCCCCTGACAAGCCGCCTATCCGAGGTACCACTGAAGAAGCGCGCTTCACTACACCTAAACTTCTATGACGGCCGAGAAGATCCCAAGCAGTGGATCACATCCTTCATGACGGCCATGAGAAGACAGAAATATACATCGCCGGAAGAACAAAGCGCGCACTTCTGCCAAGCCCTCGCCGAACACTTGCGCGGCGACGCCCTAACATGGTTCAGCAACCTCTGTGCCGACTCCATCGACAGCTTCGACGATCTAGCAGCCGCTTTCCTAAAGCAACACCTCCGTTTCGCATTAGACGACCTCGTCTTTTGCAAAACCGATGATGATACGATCTATGGTCTCGGCAAATTCGGTTCCGACTGGGAAGGACCATTCCGCATCGCGAAAGTCGTCAAACCAGGTATCTATCAGCTAGAAGACAACCTCGGCACCACGTCCGATCGCCTCTGGAGCTCGTCGGATCTGCGCAAGTTCCATGACTAGACGCGAAGCACCGCGCTAGCCAAAAAAAAAAGACATGTCCACATGGCATGAACATTTGTAACGAACTACGAATGGCTTGATCCCGGCACGGGTACGTAGGCAGCCTTTCTCACCAAGGGCGCAGCTATAATACTTAATAAAAATTTTATTAAAACCTTTTCTCTCGACAAGCGCGCCTCATTCTGGCATAAGCTGAAACTTGTCGACACCCAGCACGCACCCGTTTGACGTCAAACCAAGTTATTGAGGCAAACTCAATAAGCACTTGCACTTTGCACCCTAAAAACATGGACTGATCACCCATTCATTAAGCCGAGAGCACGCACCTCGCACGGCTCTCAGTTCGTCGGACGAGCGAAAAACCGCTACCTCGTCACCCGCACGAAGCTTTGAAGTCGGAAGCATAAATCGAGTTTCTAGAGCTCGTCGCTGAAAGTAGGTTTAACATCCTAAGCACACAGACCTAATACGCGCCGGTCGGTGTCTCGAATGAGAAGTCATGACGAAACCCGAAAGCATCGCGTCCAGTCATGACGCACTAGCACCATCACGCGCACCATGTCGTGATACACTTAAAGGTAACGAGTCATCCCGATAATCGAATTTCCTACTCGGTGACGACCAAGTACTTAATTCATTTTATGCGGTTGACGACACCATCGTCCTTTATTAAAAGACATAACCAAAAGCCGGATTACTTTCGTTGCGCTGCGAACTAATCAATTATGTCTAAAAGCCGTGACCGCATCACCACGCAAGCAAAAAAAAAAGAAAAAATCAATACTTAAAACATCTTGAGTATCTGCATAAATCTGAAGCACAAATCCTAAAGCATACGGATAAAAACCTTCCCAGGCAATGTTATTACAACAAAAAGGCCGCAGCCAAAAAGTCTTAAAACAAATAAAAATGGGGCCTAAGCAGACTTGGCCCCAGAAGTAGAGGGTCCCGCACCCGGATCCGCACCACCACCATCTCGACGAGAAGGAGATCCCGGCAGCACCAGCCGTTTAAGGCTACAAAAGCAGAGCAAACACATAAGCAAACATTACGCAAAGCGCAACATAACGAGAGAAGCAAAAATCTCACCTGTTAGGCGGAGCGAAGTCATCATCATCGATAACAACTTCGTCAATCGCATCCCCATCCGCGATGCTCTTCGCCAGCTTAGCCGCGAGCTTCTCCTCCACCGCGTCGAAGTTCAGATCCACTCCCCGAATCTTCTTCACGAAGTTGAGGAGAGCTTCGTCGACTTGCCTCCTCCCCACAGCGGCTTCAACCATGTCCCGCTGCGCGACGAACTCCGACAAGCGATGGAGGCGAGGAGCATACCAGTCATTCACCGAGTCGAAGACCTGAGTCACAGCCGCCTCGACCGATCTCGACGAGACCGTCGGAGACGCTCCATCTCAGCAGCAGAAGCCTCTGCATCCCGACGCGCTTCTCCTCCAGATCACTCACTTGAGCCCTCAGCTTGTCTGCTACCTCCTGGAGTCCGAGAGTCTTCACTATCTCCCTGTTCAGCGCCGCGACCTTCGACTCAAGCACCAGTTTATCCTGCTGCAAATCAGCCACCATTGTATCGACATCCTTGGCCATCTCCCGCTCTCGCCGCAACACAAAGGCTTCGTCCTTAGCTGCCCGAAGCGCCGTCTCGTACTTCTGGACCAACGCGGTGAACTTCCCGCCAGACATAATATGATGTTGAGCAGCTTCGTCGAAATCGGTCCTAAAGGTGAGCTCCTCACGCGGAATCCCCAAGCCGGGATGAACTTTAGACATCCAAGTCGCCCCTCCGCAAGCATCCTGGTCCTCCATAAGAGGACTCCCGCCATTCCACCATGTCTTGAACGCGTGAGGATTATAGCCCTCAGGACCATCCTTTGGAATTCCGGCGCCACCCTCAGCACCGAGGTTCGAGCCAGGAGCAAAACCACCCGCCTCCGAGTGACGAGACGCCTCATCATTCTCACCTGGACGCCGAGATGATTCCCCTCCTTCGAAACCACCACGATCACGCCGGTCAGAGGAGGGAACGCCACCACCAGGGGTGAGGAACTCGTCCCCCTTAGAAGGCGAACCACCACGCGCCGGAGTCCTCAAACCATCATCGTGATGAGAAGCACTCTCATCGTGATGGGAAGACTCGTCATGATCCGAGGAAGGAGGAGAGTCAAGCTCGATCACTTGCTCCGGAACGCCCTCAGGAACAGAAGTCGAGGCTTTCCTCGTCGAAGCCCTGCAAAGAACGTCCACGATTAACATCGGAATTCCTATCTCCTGAATCCATCAATAGGCGACTTACCTCGTACGCGACGCAATGGAAGAGCTCCGAAGGGGAGAAGGAGGAGAATCCCTCAGTCTGGGGGACTCGACCCTTTTCTTTTTAGGCGCCGGCTCGGAAGCAACGACAACGTCGTCAATAGGCACGGCCGCTCTCTTCCTAAGACCCATCGATTTCTTCTTAGAACGGGATGGCTTCGCTGCTACAAAACAAAGCAAACGTTAAGATACCCGAAGATAGAACCAAGCAAAAAAAGAGGAGAAGCAAACGCTTACTAGATATCGGAGTCGCAGGGATGGCAGATTTGTTTTTCCCTCCCTCTTATCTTTCCTCTCTTGCTTTTCTTCTCAAGCGCCGCCACTACCTCAGGCCACAATCGATGGCTGAAGCTCCTTCAGCAGCCTGAACTTCTCCTTGAGTTCGCCGTTCGGTCTCGCTCGCCTGGACGGTCCTGCGAAATAACAAACAACATCAGAAAACGCAAACTCAGTGAGCATAGATAGCAATTCTAATCAAGAATTCTACCCGGTGATTTAACCCATCTGTCCTAATCTGATCAGCTTTGATCTTCCCGACTGAGGCTCGGTTTATCTTCACAAAGAAGAAATATTTCTTCCACCAATGAATCTTGTTTCGGTAATCCCCGAAAACAATATCATACTTCATCGTGGTATGAAACCGCTTGAAGTTTCCCTCTCGCGACGAAGCCCGGAGATCAGTAACGTGCTCAAATAAGAGACGGTCGAATACAACTCCGGCGGCTCTAGCCAGGGCCTCGGTAAAAACGATGTGGCGAACCACGCCGTGGGTCAGTTGACTCGTAGGACGCCACGATCAGCCGCAAATTGCAAAAATAGAGGAGACAGAGGGAAGTTCATCCCAAACTCGGTGAACATGCACTCGTAAACGCACATCCACCCAGCCGGAGCATCGTAGGGCCTTTCGAGATGGCCAGGGATACGAAACTCCACGGAGTCAGGGAACTCAGCCTCCGCTATGAGGTCTCGAAGGATCTCCTCCGTCATCCACGACCTCCCATCGTGGATTAGGCCCGTAGGCGGCGTACGACTCGGCATCTTGATTACATCCGGGATGCCCTCGAGTCTCGCTTGGCTGACGGCCCCGCTCTTCGTCTTCATCAGAGTCGGTTTCGTCGCCGGAATCATGCTCTTCCCCCTCTGTCTCTCAGTCTCTTCCCGACGCTCGGCTTCGGCGGCGACTCTCGCCGCTTCCTCCATCTCGCCACCTCGACCACCTTCTCGGCCTCAGCAGCGGCCGTCGCTTCATCCACGCCGTCTTCCTGCGACGCTCCGCCGCATCCGCTTGGATGGCTCCACCAAGAAGCCTCTCCGGACGAGCGGAGGATCGCGTCTGACGCGCAATCGAAGCAATCGTCTCATCGCCGTCATCCATGGCGATGCCCTTTCCCTTTCTGTCTTTGGATTCATCTCAATTGAATGAAGGATCGGAAAAACTCGACGACCGAGACGAAATATTTGACGAATCGAAAACCCTAAAACCCGAATCGGCGGGCGGATGAAAGACGAAATCGGAGCACAACCTAACTAGATCCAAGCAATTCGATTCCCTAGTCCTAAATCCCGGAGAATCGATTCGAGAAATCAATCGAGGCAAGATTTGAAGTCGGATTGCGGAAGTTACCTTTGATTCGTCGGGACGGTTGAGTGAGAAGAAGAAAAGAAGCAAAAATGAATAAAGGAAATTCGAACGGTCTCTTAATAGAGATCGCGCGACTTCCAAGGGACACAACTGCCCTTATGAATTTTTTATTCATTTCTTTCCCGCTCAATGGAAAAGCACTAATGGGCTTGGGCCTCCGCGCGATTTAATCGACTATCGGACTCAGCCCACGCAATTGCAAACAGGTCCGCTTGGGCAGTGACGTGGCAAAATCGCCCAGTCACAGCTGAAAACCGAACCCGTCATAACATTCGAACCAAGAAAGCATTTTTGGTCGCGGCAAAAATCATTCGAAGCACATTACTTATGAATTAGATGACGTCAACGTACTCTTTTTCCTTTTTATGGTTTTTGTCCCAATTGGGTTTTTCCGTACCAAGGTTTTAATGAGGCGGCACGAATCTACATTCAGCATGCACCTAGGCACTAAGATCCGATTGAAGTGATGTATTTTACTAATGATTCTCAAGCTCGTCCTCTATTCATGAAGCTCGCCGAGATCAAACTACATTTGACCTGCCGAGCTGGCGGGGGGACTTATTGTTAGAGGAGAAATTAGCACATTTCCCTGAGCCCGTCATCATTAGTAAAGTACAAAGCCCAATCCGATTTTAGGCCTAACATCTTCAAGAAAAAGGCAAGACTTGAAGAGAAAGGCACAATCCATGGAGAAATGTAAATAAATCTTCATGCCGACTTAAAGAATGGAGAAAGATCCAAAAACAAGAGGGATTTTCCATATCGCAAAAGAGGAAGTTTTCCATCTCGCCTGAAGGAGAATACTCATTCGGCCGACTTATCAACCTATATATTGAAGACCCCCCCTTGGGAGAGGATCCGAAATCATCTAGAATCACTAGGCTTTCACATTAGCTTTTACTCTATCCTCTTGTTCACCATCATAATCTCGCTAGGCTTGTTAGCGAGATTGCTCTCTTGTAATCTTCTTGATAATCTAAGAGTCGAATTAAGCTCCAGTTTCCTAAACTCACATCTAAGATAGCCCGTCTTTACGAGTGCTATCTCGGATTCAACAAACAGTTTGATGACCTAAAAGATAGATAAGGACAGTTTTGATTGTAGTATGGAGCAATTCGACGTCGTTGACTCATGAATTTCTTTATTATTATATTTTCTTTTGTTTGTGATGGCGGTTTTTCATTACTGAGAGTGATTGATAACTACATTCATTAAATATAGTATCTAGGTATATTTAAAAGGTGTGGCTGTTTATTGTGGTTGATGTTTAATATATATGCTTACAAAGTGTAAACTCATTATTTTATTTTTTAATCTTAAAATATGTGTCTGCAAATGTTTCACACTTCCATATATATCACCATCCAACTACGCTGAAAGTTGGATGACAACAAAAAATATTTAGAGATTTGTTTTGGTTTTGACAGAATATCTAATTTTTTAAATTCAAGAATTGGATATCATATTAGTGTTGAATCTTGAATTGTGTTCGTTGTGACCTATTCTCGAATGGATTTGTAGTATACTGTATGAGATTTTTTTTTTCGTATTATATATATTTGCTATGTCACGTATGAGCTGACAAAAACGAATAAAATAAATTATCACCATGACATGGTTCCCATCTATGAATTAAATGGAGATGAAAGAAAAAGAAAAGAAATGAAAAGAGAAAGTCATTGATAACTTTCTCCCATTATTAGTAAGGGTTAATTGTTTTGAGCATGTGATGATAATGGGTCTAAATGGTAACCGAGGAATCTTGCTGAATGCGAAATCTGGCTGAATAAAATGTTGAATATTTGTGAAATTTGGCTGATTAGTTAGTAATATGAATGGTAACAGCTGAATGTTGTTGAATGCGGAATGCGAAATAAATACCTAACAAATTATTTGTGTAACGGAATAACAAAATATTTACCTAATTAAATTAATAAACTACATAAAATCATAAACTTATGAAATAACTAAATCATAGTTCAATAAAATAATATTTTTAAAACATATTAATTTAGAAACTTGGATTTCTAATAATTTTTAAAAATATGAAAGTTAAAAAGTAAAGATATACATATAAAATATATAATATTTATAATATTAACAATCTAATAATGAAAATCATCACATATTTCCGTAAAAAAAAAATCATCACATATTTTCTCATTAATTCATTTCCGTATTGTATGCATGTAGATACCATATGTTGTTTTTTTATATTCTTGTCCAAAATTTATGTGCTATAAAAACTTCAAAATCTCTATGAAATCTTATTATAGTTGTGTTTATTTTAGACTAAAATAATTATTATTTAGTACATTATTCTTGGATATGTCTTTTTAAACATTTTTCCTAAATCCACATTCATAAATTTATTTTTTGGATTCATAATTATATTACTAAGATTGAGTTCTAAACTTTCCAAAAACCCGAAATATTCGTAGCTAATCGGATCGGATGACCGAATAATTTGCCCATATTTTTTTTCTTTCTTTTGTGACATTCCACAAAAGTAATTCGATAACTAAACACATTCTATAATTATTTTTTGGTAAGGTGCATAAAAAATTGTTATGTATGGTATTTTTGTATATGAGTATATTCATCTATTGTTCTTTCTTATCATTGCAAAAAAAAAAATATATATATATATATAATTGCATTTGTCAGGTAAAACATCATGGAGAAATTTCAAAACTACACCTCTTGAGGTGTCAATTTTCAAAAATACACCTCTATGGTACCAATTTTCAAAACTACACTTTTTTCATTGAGTAAAAGAACTCTAAATCCTAAAATATAAATCCAAAACCCTAAAATCTAACATTGAACCCTTAAATCTAAACCCTAAATCCCAAAATTTAAACCTTAGTCTAGGAATAGTGAACCCAAACATATATATTAAAATTGGGGAAGGGTGTATTTTTGAAAATTTCCACACTATAGGTGTAGTTTTGAAAATTTGTACCTTAAGAGGTGTATTTCATAAAATTTCTCAAACATCATCAAAATCAAAATACATATTTATTAGTTGTGTTCATTTCGAATGATCAGTAGCTCATAAACTTCAATTAACAATTATAGGTAGAAAACTAAAATAATATAAATGCTGCATTTGTAATTTTATTGATTTGTTTTATTTTAAAAAAGATTATCCACATCGCTCCACATTCCACAAACTCAACTGGTGACATTACAAAATAATTCAGCTACATTCCTCACCATTCCACAATTCCTCTGTTACCAGTTATGGCCAATACCTACACGTCACAGAATCGAAAGAAGTTGACGTGCACCCGAAGAAATGAATACAATTTAAGTAGAGTAACCAATTAGAATGCGATAGCAAATATGTTGTTAATCTTATATACAATTACAGATTTGTTTCCTTAGATGTTCACATCAGCAAATAAATAAAAATATTAAATTAAATTTAAAATATTTATTTAATACATTTCTATTCATATTTTTCCATACTTCTATTTAAAACATATATTAAATAAATAAAAACACACAAATAAATTAAATATGGAACTGATATATGTTTTAGCTAGAACTCATATTCTACAGCCGGCAGAAGACAGGAGTTTCAGTAGAACATGATTCTACGGTTTTAGAAGATTTATAACACCGTAAAGCATATATGAACAAATATGAGTTCCGTAAAGCATACATGAAGCATATATAAAACCGTAAACCAAATCTACTGAATCGTAGAATATAGTGTATTCCGTTGAATTCATATTCTACAGAAATAGCTGAATGAACAAATGGTAGAAGTCATATTTTACAATCTGTAGATGTTAGAATACTTAGTAGAAAATGCGTTCTACTTTGAATTTTGATTGATAAGAACCTAAACCTAAATTCCTCTTCTTATTGATAATAATATGTAGGCGTACAATGATAGGTGTAGAACAACCAGAAGCAAGGTCTCATAAGTCATAACGATCTATACAAGACTCATAACGTCAAAGCCAATTACAACTAGAATATTCAGTATGATTATTAAAAAGACAAAGCCAATATATTTAATTATTTATACTAAACGATATGAGAAAACTTTCCCTTTTCTTCAAGAGCTTAAAGAAGTTTTATAATTCTTCTTCATTTTTTTCTCTCAACAAAGGCGGTGGTTAACTCTCCTTGGGCCTATCAATACCCCCCTTTCGAAGACCCAACTTGAGGTAGAAAACTCCATCAAATCTCCAAACAGCTTATTGTTTTCTTCCTGCAATTCACCCAAGTCTTCTAATACCTCCATTGGGAACCCATTAATGACAGTAAGAACTTGGAGCTATCTTTTTGAACAAGGGTGACCTTTAAAGAATTGTCCTTTATACTTGAAACAGATCTTGTTTCTCCTATCATCATGTTCTGCATCAGTGTATCTTTGCCGTGGGCGCAACTCTACCGGAGAGTTAGATGAACCAGCCTCTGTTATTTTGTTTCCCCAAGTAATCTGCTCCACAGAATTTCCCACAAGGTTGTCTTGGCTATAAGAAGATTTTTGTGGCAGAGAAAGTGTAGTAGACTTAGAAGGAGGTCGAAAGCTGCTCTGTGATTTAAGCTCTCCCATTACCTTACAAAAACAGAAGATTGCATCTTCATAGCTTCTTTATGTTTGGTTAACCCTTCAGGATCCTTCCGCTTAATCACTTCCTTCCGAGAACCTAGTGATGAATTTCCATGGTTAAGAAGAGGAATAGATACCTTAGGTGAATCAAACGATGATGAAGTAGTGCCTTTGCCACAATTTTGACCCGAGAAGGCAAGAGCTTCGAGTCGAGAGAGAGTTTCAGTAATTCCGGTCATCTGCTTCTCCATAAGACCTAATCGTGTCAACATCTCCTTGTGTGACAACGACATCTCCTCACAGCCCACCTTTATTGCTGCGACTTCTCCATGGACGGGGTGTCAAAATGGGTAACCCGACTCAACCCGACTCTAACCTATACAGGTTTGAAAGTTATAGGGTTGGGTTATGACCCGACCCATTTATTTTATAGGTATTAATTTGTAACCTAAACCCAATTATATTAATACCCATGAGTTAAATGGGTTATATGGGTACCTATATATATGAAAAATGAGAATATTTTTTTTTTATATTTTTGATATAAATGAGTAATAATTTTTTTAAAATACAATATATATATTATTAAAAATTCAACAAAAACTTCCAAATAACAATTTCATAGTAATATTTGTGTAGTAAAACAAAACAAAATATTCATAAATATATAAATCATAAAATAAAACCGCTTGTTTACATTTCTAATGATAAATTTATGGATGTTTTATATTTGAAATGATAAATTTATGAATATTTTACATATTTATAATTTTTTTCTTTTTTTTTGATAAACCATGGGTAACCCATAACCCTAATGGGTTTACCCGACAGACCCATAAATTATTAGGATCAACCCACTAAAACCCATTTATTTATATGATTAAAAAAAATTCAACCCAAACCCATTAAAAATTTTGACCAACAGGGTCGGTCAACCCATGGGTAATGACCCATTTTAACATCCCTGCATGGAGTTCTCCCAAAGCACCATCGAGCTGTGTAATTTGTTCCTCACACTCCTTAACAGTCATGATTGTTGCAAATCTAAAGCTTCAACCGCGTATCTGTCCGAACCAGTAGTATCAAGGCTACGGCAAACGACCATCGAAAACCGGCATATCAATCTTCTTCAACATACTATCACGATTCGCTACAGAACTAGTGATTCCCCGAGAACCTAGTGATGAATTTCCATGGTTAAGAAGAGGAATAGATATCTTAGGTGAATCAAACGATGATGAAGTAGTGCGTTTGCCACAATTTTTACCCGAGAAGGCAAGAGCTTCGAGTCGAGAGAGAGTTTCAGTAATTCCAGTCATCTGCTTTTCTATAAGACCTAATCGTGTTAACATCTCCTTGTGTGACAACAACATCTCCTCACAGCCCACCTTGATTGCTGCGACTTCTCCATGGAGTTCTCCCAACACACCATCGAGCTATGTAATTCAGTCCTCACACTCCTTAACAGTCATGATTGTTGCAAATCTGAAGCTCCAACCGCATATCTGTCCGAACCAGTATCATGAGCGCACCAATTTGATAAGAACCTAAACCCAAGTTCATCTTCTTATTGAGATTAATAGGCGTACAATGATAGAAAATGATAGATAGGTGTAGAACAACTAGAAGCAAGATCTCATAACAACCTATGCAAGACTCATATCGTCAAAGCCAATTAAAACTACAATATTCAAGATGATTATTAGAAAGACAGTATATTTTAATATTTTATACTAAACGAGTATGAGAGAACTTTCCTTTTTCTTCAAGAGCTTAAAGAAGTTTGATAATTCTTCTTTTTTATTTTCTCTCAAAAAAGGCGGCGGTTACCTCTCATTGGGCCTATCAAAGATATTAACATTGACATGGTAAACCCTTAACTATAATGATGATCTCGATAGCGTTTCTAAGCTAGAAAAAACTCAGAGATATAGATTGATATAATGCAGAAAGCGGAAGAAGCTCTTGTAAAGGATTCCGATGATCCTGAATATAAGCTATTGAGAATGAGATTGTCATCGTCCACAACTTTATCCTAGACAAGTACAGACCTAAGTTCCAAGAGCTTGAGTCATAGGTACAAACCCAATCAATTATGCACGTGTTGTGAAGAAGATTGGCGATGAGACAGATTTAACCCTTGTTGGCCTTTATCTCCTTGGTCAGTCAGGTAATATTATGGCTGTTTCAATTGCTGCTTTAACCACAAAAGGGAACCCACTGCCAAATGGAGTCTTGCAAAAGATGTTAGAGGCTTGTGATCAAGTTCTTGATCTTGATTCCGCAAGGACCAAGGTTCTTGAATTTGTTGAAAGTAAGATGGGATCTGTGGCACCAAATCTCTCGGCCATTGTTGGGAGTGCTGTTGCAGCCAAGCTCATGGGAACAGCTGGAGGTTTCACGGCACTTGCAAAAATGCCTGCTTGTGATGTTCAAGTTCTTGGCCACAAGAGGAAGAACCTTGTTGGATTCACATTAGTGTTAGAGTCACCAAAAAACTCAAAGAAAGACGATATACAGGTGGTGCTACTACCTCTGGTTTGGCTTTCACTCTTGTGTAGGGAATATACCCGACCCAAACAGATGGGCCATGTGCCAAAAATAAATAAATTAAAAATTTAGTTATATAATTTAATAATTCTGAAAATCTGGACTCTTAAATGCACAATTTTAGAAAATTTAGGACCCTATATTGTAATTAAAAAAACAGATGAAAAAGGTGGGACTCGGTGCTTTTGCACTGGGTGCACACCCCAAAGGCCGGACCTGGCAGGGAATAGAGTTGTGCAATCTTCAGGCATTAGGATTAGGCAGTGGGATTCAAAGCACTTACTTCTCAGAGGCAGGAACTTTCTCCAAATTCGAATAAGATTTAATCTTTCCATGTAGAAAGAGACAATTTTTCAAGTGTTGAAAAGCCAAATAGTACATCTCAGTAATGAACCTCTATTTATTTTATTTTTTCTGATAAGTGAAGTTCTATTTGATTACCAAGAGAGTTACCTTCATTTTTGTAAACCTTTTTGTAAATCATGTACACAAAAGATTATATTAGAAATTAATCAAAACTCTCGATTCTTTCTAAATATTCAGTGACTAACAAAATTGCATTAGATTAAGCACTTGTGTTGCTGATGAAAGTTGCCGGTTTTGATTCAATATATGGTTTCCTTTCCGAGTTTGTTTTCACAAAGCTTGAACCCGATACCACCATCAAGGAATCCACTGCTGTATCATCAAGGAATTCATTAGTTTAAGCAAGTATTTTTTAGTTACCTAGGTTGAAATTTTATAATATTCAAATTTGTGATAAAAAATATTTAAATATTCAGACTTTTTAACTAAGTTAAATTTTTTCAAATATTTTAATATCTTGATATAATATTTTCAACTTTTTAATTGTGAAATATTTACAATAATAAATTTTTTATTTGGTTTAATTATATAGTTTTATTAAAAAACCATATGAAATGAAACCAAATATATTGATAAATTTGGATACTTATTACATTAAAGTTACATATCTTATGATTTCTTATCATTTTGGCTCTTTTTATAATAGTCTTTTGAACTATCACACATCTTCATTTCCAGTGTAAGACTTTGATGATATAATTATTATTTTCATCAATTTAGTAATTGATATCTGTTTTTATAAATTCAAATAATAATTGTGTAACAAAAACGTAATTTGTTTTAGTATATGGGTAATTTGATAAATTATTTATTTTTATAAAATTTAGTCCAATCAGAAAATGAGAGAAAACTGTAGTATTTAAGAAAATAATTAATTTGATATATTTGACAAGATATGAAAAGAATAATAATATGTTTATGATTAAATGCTGAAATATGTATTGATATAAACTATTCTCTAACCATGTAAAAAAAAAAAAACTATTCTCTAACCAAATAAAGCAATGACATATAATGTAAATATTCTAATAATGTGTCTTAAATAAAATTATCCTTGAGAATGACCTGATGATGACATATCAATATTAGATTTCTGTTAATACCACATGAGAGATGTTACTTTTATACTGTTTTATATTTCAATATAATAGAGATAACAAATGATAATTAGGTCTAGGTAAAATCATGGATTATAACACAATATTTGCTTATAATAAGTCTGTTAATATTAACTAGGTGAGATTTGAATGGTAAACAAATAAGACATTTATGCAATAGAACATAATGTAAACTAGGATTTAACCCGCACAAATGTGCGGGGAAAGCGATTGTTTTTTTTTATATAAGGCATCTATGACATTGTTATTGTAATTCTGAAACTTATAATTCCTTATTCGAACCATCGAAAGAAGGTGGTGAAAGTTCTATATCTTCATAAATAAATAGAGAAGCAATGGATGACATAGTTGAAGTAATGTGTGTGCACATTGAAAAGAATCTTGTGAAGATGTTAAGATCTTGCTCCTCATACAATGCGATATCGATTATGAGCGATGAAGTCTGCTTCTTTGGTGTTAATATAATTCTCTCTTAGATAAGGTTTAACATGAAACAAACACGAAACAAAGAATAATCCCTGAAAGAAAGGTTTAACATCTTGGGACATTCTACTTAAGAATAATGATGCCGATCAACTCTTATTGTCGCTTTTACAGCCATTGAAATAATCGTAGATTGTTACATCATCTTCTTCGCTTTCGCTGTCTTGTGCGGAAGTGTTCCTGCAGAGACGCATAACAAATCATTAAGTAGTGTAATATTAAACTTTTAGTGTTTTCATTATAATAAAGATTAGAGAGAGTCATAACTATGATACTTACATTATATCAATGAAATGGTCAACCTCATCAAAGCCAGTAGGATTGAATTCAAATGTAGAAATCCCTTCTTCACTCTCGATATCAACACGACCTACACATATAAGTTATAACATCCCATCACGCTCAATATCATAAATTAGTATTACTCAAGTAATGATGTTTTTGGAAATTTACAAAAACTAACCGGATCTATCAAGAACCCGCCAATCGTTTAAAAGACATATGATGGGTTCTGCTTTACCATAGTAAATCCAAAACCGTTTAAGCTTAGATGCTAAGGCAAGGCACCCTTTGCACGACATTCTTATTTGTTCCCCACTAAATTAAGCAAAAATAGAGTATGGATTTCAAGTTAGAATTCAGAATTGCCCTTCAGAAACTGGTTAAACTTTAGGATCGTGTAAAAATACTTACTCGTTGTCCTTCAGAGTAAAATCTATCGTGTTGTTGGTCTTAGGAGCATCATTAAATGGATTGCTAGGAATAGATTCATCTTCCGTCACCATTGTTTCTTCCACTTCAACTATAATCCCTAGAAAGTCTACCAAAAACAGAGCAATAACATTAAGAAATAGAAAGGTAGATTTCGTATAAGGTTCGTCGGTTATATGAAATACCTCTTGGGAAATAAGTTTGTTCAGCATTCCATAGATTCGAAACATATTCGAAAGGCACGATGTCAAGCGGAATTAAAGCATCTGAGTCCTCTACGGGTGTGACTTGAGTGTTGGACGTGAGGGCAATTTTCATTCTGGCTTCTGTCAAACAGATATCAGTATTCACCATCACCACAGACAATCCACTTAGAATCTTCCACTCCCCTTCATGAAGACATGACTTAAATCTTCTCATCTGATTTGTTTGTTCAACAAATGCATGCATCTTTGTGCCCTGATTCAAAGCAAGTGCCAATTAGGACAATGATTTTGACAGGAACAATGGAATTCAATATGAGATTATATGAATAGATTGAGAACAAACCTCTTAGTCAACAAAAAGAAAACTTAGACCTTCACCCTGCTCTGCCTCCAACGTATCCCACTTCTTTGAAACTTTAACAAAAACACTAACCTCAGGTCTGTTAGGTGTCACGTCCTTGAGTTTCGTGAAGTTTGCCATTGAAGTTGTGTTTTGAGATTTAGAGATGATATTTTTCTTGTCTAAAACATAAGTTGGAGGATGAATCTTCTTATATAGAGAATAAATTTAGGGTTGAAAATAAAATTCCGTGGGTAGAATGGAAACGACGCGATGGTAAAGCTATTTCCATTTTCTTGTTTAAAAATTTACATTGTGCTAACAATGATTATATCTACGAATATTTTCCATAATATGCTCTGCCTTCCTTTCCGGAATAGACGTTAGAGTTAATATTATCATGATTGCATATCTCTAAAATATATTGGAAAATAAGATTTCCTAGAGTAGGTGAAAGGACAATATATCGACTTTGGTTATTTCCCAAAACAACAAAAAATCTAATCTCTCGGATCAGACCAGAGAGTTAATTTTTCTCATGGTAACTTAACTGTTTTGGTAAATGTAAATCATATACAGTAAGACAAAATAAATTTGGGAGACCGTTAGGATATTATTAAATAGATGAAGAAATTCAAAGATAGGAAGTAGAAAATTCATAGAAAGTGTTTAAGCAATCATAAACTGAAATAATAATAAGTTCAAAACAACATCACAATTAAAATGAAGTAATTGAGGATATGAAAGTAGTATTTCATGGAGATACTATAACCACCTCCTCAACAGAACCATCACTGTCATTGAAACTGCAAAAATTATGTTTACCATTATCTGTATTAGTTACGATGAACGTAAAACACAATAAACTAATGACTATAAAGATATTGTAAATAGATTCATTGTTTACCATCAATTTGGCAAAAGATTTCTAACTTACTATTCAGCGCTGAAGTCATAAACATCCTGATACTCAGCATTGAACTCAAATCTAGATATTCCTCTTGCGTCCTTAATCTTCAGGTCACCGGTTCCTATCATTTGTTTTAATAGTTGAAATCGTAAGTAATAACGTTAAAGACTTTGTATTAATTTTAGTAACTATTTCGAAATTATGAGATTCAAAGATTGCATACTCTGTTCTCCGTAAACCATCCAGTCGCTCATTGTGATGAATGTTTCTGTTGTACCATGATACCACCATTTGTCATATAGCTGATCCGCCAATACTTCATAAGCTTTGCATTCCAGTGTGACACCACTAAATTCAATACGTTAAAAAACAGTTCGGTCTCAACATCCGCAATATGTTTTCTCCAACTAAACTATATTTGGCTTCCCTTACTCTAAGCCCTTTATCGTGAACATGACTCTAGAAGTCTTCTTGCCAGGAGCTAGTCTAAAGTTGTGGTCGTTCACTGTTTTAATCTCTTCAACGCCATCGAGATAGCCTATAAGATCTAGTATTCATTCAAAACATACTGTTAAATTGTCTGACACTAAATTTACTAAGGTTGTCCTTCTCTAACAATAGTAAACAATATATTCCATTTTCCAATAGAAATATGTATAGACGTATTCAGTTACCGATAGGATGATGCGAGTTGTAGACTCCATTCTTTATGTCAGTGTAGTCCTTGAACCTCATGTAATGGTCTTGGTGAACACCAGTTGACGCATGCAGATCTGTATCCTCGGTGAAGATGATGGTATGATTATTCTCTGAGAACAGTGAAGGAGGTGGTGTTAACTCAACGATGAATCCTGAGATAATCATCAAGTGGCCTTCGTGTAGATTGAAGTCGAAATCGTCATTAAGGCCAATCTCAGGACTAACCTTAGCAGGTATTTTTTCATCCTTTTCATTTGATAAAGTAGAATTGAATTAGTTGATAATACATCTAGGTATTAATATTAGTATAGATAAAGCATTAGACTTATCTACGATTATTAAAAAATTGGAATTGTGAGACTTACATGTTCATCGACTAAAAGAAACCTCAATATGTCTCCACCTCCTACTATCATCTCGTTCCATTTTTTCAAAACCTTAACTTTTATGATATAATCATTCCAGTGAGGAGAAATCTCGGCAATCCTAGTAAAATTTGCCATGTTGTGGATGATTTTCTTCAGTTTTCGTTTAGACCCTCATAAAGAAAGAGTTAGGAACCGTTTTATATAGGGAGATGATTAGGTTTCACCCTATTTTGTTATGCCTCTGTTTTTTTTTATGTAAACTAAATATTCGAGCAATATATTTGTTACGATTCTGTTTTTTTTTTTTTTACTGTAAACTAAATATTTAAGCCATATATTCGCATTGATTGATGTTTGTCAGTTTTGTCTTCTCTATGCAAACAGGGAAAGCTAAGGAGCCTATAGTATCACACGCAAATGTGACAGTTATTCGTTTACTAAATCTCCTAATTAGTCCAATTTAATCTACTCGCAACCTTAACTTCGTTAATATCTCTGTTAATGGGCTCAGGTCTGTTGAAAATGGGCCACAATTCTTATCCGTATTTTACTCAATAATACAGATGATTTAAGAAGATTATTATTGAAAACAAAAGTTCAAAATAGTCCCCAAAGATAATTTAATCAAAAGACATCGACAAACGGGATTTAGAAGAGCAACACAACATAACAATTTAAGTTGAACTTATTTTTCTTCCAAGTGAAACAAAGATTTTAGGGAGACAGAACCACCAGATCAACACTCGAACCATCACTCTCTATGCCTGTTGGATTACTCTAATCAAAACTGCACGAAATATGTTTATATCAGTTTTATTAGTTACAACGAAAAATATTAAACTCTAATGCTAATTTATTGTTCACTTACTATGCTGCGCGGAACTCATAAACATCCTGGCAAATAGCATTGAACTCAAATCTAGATATTCCTCCAGCGTCCTTAATCTTCATCTCATTTGTTCCTATAAGTTGGGAACTGAGTTAGTCATGATCATATTCTATCTAGATGTTATCTTATGTAACTTGACATTCTCTACTTAGAAATTCCAAACATGATGTATTACATACCTCTGTCCTTGTAAACCATCCAATCACTCATGGTGATGAATATTTCGGTTCCACCATGCCTCCACAATTTTTCATAAAGTTGTATCACCAAAACTCCATAGGCTTTGCATTCCAGTGTGCGACCTCTAACCATAGAGAGTATATACATATCTATCATTAATATCGCATGCACAAATCCTTCTCATTTAAACTAAGGTAACCAAATAATGAAATTGATCCACTATAGTTACCCAAGATCCTTGATCGTGAATGTTACTCTTGATGTCTCCTTGTCATCACCTAGTGTAAAGGTATGGTCTGTCACAACCTCTATTACACTAACTCCATCGAGATAGCCAAGGAGATCTATTACAAATAATAGTTAGAGTGTATCTAGATATTTAAAAGAAGATATTTAATACTGACATACGAATATTGATATCAACAATACTTTTTGACGAACATTAATATTCAACTTTTTAAACACATACCAATTGGATAGTTCGAAGTATAGTCTCCATTCATTATGTCAGTGAAGTTTCTGAAGTTCATGTAATCTGCGCAGACACCCCATGAACTCTGCAGATGTGTATTCCCTGTGAAGATGATTGTATGGTGATTCATAGCAAAACGAAATCCAGGAGGTGACAACTCCACGGTAAATCCAGTGATGATTTTCCATTGTTCCTCGTGCAGCGAAAGATCGAAATTCTCGTACAGACCATCTCCTGGACTGACCTTGGCAGGTATTTTTCCACCCTAACCATGAAACAACTTGTATTGTTAGAAGTACATAAAGAAAGCTAATAGGGAGGTTAGATCAATAACGCTGTCATCAACATGTTAAAAAATCATTTGTAGGAAAAAGAGACTTACATGATCATCTACTAAGAGAAAACACAATATGTCAACACCTCCATCAATCATCCCGGACCATTTTCTCAAAACTTTCACCCTAATTCTCCGGTCATTCCTGTGAGGAGTAAGTTCGTTGATTTTCGATATAGTTGCCATTTCTGAAGATTTGTTGTGATTCTCTATTCTTACCAAACACGAAGTATTGAGTTATTTATAGAATGTAGAAGATTTAATTTTTTTGACCGTTGTGAAATGAATATAAAAAACAGAGCGAATTCCAACGTTCGGGTCAAGATGAATCCTTTATGCCATATTAAAAATTTGCAGCTTTTCCTCTGTTCATAGAGGTGACAAAACTTGGAAATTAAATTTTACTCTTTTCCAAAATATTTTAGTTCGATATATCCTTGTTCATATATTTATTTATTAACTGATTCACAGTAATTCACGCAAATGTGCGTGGAAACTAGTTCTTTTTGTTGATATAAGGCAACGGTTACATTTTTGTTGTAATTCTGAAAGTTTAAATTCCATATTCAAACTCACTTAAGAAAGTGGAGAAAGTTTAATAAATTCATAAATATATTAAAAAGCATTCGATAACTGAGCTATAAAAAAGCATTCGATAACTGAATTATAAAAAAGCATTCGATATATTCCTCAGAATAATAGAGTTTTGAAAAATGGAAACATCGAACATAATAATAGTGTTTAAAAAGGATAAATGATTAGAATCCGGTACGAATAGCAAAGTGTTGATGCGGGGACATGATCCCTTCGTCTTGTGTTGTAGTGAAGATCTTGCCCTCATACAATGCGATTGCGATTATGAGCGATGAAGTGTGCTTCGGCAGTGTTAACTGTTTGTGATGGTGCTTTCAAATGCTGAGAAGTTATCATAAACCTGTTACATCAAATTAGTTGTAAAAGTATTAGTAATGAGTTGGCAATCTCCAATTTGTTGTTTTCTTAGCACTTACTTGTCCTTCAGTTCTTGCGCATGGGAAAACGTGGATCAAATTCGAATCTTGAAATACCACCTCCATCAACAACATGATTCCATCCTATTCATTAAGTAGGACACCATTATAACTAACAAAAGTATGATTACATCAATTAAACAGTTAAATACGATATATACTGCTTACCTTTGCTGGAGATAGCTCTCCAGTCTGTTAACTCACATACAACCACATCATTTGGATTCTATGGTACATCTCATAGAAATCGGTAGCGATCTTCCCACTTGCAGAACATAGTATTTCTCGATTCCTAAGGAAAGTATATGAACATTAATGTGCTATATATGTCCTAAATAAGATACAATCATCACATATTTTTGGTTGTTAAAGTACTTACTGGAGATCACGGATGCGAAAATTGACTTTGGATTTCATTTTGTTTCGTGACCAAAAACTCATCTCTCACCGTGTGAAGAACTCCAACATAGGAGACTACACCTATCAAATCTGTAGTTCAATGTTAAAATGTGGACAGAAAAGTCGATGTATTAAAAGAATGAAATTTAAAAGAGGCTTACTAATAGGTAATGCATAATCAGCACGTAAAGCTCATCACAAATGTGAAAGGACGGTGTTCAGTAACATAACTCGATACTCTTGGTGATATTTTTTGTATCTTAGTGTTAGAATCCATCATAATGCACCATCCATGAGGAGAATTGACGACGGAAAACTTGGATAGGCTGTACCATAATCCTTCATCGAGTTGGTCATCAAACATGCCAACGTATTCAGTGCTTGTTACGGAGGCCTGGATCCTTGTACCCTATATGAGAAATCATATATATAAGACATATAATTAGTTTCTTCATTTTTTAAAAATATCCTGTAGTATAGTATACTTCAAAAAAAACTTACTGCTTCGTCGACAACCATTGCATAAAACCCTCAACACCTCTTGGACCAGCATCAACCCACTTCTTTAAGACCTTCACACCAACGTCGTGTTTGTGACCATTGAGTGCAAATCGGCTACCATCATGTAAGAAGCCATGTGGAGGAATGTGTTTGATCGAAAGTGAAGGGTTAAAAATGGGAGAGATATGTGAAAAGGCGCCGTACAATGAAACACAAAGTGCAAGTGTTTGAGATATTTATAGAGTTGTCCACCTTTTAGGGTTTAAATCGTCGCAAGTAATCGTATCCCTTGATACACGGTTTTCTTAATACGTTTTTCTTTAATTGAATATTATTAATAAATGTAATATTAGAATATATCTTCCGCATATTTGTGTATCTTACGAATTTGGAGAGTGATATTTAAAAGGACGGGAAAATGCATGCATCTTGAAATGGTATTTCTCATTTCATTAACGAAGTATGAAGTCCTTAATAAGTGCTCCACATATTTAAAGATATTATACGAATACGATCTTACCGGGATTTTTACGTTTATTAATATACTTATTAGCCACTATGGACGGTAATGATATATCGGATGAGATAAAACAATTTAACATTCTTGACGTGAGTCATAGGTTATTCTAAACTTAAGGTGATATAATCCGCAATAAAAGCATGTAAATCTCATCCCTCATTTTAAACCGATGAATGTCATAGGAGAAACATTTTGTTTTAGAAGAGCAGAAGGAAAACAAACTATTCTGTTCATAAATTTTGGAAAATTTCTTTGAATACAACATTGGTTGTTTGCTTCTGTGGTTTCCCTTCTTTGTCGACGATTAGTATCTTAAGACCCTTCTTCGATGTCAGTGCGACGTACAGTTGGCCATGAGAGAATACTGGTCGTGGAAGGTAAAGACCAACTTGCTTGAGCGACTGACCTTGGCTCTTGTTAATGGTCATAGCAAAAGCAACTGCCAGCGGAAACTGTCTCCGTCTCATTCGAAAAGGTAATTTCAGGTCAGATGGAGATATAACAATTTAGGGATCAAAACTTTGTGCCCAACACGATCTCCGGTAATAACCCGTGCTTCCAAAACATGATCAGCCATCTGAGTAACTTGCAGTCTTGTACCATTGCATAAGCCACCCTTTGAGTCTATGTTTCTTAGCAACATAACTGGAGTTCCTATTTTAAGACAAAGTAAATGTCTTGGTAGACCTGGTACCTTGATAGAGTTCAAAAAATCGGGTGTGAAAATTGGATTGTTCCTTGCAGCTATATCCATTGGATCTATGCTATCAGCACTCAAATACGTTCGTTCTTCACCTGGTAAAAAATAATCGAGATCATAAGATGAATGGCGAAAAGCTTTATAACCTCTTATGAAGATAATATTCAAACTTAAGGTAATAAAGTCATTAGAGCTTACCGGGTATTTTACGTAGCATGAACTGATTTATCAAGTCGACGTCGTCGTTAGTTGGACATAATATGGCCCGATCTTGAAAATAACGTGGATCCTTATCGACTTCAAACATATCAGGATCAGAATATACCTCGTTGGATATAACTTCCATTGGATCGTTTGAGGCTGTGATCAATAATTCTTCGGAATATCTATTTCGCCTCACCATCGTTAGGCTCAGAAAGCTTCCCATCTCCAACATCAAGCAACCAATCTGAGAAATCACTTATTTCTTTGGCCTCTTCAGCATTCAAACTGCTATTAAACAGCCTCATATTCTTCGTTAACTTCAATACTTTGCAATGTTCCCATAGATAAGAAGAATTCAATGAAGCAAGTACAATCTCCGCACGACCGGCATTTACAATCACAGGAAGAACTTGTCTGAAAACCACCAAATACTACAACCTTCCCCACAAAAGGCTTGTTGTCAACATTACCAATAACGTCTCGTAAAGACCTATCCAGAGCCTCGAAACAATACTTGCTCATCATAGGCGCTTCATCCCAAATAATAAGCGATGCTTGCTTAGCAAGATTCCCAAGATCGGAGCCTGGTGCGAATTTACACATTGTGAAATCATCAGGATTTATTGGAATGGCAAACCTTGAATGAGCAGTACGTCCACCTTCTAACAACAAAGAAGCTATCCCGCTAGAAGCAACGTTCAGAACAATCTCCCCTCTAGATCGTATAGCAGCTGATAGTGTTTTCCACATGAATGTTTTGCCCGTCCCTCCGAAACCATAAACGAAAAATATTCCTCCCTTTTTATCCAAGACCGCTCCAGTGATCTCATCGTAAACACCCTTCTGCTCGGTAGTCATCATCTTTATCCATTCATCATGTTTAACCTTCAGCAAGTCTTTGTCGTAGCTTAGCTCGTCAGTTAACAATCGATTTGAATAGGCGAAGTCATCTTTCTGTGGTTGGGGCATTGATGTATAATTAGACAACGATGTCCCATTCCTTAACATCACCATTTGAATCTCCTGAAGAACGAAATTCCTCTTCTGTTTCTCGTCCAGAATAAGAGCTACAAAGAAATACACGGAATATCTTAGGCGTGCATGTTTATAAACAACAGGTGCATCTGATATTGAAATTATTATGTTTGGACGATATATTACCTGGATTTTCATTTTCAATCCTCTTCTTCTCCTCCATGTCTTCCGCTAGGATGTGCCATGTTCTTTCCCAAACATCCTCCGGTGTTGTAAAGCAATCACTGGCAAGCATAACCGCAAAAAGATTTCGAAGATGATCACCGAAACACCATTCGCTTGCACTTTTGATACTATCAACCCACACCTCATCATCATCTAGCAGTCCTCTTGCATAGCATGCTTCCTTAAACTTTTCATAAACGACACCTCGGTAGGTTCTGATCTCTTCAAACGATCTGGGACCCGTACAATATTAAGAAGGACTCGGAGATAATAACCCTCTTCTATCTTGCGCGGCACGTAATTGATTCTTCCGATACTAAAACCCGCCTGTTTCCTTGGTCTAAATTCCCGATCTTTCTTTTGTAAGTGAAGTAGTTAGGGATCTGTGCAAATGTCAGTGTTCTTGCAAACTCATTTGTCTCGTTCAATCTAAACCACGCGATCATTTGAGAGATCTCAGCGGATTTGCGACTCAAAATAGTTTGGACATCATCATCTGCTTTAAAATAGAGGAGTTGTTTGCCTTCGAGATGGAAAGCTAACTTCTCAACAGGTGTTGATCTCCAGTGCATTGGAAATTTAGAATCCGCCAAACCGCCTCGGAGGCTGAGACATATCTATTGTAAAAAAAAAGGTAGTATTAGTAAAGTTTAAATTGAGTTAAATTGGAAACAGTTAAAACGTGGAATACTTTTAAAACACTTGAATATACCTGCAATCGAAAAAATCTTTGATCTCATTCTTCGGCTTCTCAGGATCATCGTTGTCTTTGTTCGTATCTTGCTCTGTGCTGACTATTTTCTGGAGGTTCAACTGCAACAGTAAGATGATCCTGACCTTTGTTGATATACTTGAATAAATACTTTATGGACCCAGATTGGTTGCACCACTCACATTTATGTGAGATTTATAACGAACAGATAGTTCCTTGTTATATGGCACCACGTATCTGTTGTCACACTTGAAACCATTCTTCTCAACAAATGCTCCGGTATCTCTTCTCCTATATACAGGATATCCATCTTTGTCAACCGTAGTGTTCTCGACGTAACTCTTGGGAAAGAATTTAGAGCATTTTCCGTTGACCATGCATGGTGATTTTGTGTTTACAGCCCCACACGGTCCATGTATCATACAATCCTTGACGACATCGTATAGCTCTTTCTCCAAACCTGATCCGGTATCTCGGCGCAGATGATCTTGTCGATGCTCTCAGCAGTTGGAAATTTACAGCTTGGATGCATGAAAAGAAGAATGTGGGCATGTGGCAATCCTCTCTTCTGAAATTCAACTGTGTACATAGCTGTCGAAGCATGAAAAAGTTAAATCAATACATTATTTCAGATTCTAAAGTAAACTTTTTAAATATGAAATAAATTCAATATATAATCTTTAACATAATATAAGATAAAAAGGGTCGAATATGTAATACCTGATGATGTTTTCCCAAAGTGATTTCCTTCTGTTAAATCTCTCATTAGAGAATCTAACTTCATTTTGAAAACTCGGCAAACAATATCTGGTCTGTCATCGACGACTAAGTTCCTTTTCTTAGAAATCTGGTGATCTCAGGCCATTTGGGATTACATGTGAAGGTAATGAATAAGTCAGGGAATCCAAAGTGCTTGCACGTAGCCATAGCATCGTAATACTGCTGCTGCATATACCTCGGTCCACCGACAAAAGAAGCTGGAAGAAGAATTTTGTTTCCTTGCTCCCCCATATCTTTTGAACCTTCGTTTAACATTGCCTTAAGGGAATCGTGATCCATTGATCTGAGCTTGGACTGGTTGTATTTGATAAAAGATAGCCTGTTGGATTCAATCATGGTGAATGCATCGCACAAGAATTGCTGAAACAATCGCTTAGATAGTAGCAGCGTCTGGCTTTCGTTTAGCCTTTCCATAATGCGATATGCAAAGAACTGTCTCATACTCTGCTTTTGCTTGGGGGCCCCCTTGGAGTCCTGTGAATACCTTCTCTGTCTTATTCTGAATCCATCCTCACCGTATGGAAACACCAAAGGATATTGCAATGCTAGATAAGATGTATGAATTTCACTGATGCGCTGAAGCTTTCCAGTGGGTTTCTCTTCTAAAATGATGTCACGTTCTGGCATTTCCAAATGAAAATCACCTGGAATCAAAGCTGCAACCTCCGAAGCAGTGGGAGTATTGTAGGTCCTAGCATCCTTTCCAGGACGATCCCTTATAATCCTCATGTGGAATGGTTCTGCTCCATTCGCTTCAATTCTATCTTTCGCCATCCGGAACACTTCTACATACGGATTTACTTCTCTTAACATGTACATCAACTCTTCAATGATCTTATTTCTGAACTCATTCTTTTTCTTTGCTGTTTGGGCATTCTTTCCCTTGCTACAAAGGATAGATGTCATATATCAGCGATGGTAACCATTTACTTTTAATGTAATAATTTTAAAAATATTACCTCATAACCGTAGCTCTGTTCTCAACTTCATTTTCAGTGTCAACAATATATAATTGTGAGAATTTTGGATAGTCGCCTTCCTCTGGTCTCAAACTTCCCATCAAATGGTAGTTTTGACCATGAATCTGAACATCATAGGCCCCCGTCCGTTTGGTATACATTTGTTGACTTGCCCCCCAAGAGAAGTAAACGGAAAAAGCATGTTGTAAGCCCTTATATTATCGCGAAAGTGACGGCTAAGTTCGTCTGTGCCCGACAGCAAATCCCTCAAAAATTTCGGCGCAGTCTTTAGTAAGGGTAACTTGATTGTTCCGCCTAGGCAGCACATAGAGAACTTTGGATTTTTTTGATTCCTTCTTTTTTCCAGGCGCTCGTCATACGAGAAAATAGCACCACATTGGTCACAGCTATACGTTGGGTCACCGTGATCTAAATACCCTGTAATAAGAAGTTCCAATAAGTATAATACTATACTTATGTTATGCACATATTTGTTAAATTATTAAACAAACTAACCAAGTTTCTCGTCTTCTATGGGGACGTTAATCTCCTTGCCTTTTGCTTTAGCTTTTGCTTTTTTGCTGTCGAGTTGTTTTCTCAAAACCTTCTGCATATCAAAGGTTGGAAATTCTTTCAAACGTGCGGCTTCTTCTTCTGTAACTTGTTCATCCTGACTTGTCTCTGAGGATGTATCTGAGTAGTCAGAGCAATCATATTCCTGGAAAAATAAATCTTCATCTCCTGTTGAAGAATCTCTAGCCATCAATATCTATGTTCATAAAATTACGTGTTATAAAAAGTAGAGATGGTTGGACATTTGTATGACTCTGCCCTTCTTCAAATAATAAGCCTTGCAATGTATTTGGATCGTCAAGTCCGAGTCTTGTATTGAGTTTGGTCCTTGCATCTACCGTTGGTACATACAAAATGAATTCAGTCATTTTATACACGCGAGATTTAAGTTTGTCATTAGTCGGAACCAAAAGTGATGAAAATCGATACGGGTACTAACCATTCGTCTGGGCTTTCTGGCCTACGGTAGGTTGGGCCTTGGTAGTTTTATTTTTTCCGGGACCTAAAGCAATTTATGGTTTTGTAGATCAAAATAGAAGTATTATTAAAACATGATTTCGGTTTGGTTTTATTCTTACCTCTCAAACGTTTTTCCGGTTTAGTTGGTTGGCGGCTTGATGAAGGTTGAGTATTTTGTACAGTAGATACTGGTACAGTAGATTGATTTGAAATTGATATCTTTGAACGTTTACCTATATTTAGTTGAATATGACAATTAGTCACAAATTAATGTTATAACTCTATCAGAGTGAACAAATATAAGAATCACGACAATGTAATTCCAAGACAAAGTTACTTAAGATTGATTTACCTTGTGTCACGGAACGTTTGGTAGAGTTGAGTTTTGTTTTATCGTTCTCTTTCTCCCATCCAACCTTGTTATGTAGATCAGGTCGTTTCCCTAAATATGCATATAAAATCCGCTTCTTATGTGCACTAAAATAGTATAGATAATGGTGATAAACAATTTGAACAAATCTTAAAAATGTTGATAAACGATTTGTATGGAAAATTGCTTACTCGATAATCCGGTCTTTGTGGGAACGGACGATGATGGTTGTGTTTGGCTTTGTGTGATGTTAGAAACTGATGATGATCCCTGTGTATTTGTCAAATCTCCGAGAACTCGTCTGAAAGCAGACTCTATTAGAAATGTATGCATCATGGAATTTAATTGGCTCGGTGTGCCAATAGCTGATGAGATCGGAATCTCTGGTGATTGCTTTATCTTCTTTGACGGTTCTTTGGTGTCTTGTCTACGCAACGGTGGTGATTCATCGACAGTTCTTTTTCTCATTTTCGAAAACATAATTGGGAATTTTTAAACTCTTCATTTTTTTCCACAGAATGATTGCGTGTTTAAGCTCAATAAATGCCTTATACAATGGCAGTTACTATGGTTTTAACCAATGGTAGTTTCTACTTACTACATCCCTATAATTCAGCGGTGGTAATATTTGTTTTTCCTAAATTGAGGGGAAGTTCCGTGATTCAGTAAAAAACTCCTTTTCCATATTTTACCACGCGTGATTTTAGATAATATGTATCAATACGGTGATCGTATCAATATATTCTATCGTATTTATTGGTCAAATCTTAGTGTATAATTATTCAATCATTTATTATGGTATAGATCCTAAAAGATATTTCATAAGTAAAGACGACCAAGTTAGATATGATTCGTGATTATTATAATTTCAAAATACATAATGAATTTGCGGACTAATATATACTCTTCAGAAACATCAAAGTTAATAGATATTGTTTTGTATGTATACAACATAACATAAGAACATCAAGGAGATAATTGTTAGGCATATTACTTTATAAACGAAATTCAAAGCATACCAAGAAAAAGTTATACGAAATTTAAAATTACAAAGGAGGTCTGAAAATACAACAAAAAAAGATAAGCAAGAACATTTTCCACACAGGAGGAAACCGCTCTTAGATTCTTTCTTCTGGCTGGTCAGTTTCACTGGAAGAGCTCGTCGCTACGTGAACTACCGTCGTCTTCGCTCATTGCTTCATCTTGAATCCTCCACCTGATTCAACAAATTATATTGTCTATGATAAGATTTACGCTGCATTATCTAACATGTGTTCTATATCATTTACATAAAAGATGCAATAGATTTGAAACTTACGTCTCTTGACAGAATCTGTCCGCATCGCGATTAAGGTTCCATGGTGGATTGATCTCGAACGAAGATATTTCCCGCACACTTTCAACGTTTATTCTAGCTGATATAGGATAATTTTTTAAGACGTTACATATGATTAGGATGATGAATGATGAATTGTAGTGAAAATCTTATTATTTAAAAAACTATAATACTTTATCGTACATTTGTTTTGATCAAGAAGTGTGTTTTGTTACTTACGATGTTGAGGAGTGATTCGCCAGTTGTATAAACAACAAACGTAATCCATATCTCCGTCGTTGAGCCATCTATCGTAAAAAATGTCGGCGAGTTCTCCTTTGACACGACACATGATCTGGTGATCCCTATGTGTTTCATGAAACCAATGTGACTTAGATTAGTTTCACATTGAAATGAAATCTTGACGATCTAAAAGGATTAGTAAAAAGACTATAACATGTAATAGATAGACTTACTGGTTGTCATAAAGCCTAAAATCAATATAAGAAATTATTTTTGCCGATGTGTTTCCATCTGCACGTCTTAGTGAATTATCGATCAAGACATTGAGATTCTTCACATAATTAATCCTTCCTATGAAATCTGAATCAGTTTGTCATAAAACTCAGATGTTTAGCAAATAGCAATTAAAAGAACATCTATAGCCAAGTAACGAATGCAACTTATGTACTCACCAACAGGATAAGTTTCACCCATTTCGGTAGTACGGTGGACCACATCTTCAAACGTTACCAAATCCATCGGTTGATAAACCCGTGGATCTACAGCTCTTGTTACTTCCGTTCTCCCTATGAGGAATATCTTGTTTCTGATCCTCGTCAAGCGTCTTTCGGATTCGTCAACAACGACAGTAAAGTTGCGAATACATTTCCATTCTTTCAGAATTAGAGATATCTACAAAAGTATCTCTAAAATTATCCATTCCGGTAGACGCGACAATCTTCTTCCCCTATCAGTTTAAACATATATAATGTGACAATTTAACATACACATCTTAGTATTCTTTAATAGATGATACAACAACAACATTAACATAGACATACCTCTGGATCTATGAGTAGGAAGTTGAAGTACTCCAATCCGTCTGCCTCAAACGCTGCCCAAGTCTTAACAACCTTAACAACGACGCACCAATTAGTCCTATCCGATGAAAGACGGTCAATTCTGTCAAAAGATACGTTCATTGTTGAAAGTTTTTTTTGTTTTAAGATTAGTGAAGGAAAATGTGGCTCTGTTTTTGGTTTGTGGGTTCTTATAACGGATATATGGTGTTCTGGTTCCTTAGGAACCTCTTGTAATGGTTAGATTTGCTTAGTTCTTTCATAATCGATGCCTTATAATTAAATTATTTTCCTCGGTGGTTAATTGGCATCGTTTAGACCGAAAACCGTTCATTGGCTGTCCCATGTCAGTTTTTTTCAGACAAGTTGTGACTTCCCACATGACTTTAATGTTTGCATTTTTGAATCATTGTTAACATAGGGGAAAAGTAGAAAGTAGGCGTTCTTTCAAATCATAGACTTTGCATATTCACATGAATTTTTCCCCGGACATATATCTAAGAAGCTTTATGTATAGTGATTAGGTTCGTTGATATTTCCGTAATGTTCAATAACTTGAACTTGTCGAAGTTAATGTCATCACATCGTCCCATTTGATTAGCATTCATAATATAAAATGTTGGAAACAATTCTGGGAACAAACATGCATGAGTCTAAATAAATAAGTTATTAAACCATAAAATCTTGTGAAATGAAACATATAATCGGGAGAACAAAGTTAAGAAGGAAAGAGTGATTGAAACTTAAAACTCTGAGGAAGCATAGCTGAGGGAATTGTCACTACATTGAATCCTTAGTCAATTATTATAACTTTTGTAGCATTTCCACCACCATTGCATGCCGTTTCAGAAGGTCCAGCACAAGAGCCGCTGTCATCTGAGCCGCTAGAATCAGAACTGGTATCGGAAGACTCCCAAACAGAGGAGCTGCTCTGATCACTTCTAGAGGTTTCCTTCTCCTCAAAAATGATACATGATCAAATTTATAGGTTTATCAGTTTGCTTAATAATGAGCTTTTTAAACTACTCTGCTTTTGTACTTTCTACATTTAGAAGACTTACTACTTCCACATGAAGGAATCAACATCATACAAATCTGCGTTGAATTCAAACCGAGATATCCCTGCTACGGACTTGATCCTATACTCCCCAGCTCCTTGTATGATCATTAAATTTCGAAATTAAACTTACTTGGAATGTAAGCAAGTTTCCAGTCGCTTAAGGTCATAATGACTTCGTTGTGTCTGTTCTTAAACCACCTATCATCAATTTGGAAGGCAAGCTCACCGTAGGCAAGGCAATTAATAGATGTTCCACTGTTATACAATGAAAAACAGAGTATGGTAAGTAATAAATCAGTGTGATTAAACAGTTATGGAAAGTAAAATACTGGAACCATCTTACGAAGTGTCCTTCAGGGTAAATTTGATCCGGGCGGTTGTTTTCTCGTCAGTCAAAGTGAATGCAGCGTCATGAACCCAAGTTGGTTTTGTAACCGAATCTAGATAACCTATGAAATCTACACAAAATAAAGTCAAACATATAAGTAGATGTTTTACACTTATCTTAAACTACATGGTTTTCTTACTTTCGCATATAGATCACTATTAAGAAATTAAAGTAATTCGTTGAACAATGGAACAAAAAAAAAGATTCAAGTCATTCATGAGCTCAGATTCCGGATACATTACCTAAAGGATTAGTGATACGCCCCTGGAATAGATCGGCTTGAAAGCTAAGTGTTTGAGCGGATTGGAACACAAAGGATCCAATGATGGATGAGAGTTGAATGAGAATGATGAATGGATCGATGGCTATACTAGAGAACCCGCGGAATTGGATCTCTAACACCGCCTCCAACGTGTTGATATTACACACAACAAGTGAGAGGAAATTCTGTGGACTTAGTTGATATTACGCACAACAAGTGGACAGAAAATGATCAAACAAAAAGAGAGGTTTTGATAATAGATTGATTGATAACTTCAAAGAGAGACAGACTAGGGTTTTAAAGAAAACGAGAGAGAAAGAGAGAGAGAGAGATGTTGGAACAAGCTCCAAAACATCTCGAAAATTCACAAAACATAAATGAAACAAAGACTGAGTAAAGAAGTTGTCTTGGCGCTCTCCTTTGAAATATTTGGGCCGGACCTTCACAAATGAGAAAAGAGAGGATTTGGAAGTGTGCAATGGGCCTCGTTAAAAACCTTGTCAAGAAAAACCCATAGGGACAAAAACTTGACAAGGGAAAAAGAGCACACCAAAGCACACTTGTCTCTTTATCCCATTGTTAAGGCCTTCAAGCAAACCAGAGTAGTTGGCTTGGTTTCTTGTTGGTTCAAGGCGCTAAGGACTTTGCCAATTGCTTGGTTTAGTGCCTTAGTTCTTGAACGAGTGATTGGGCCAGTTGGAATGGCTAAACTCTCCTCAGGTACAAGCTGCTCTGCTTCAAGTCCTTCCTCAGCTACAAGCTGCTCCATTCCATCTTCCTTCTCGGCCAAAGGTCGATCTTCCTGAACCTCCTTGTCCATGATCGCATCAATTAGGTGTCAAGCGCTGACCAGCCTTCACTTGTTTGAAATCTTCAAAAACCATGTAGTGAGGAAGATCGGGTCCCTATGCTATATCCAATTCCGTATAATCTTTGAGAATTAGCTCAAAGGGATTATCAGCGAATCGTCCAACCAACTCAGGTGCGTTTACCACATTGAATCTTTTCAGAATTTTCCAGTGACCCTCGTACATGCTTTGATTGAAAGAATCGAACAACTCTTTATCGTTTTTGACATAGGCATGAATCTTAGTCCTCTGTATGCAAAAGATAATACAATTAAATAATTTAGATTGAATAATCATGTTTGTAATCAATGGTTATCGGATAAGCGATGATAGAAACGGGAAGTCAATAAGTCATTTTTCGATGGTTGTTCTTTTGCCTCCTATAAAAAAAAAACAACATTTATTCTAAACTACAATGATATATAATCGCTTACTTGTTCATCCACAAGCAGGAAATGGAGGACATCTGGTCGATACTGTCTAATCTCTACCCACTTCTTCAGGATTTTTACCCTTATTTCCCAGTTTGCTCGTCGAGGATTCAACTGGTTCAATCTCGAAATGTTCGCCATTTTATTGGGGATGGTGTTCTTTTGGCAGAGGATTGTTCGGCGGAAGTGATTTCAACTTAAGACCGCTCCAGTGAAATTGTTTTAGGGCTTCAATAGAGGTTTTGTGGTTTCGTGAGATGAAGTTTCTGGATTTCTTTTATTTTGTTATTATCAAATATTTACATTATACATTAAAGCAAATTGCATCATAAATTCAGTTTTCATTTACTTTTTGAAACTAAGCCTTGAAATGGCACATCAATACTTTTGGCAGGTGTAGACTGTGGTGCCTAAGTCATTGTGTTTCACAAAAGATAAACTTTGAATTTTTGGTTTTGCGTTCTTGACGTGTTATAAACGCCAAGGTTATCGAGAATCTTATATTTTTGGTTTGTCTTCCGTTTTGATTTATTAAAATTGAACACAAAACTTAGATGAGTACCTTTTGGAATTGTTTTCGGGTTATGACAATATTCGTATTTGATAGTTAGGTAGGTAAAATCTGAATAATGAGGGATGACATCAAGTAAATTAGAGAGATTGACCTGAATTATGTAATCAGTACCCTATGTTAGTTCGAAACATAAAATGCAAACTTAACTTCTAAAGTAAAATAAGATATTGTAAATAAAGATACTTAAATAAAGATACTGAATTCAAACAACTAAAATGAAAACAAACTTGGGAAAACCTGATAAGGACTTAAGTTTAAAAAACAGAAACAGAAGAGGTACTCATAAAAAAAAAAGACGACCATTCATTTTACGCCATTCCCTTCATCTTCTCAATCTTCTCAATCTTCACCTCTCTAAGACATGCTTTCTTGTTCCCACTTTCCAGATCATCCAAACTCCCATCTGCCACGATCTCGTTCCGTTTTTTGGAAATCGGCGTACCTTCATTCAACATTCCCTCTTCAAGCAGGACTTCATTGCTGTCTTCCAACATCAAAACACTCTAGAGAAAACATATAAAAATTGCGTAGAGAGTCAAAAATCAAACTCTGTAAAGGTTTGTTCGCAAAGATTGGTTACATATTATCCTTGAAATGTATTACCGGTTCACCAGAAATGAGTTCAGATGGTGTAACATCTCTTGCGGAATCGGTGAGGTCTTCAGTTTCATCAATCATACCAAGTATAGAAAGGACCTTGATAACTTTGTACGTACAATGCCCTCCTCCAAGATTAGCTTTGTCGACGGCTATTACAAACTGAAATGTCTTTCCACACAAAGCCTGTAACCCTTCAGGCAAGTCATCAGGATCTTCGATCTGCATCAAAGTTATATGAATGAAGACTTACTTGCGAACTAAGAAAAAGAACTGCAAAGTAGGGTATGTTGTGGTCAATTTACTTGCAATACACGTCTGAACAGAAATAGTTCTTTCCAGTTAATAAAGCTAAATAAACGTACCTCGTCGATTACACCTCCGAGCAACTCGGATGCCTCAGCCTGGACAATCTCTTTTGCAAGGGAATCAAATAACATCAGATTGGTATCTCGCGTGCTATCCATCATCTTGACATGTAACTTGAACCTATAATGCAACCAGATAGGATTTCATTGTCTGTTAGGTCTTTAGTTCGAACACGAAATATTTATAACTTAGTAAAATAGGTAATGAAATGATCACCTGGCAACAACATTGGTAATGTTTGCATTACACTTGGCACAAAACCACTTCTGCTTGGAACCCGGGGGAACCTTCTGATTAAGACCAGGAATGACTTTCTTCACCTTATTGTGCTGGTACTTAGGACAGGCAATGTAGTACCATCTCATATCTGTGTCGATAGCGAACACAGTACACATGATTTTTGCATTGCCAACCTGTTAAGAAAATATAGAGTAAGACGTTTGTCAAAATAAACGTAAGGGATCATAACATATTTATATAGTTCATACACTATAAGGTTTTATGGAGTCTTACGGTGTCTAAAGCAAGGACCTCGCTGATAGTCGAAGTTGGAAACAAATCCCAGTATTCCTCTTGCTCCTTCTTAACAACCAATTGAGTATCAGGTTTGTTGAATGCAATTGATAGTATCAGGCCATCGTTTGCGATGCTACAAACCAAAAATACTCTATTTGATCAGGACTTCATCGAACAACATCCTAGGCACAAACAACTAAGTTTTGTCGAAGTCTCGAAACTAACCTGTTTGCGAACGATGTAATCTCTGGATATGGTGGATTGATCAGCATCACTGACGCACTATAGGCATTGGACACAGTCTTAACCTCTGCATAATTCATATCAATAAGTAGAAAACCATAGACGAACATGTCTAGTATAATCTCGTGAACGTTCTAGTTAATACCAGTTAATCATACCTTGGAAAGCCTTCACTTTTGCCCATCGAAGTAGGCAAATCAATGTTCCCTCACCAGCTCCTTCAGCGGCGGCGAGCATATCCACAACCATTGTTCCCCACAATGTACATCCAATTCGATCATCACTAAAAAAAAACCCAAAACGTTTGTACTTTAGATTTCACGTAAATAATTGATAAATAATAACACAATCAGTATTCAGAATGAAATAACTACCTTCCATCCCTTAGTTCTATCTCCAGTTTTTTCTGCTTTTTGTTCTGCGTATCAACTTCCTCCATCGGTCCAACGGCGATAACTTGACCTATTATGTCTGCATAGATCCAAGATAAATTATATATTAGTCAAGTAATCCACAACCATTCCTAGAATTATATCCGATTACGCATTATACCATTCCTAGAATTATATCACATTACGCATTATACCATTCCTAGAATTATATCACATTACACTACATTCTAATGCATTCACATTGATGATCGCCAATAATCTTACCATGTAAGATGCTGCATTCACATTGATGATTGCCAATAATCTTACCATGTAAGATGCTCTCATTCACTTTGGCATCGTGGATCTGCTTGAAACTGACGGGTACCAAGTAGTTACCGTCGCCAAGATTCGCTGATGGAAGCACAAACGTCTCCTTGATAAAAGCTAGCTTGTAAGGGTTCGGTGTGGTGCGGTAGTGGCCCGTTGCATGTGCTACCGTGAAGTTCTGTATGAACTTCCAAGCACCGACATCGAGGTACCTCTCGTATCGTTTGACATCCTGCTTCCGTACACTTCCGTGGATCTTGTTTCCCTATGATTCCACAAGATGTTTATGTCGAACGCAAGATTAGTACATTATGATCCATCTATTTCTAAGAGCGGTTATGGAAATGAGAATTGGCGGTTATGAACATTAAATTATAGTGTAATGTCATTACCTCAACATCGGAGAATATCATTTCAATGGTCTCTCTGGAAGTCGTGGCATACTGTTTCCATAGATGCAAGATCTTCACTTGAATCCTCCAGCCAATCTTGAACGGCTTGACCTCAGTGCACAAAGAAACCGGTTGCGCCGCCTCCATTGCCATTTTCTAGTTCCTAATGATCGGAAATTAACTTTCTTTTGGTAGTCGGGGATGATTTAAGGTTTGACATCAGTGGCTCCTTATATATAGATGGACTCTCAGGATACTCTAGGGTTTCGGAAATAGAACTAATTACTAACAATATAATTCTGTAACCGCAGGAATATTCGATTTCCATATCTTGGGCGCGAATGATACAGTGATTCAAATTTTTTGATTGTGTTATAACTATCCCTATAATTCCATGAGTATCTCCATTATGAGTACGTGGTTAATTAGAGAAAGATGAATCACGTTCAGCGGGATTATGAAATCACGGATCCACTTCATGTTTATGGCGAATATTACGTAGGATATTCGGATCAAAATCATTGAGATGGGTACATCCGTGGTATTCGTAACCGAGAATTTCAGATTGAATTTCATTCCCGGTTTATTTTTAGTTGTTTCTGACCCGCGCTATTTTCCGAGAACACTGGGTCGGGTTTTTTCACGAATACTGAGCGAACTCGCTCGACTCGTTATTTTTTCGTTCCGTAATTACCCCTCCTATACCTGTTTCCAAACGCTTTTTTGTCGTGTTTTCAGTGGCATTGGTCGTAATTAAAGGGTTTTTTTCGGGTGTATCTAAAAATGTACATCTAAAATAATATATTAGAGATAGTCTAATAATCTATGTCTTAATTAAAATTTACTTTGATAATGAGCCTAATGATAACACTTTAGCATGAAATTTTTGTTAATACCACATAACACAAATGTTTCTTTTATACTGTTTTCTCTTTTAAAATACTAGATTTTGACTTGCCCAAGTATAGTATAAAACAAATTTTATTCATTAAGAATTATTCTCATTGATTCTTTATATAAAACTACGAGGTGACCCGCGCTTCACGCGGGAATTTTTATTGTTTTTCTGCAATTTTAATTTATTTATGAGATTTATTATTGTTTCAAAAATATACACATATTAATTAAAAATAATTAGGGTTAGGCAAAATTAACGTACCGTCTTGTCCCATCGTATCCCATTTCGTTCATTTTCATCATGTCTGTTCTTTCCCGTCCCATCCGTCCTGTCTATCCCGTCCGTCCTATCCCATTATATTCCTTTCCATTTTGTTATATCCCATCATGTTCCTCCGTTTCTTCTCGTCCCGTTCCCTAAATATAACAAAGGATATGCAAAATTCCCGTATAGTCTCATCTCTTCCCATTTAATTCCTTCTCATATTGTCCCGTTCTTTCCCGTCCCGTTCCGTCCTGTCCGTCCTATCGAGTCTCATCTTATTCTGTTATGTTTTTTTTCCCGTTTTGTCGTGTCTCTGTCTTGTCCTCAAATATAATTAGGGGTAGGTGAAATTTATGTCTCGTCCCTTCTCGTCCCATTATGTCCCATTCATCCCATCCCGTCCAATCCCGTCTCATTCCGTTTTTTTCATCTTGTCATGTCTAATTTGTTTGTCTCGTCCCGTCCAGTCTTATCCCGTTTCATTATGTTTATTTCCGTCTTGTCGTGTTTCATCATGTTCCTTTCGTTTTTTCTATTCCGTCTCTAAATATAATTTGAAGTAGGCAAAATTATGTGGTATCCATTCCTTTTTGTTCCTTTACATTCCATCTCGTCATTTAATATAATAAGAAGTGGACAAAATTCATTTCTTCTCCGTTATGTTTTTTTCGTCTCATCCTGTCTGATCTCGTCTCATTTCATCCCAAAATACTTTAAAAAAAATCAGTGTTCTTTATATAATATCTTGACATCAACGTAAATTATCTAATCTAACAAAAATAAATTTACTAAATAATAGTTTTTGTAGATCTATACATAATATTTCTCTTTTAAAATGACTTTTCATATTCTTGTTAAACTTATTATAGTAATGAATGCTAATTATTATGAAATTAAAATATTTAAAAAGAGAAAATATAATAAATTAAATAAAGTGCTGACGTGGCGAATTGGAGAATTTAGAAGCAGCACCAGAATAGAATTTATAAAGCCTCTTCTTCGCGCGGAACTTATATTGTTGTGTTAGTTTTATTTTTTTCCGAAAATTGAATTTATTTCTATAGTTTATTATTGTTTCAAAAATATTATACACATATTAATTAATTAAATATAATTAGGGTTAGGCAAATTTCCGTCTAACCCTATCCCATCCCATTTTGTTCCTTTTAATCATATCCCGTTCTTTTCCGTCCGTTCGTCATGTCCGCCCCATCTAGTCTCATCTTATCCTATTATGTTCCTTTCCATTTTGTCATATCTGTGTCCCGTCTCTGAATATAATTAGGGGTAGGCAAAATTACTGTCTCATCCCATTATGTCCCTTTCCATCTTATCTCGTCCAATCCCGTCTCATTTCGTTTCTTTTTATCCCGTCCCGTCCAACCTTTCCTTCTTATCATGTCTTGTTCTGTCTTATCATGTTCTTTTCTTGTCTCATTCCTTTCCATCCCATTCTGTTTTATCCCGTTCCTTCCCACCATGTCCGGTTTCATCCCATTTCGATATTTTCCCTTCCGTCTAGTTCCTTCTCCTTCCCGTTCCATTCCGTCTCGTTCCTTCCCCTCCCGTCTCGTTCTTTCTCGTTTCGTCTTATTACTTCATGTCCTCTCTGTCCCGTTTCCTTCTTCCCATTCCTTTTTATCACGTTATTTTCCATCATGTTTCTTCGGGTTCCATCTCATCTCGTTTAAATTTATAATTAATTTTAACAAAACTAAAATCGTTAAATTTTTATTTATGTAGATCAATTGATATGATTCTTGTTTTATAAAAACTTTTCAAATTCTTGTTAAAGTTATGACATGGTAATTATTATGACAATTAAAGTATAATAAAAGCAAATAAAATAAATCAAATGGAGAGTAGAAATGGCTGATGTGGAAAAATGCTGAATTTAGAAGGGGTCTCTTTTGCTGAGGTGTCACCAGCAGAAGAGAATCACACCAACTTTATATATATAAATATATGGATATGTTATAAACTAAAATTATATATATATATTAATAATTTTTATTTTGAAATAAATATTTATTCACTTAGCACAATCCAATTTAGTTGTTAAATATTTTTAGTGGGCAAATATTAGACTAATGCCCATGATAAAACTTAGTGAGACTGAACTCTATTTGTTAGTGTCTGTTTTTGAACTGTAATGAGCCCAAATTTCATTTACACATGTTTCTTATAATTTTTAGTGGCCCAAAGTTTTTCGGTCTCGGCATTTAGTTGCCCTAAAAATAAAAATAAAGGATAAGTATCCCTCAGTATAAAGCTAAAATCCATTCCCTTAAAACTCCCACTAGATCCGCCGCATCCTCACAAATCGTTTTCAATGCTTTCGTCTCAGCTCCAGAACAATATTTATTCAGGTTAGCAAATTAGATTTCATGGTTATTTCAATGTCGGGGTTGATATATATCATTCCTAATGATGCGGTTATTGTTGGTTCGACAATAAGTTCGATATAGATAAGTTTGAAGAGATATACTTTATTATTCTTAGATTAAGATTAAACTGCATCTGGTTTTCAGATTCAAATTAGTCAAGATTGTAAATTTTAAAGGAACAACTGAAACAATTTTAAATCTTGTTTCGTCTTGCTTAATTTTGTTGTCACTGAAAGTAATAAATTTTGTAAATGGAAATGAAATTTACGGAATTTATTTTTGGCTGTTGTTATCTGGGTATCTCCTAATTAAGCATATCAATAAGAAGATAACCAACAAAAGGAAGTGAAGTGTCCCTCCAAAATTTTGTTCATAAAAGTTTCATTGTCTCTTAGTCTCCTGGGATTCACAAAGAAAGGTACCCACAAAATTTCTTCTTATTAAGTGATACTTTCTCCGTTTCATACTACTTATCGTTCTACGCTTATTTTTTGTTTCGTTTTCTTGCATTTTTAGTGTATACTAGACTAATACATGTGCATATATGCGGGTTTTTCTGTTGTTGTTGTAGTTTAAGAAGATGCTGTAAAACAATTATAAATTTTTGATTAATAATTTAACCCAAATTCTTATCCACACTTTAATTCTCATTTGTATGGTTAGCGATTGTCTTTCAAATATGTAGTTTTGCATTGTGTTCAAAACATCGTTAATCGGGCGACTGAGCCGGGATTAACAATCTTTTTTAAAAACAGAGATTAATCGGGAATGAGTCGGGGAGGAATTTTTTTACCATATTTTGTATATTTTTAAAATATTTTTCATATATATAACGATATAAGTAACATATTCCAAAAGATTATATATTGTTTTTTTTTCCAAATTGGCTGAAATCATGAAAAACATTTGCAATTCTGGTCCAAATTATTTCTCCTAAGTAGATTTTCCTATCAATTTCTCTCAAAAGATTAGATATGTGTTATGATTTCCAAAATAACACATTAACATGATATAGTTCTCCCAAATGGGCCAAAATCATGAATTTTTTTGCATTGTGGCCCAAAGAATTTATGATATTACATGTTGTTTTTTAAAGAACCGGCTTTACTCAAAAGGCGTTGACAACACAGTTCCAACGATTAAGACTCATCGCCACGGATGGATGCCAATGAGCGATTTTTCACCCGATTAATTGGCACATCGGCCTATTCTTTGAACACAGGTTTTGCATAATACCACATGTATTTATGTCTTTAACTCTCTTTATTTATTCACTGTTATATAAAATGGATTATTTTTTTTTGATATAAGAGAATTAGGAAGAGATGAAGAGGTGGGAGAAAACAACATTTTTTTTATAATAAAAACAAAAAAGATTATTTAGAGTTTTATGAAGATTTGAAGAAAACACAATGAATTAGATTCAAAGGTTCATGATGACCTTAAAAACACTAGGTTTAAACAAAAATACTTAAAAAGAGCTTTATGGCTTGAAACTTAAACGAAAAAGAAAGTGTGATTATTTGATAGAAACTTTTGAGCAGTGATACTAGATTAGATGACGAGAGGAGAACACTTTAGTGTTTGGGAAGATTATATATTGCTCTCATAATCACACAAAGGTTAGTGGTTACAAATACCTGTACTTTTATATAAACTTATATAACCTAATCAAATCATATTACTATCATTATAAATATCTTCACAATATTAACAGTAATGATATTGATCATCTAGATCCTTCTACACATTGGGGTCGGATTTCAGTTCCTTTTGTCCAATCCTAAGATAAACAGCAAGCACAAATGATGAAATGCAGCAAACACAAACCTTTTTTAGCCAACCAAATTGCCTCGGCCCTAGTAATTGTTGCTTTAAAAAATACATTGAAAATTTGAAAAGTGATAACCGTAGAAAACTGGATCTCACAAGCAAATACATGGGGCCACGAGTTAGTAAAAACGGTATTAGTAAAACACATCACATGAAAATAAAATTCAAAATCAAATCTAGTTCTATCAAATTGAGCGAGAGACTATGGGCCTGATTGTTTAGGACTTTGGCTTTAGACTTTAGGCTGTAACTTTTGACTGTAGAGAATTTGGCTTTAAGGACTGTGACTGTTACTTTTAATATATTTGAAAGTCTGATTGGTAACAAAAACTTTTAAAACTGTGACTTTTATTTTAAAATATTTATTTTTTTGGTTCATTTTGTTTATTATACAATTTAGGTATACTTAAATAATTATTAAATATTTTAAAATGGATCTTAAAAGAACGGGAAAAAAATATGGATCATTAGTTTGTTAAAAGTTTGTTGAGATAAGATTAATTTATTGTTTTGTAATAGTTTTGATTTATGTGGGGAAGAAGAAATAATAACAAAAATTAAAAGGAAAAAAGAAAAATAATTTTCTTGTTGATGAGAGAGAATGAAAGCATAAAAAAGTGGCTTTGAGGGAAAAAAGTGAAACAACGAAGAAAAACTTAAAAATAACTGAAAAGTGACTTTGAAGGCTTTAAAAAATAATAAAGTCCTAAAAGCCTGATTGGTTAAAAACAATCTGTAAGGATTTTTAAAAATCTTAAAACCCTCAAAGTCAGTGTGCCAATCGGGACCTATATTCAAAACTCATTGAATCAATTTATTATATATCGAATCAGAAGAAGTGTTAATATCTCTTTTCCTTTCAACTGAGAAATTAAAGTTAAAATAAATAACACAATTTACGTATGAAAACATGTAAAGAACATTAACATTAGCGTGGCTTTTTTTATGTATGTGAATTTAGACGAATCAACAATTGAAAAATCCAGACAGAAAATTAGATCTCACAAGCAAGCAATTACATGGGATACGAGTAAGTAACGGTGGTTAGTAAAATACATAGTATAAATAAAATTCATTAAAAGAAAAACCTAGTTTCTATCAAATTGAGAGAGAGACAATATTCAAAAATCCATAACATCAAACGAGTTTCAAAAGAAAATAATGCAACCACTAATCAATGTGTGATTATTTTCTTTTGAAACTTGTCATGGATTTTTGAATATTGTCTCTCTCTCAATTTGGTAGAAACTAGGTTTGTTTTTTGATGAATTTTATTTATGTGATGTGTTTTACTAACCACCGTTTTTATCCCATGTAATTGCTTGTCAGATCTAATTTTTTGTATGGATTTTTCAATTGTTGATTCGTGTAAATTCACATACACAAAAGAAAAGCCACACTAGTATTAATGTTCTTTGCATATTTTTATATGTAAATTGTATAGTTTATTTTAACTTTAATTTCTCTGCTGAAAGGGAAAGAGATATTAACACTTCTTCTGGTTCAATATATAATAAACAATTAATGGGTTTTGAATATAGGCTTTGAATGGTGACAAAGATCAAAAAATGCAGATCAAACAATAAATCCAGATCATGTCGAACAAATACAGATCATGATCTGCATACAGATCAAATGCATATCAAACAAATTAAATAGTTATAAATATTTTTTAATTAATTGAACAACAAAATAAAAGACAAAAAAAATTTAGAATCATATATATAAAGTTTTTTTAAAAACAAAAAAACAATTAAACATTATCAAAAAAATTAAATTCGATTATAAATTAACATACAAAAACTAATATTACAAAAATTAACGTGAAATGTTTTTGTCTGCCCATAATGTATTTGCAATATGTTCCCTAATGTTAACCATAAAATCCCTTCTCCTATTTCCGTTTCTGCCATATCACTTGGTTCTACTAGACTTGTGCTGCCAATCTCTGTGTCTCTTCTTACATCAGCAAAATCTTCATCTGAAAAATTAGAAATTCTAATAAAATTATGTAGTCCCATTGTCGCCATTACCACTCTTTTTTGAACTTTCTTATCATATCTAGGAAATTCACAAAGAATCCTCCATTTCTTCTTCCATACTCCAAAAGTCCTTTCAATAACAGAACGTAAAGATGCATGATATCGATTAAACAACTCTTGCTTGTTTCTAGGAGGAGGACCATTTTCAAATTGTGACATATGATACCGAACAACCACATTCCGTGAAGATCTAAAGGGAGCCAAAAAACCTTGTTTGTTTGGATAGCCAGAATCGACTAGATAATACTTGTCTGGTGGAGGTAAAGGAAAATCAGGAATCCCTTTCTTGCGCCATTGTGAGAACTGCTGTATCGTGACATGAGCCAGGTGCTCCATTCCAAACATATGTGAATAACATATTGAGATCACATATCGCCATTATATTAAATGAAGTTATATTGTGCCGGTTCCAGTACATTCCTTGAACTTCAGGCTTCACTTTAACGCAAACATGAACTCCCATCCATAGCGCCAACAAATCCACTAAAATATGGCCAATATGTTTGATCCATTACTAGTCGTTCAGGAATTTGTCGTAGTTCTTGGGTTGTTGGAGTCCTGATATAATCACAAGCAAGTAACTCAGTCGCTTTAAGCACTTCAAAAAATTTTCGATTCACAGTCTCTTGCGTCCGTCCAAATCGTAATCCAACATCTCTTTGAACTTCGTTATGCCCACATATCCGTAGAAACATGGCCACACTCTCTTCAATGCCTACATTCAATGTTGGTTGTAAACCATAACTCGTTTGCAGTTTATCGCACAATGTTCTGAAAGCACAATTGACATCCGTAATAACTGAAGACAAGCGGCATCATCTTCTTGTAGCCGACGCCAAATATTTCTCCATCCCAAACCGCCACCAGTTTGGACCGGTCCTCTTTCAAAATATTGATTGTAGTAACTTAATGATGGTTGGATTATTAATTCTTCAAATTGCTCATTTTCCAAATTCCACAACTCAATTCTCTCCTCGTAACTTAGATTCTGGAGTCCATGTGATCGTAACTGACATATACGAAAAGCCTGAAAGCATAATAAAACATAACAAAAAGAAAAATAAGTAATTCATATTGTAAACAAGATAAATTATAAATCAAATTGATATGAAAATTCAATGTTCGAAAATACATAAAACATATTAAATGTTATTAAAACATAACATAACTGCGAATAACAAAATAAAAGTGGTAATACACTAATCTTCAGTTCCTGAATCACTTTGATGACTTTCATTTAAATTTGGTCCTTGTTTATTTCCCCAAATATTGAATAATCCTCCAACTCTACGCGATCTTGTTCTTGGTATTTGTGCTTCTGAAGAATAATTTATGAAACCAAATTCAGGTGATACTCCCCTCTGAACATTTTCTGAATACGAATATCTGATTCACGTGCAACTTCTACTTGACCAATCGTTGTAGTTTCCACTTCGGTTCCTACTTGAAAATCCACGCTGAACATTTGTTGGAGAATCCATTGATTTGCTTTTGGTGATGATTCCCATTGTCGGTTATTTGGTGATGAACCCCATTGTGGAAAATTTGCTGGTGAACCCCATTGTTGAGCATTTGGTGGAGTGCTCCATTGTGGGGCGTTTGGTGGAGTGTTCCGTTGCTGAGTGTTTGGAGAGTACCCCATTGTGGAACACTTGATGATGAACCCCATTGATGAGCGTTTGGAGGAGTGCCCCACTGCTGAGCGTTAGGAGGAGGGCCCCATTGATGAGCGTTTGTAGGAGTGCCCCAATGCTGAGCGTTAGGAGGAGGACCCCATTGCTGAGCGTTTGGAAAAGGGCCCCATTGCTGAGCATTTGGAGGAGTGCCCCATTGCTGAGCATTTGGAGGTGTGCCCCATTGTTGAGAACCATGACTCCATTGTCCATTTAAAGTTTGACCCCATGAATTATTACCCCCAGAAGATGGATTACCTGAAGTTAACCCACCAAAATTTGGGCTCCCATAATTCTGATTTGAGACTAGCCGTTTCCCAACAAATTCGCCGTCTGGTGTATATCCTGTTACAGCTTGCAAAAACTGTAGCTTATCTTCATTAGATTTGTCAGCTCTTTCGATGAAATACTTACGCCAAAATCTTTCATCCTTAAATGCTTGAATGCATGCCCAATAAAATCCAGTATTCTTTTGAACTTCCATTGATTCAAATATCTTGATAGCCATCTCGCATTCATCATAATCTTCTTGATCGAAAGAATTTGGGCGCATTTGTTGTAAGCTTTGGCGTTGGAACTCTCTGAAACCAGCCATTGTATCTGTTAGAGTTGCCTGAAATGATTGCTTTCTGCGACCTCCTCGTGAACTATTCCTGGATAAGACTTGTGAGCTTCCAGCAACTCTGTGTGTAGAGCTTTCATGCCTGATTCTTCCTTGTTGTGAAACTCTGGCAGCCTGATTCTGGGACATATTAATCGGGGTAGTATTTTGACGCATGGATTCACGTGGAAACTCGTGTGAATGACGTGGTTGATCATCAATGTCAACACGGTACTCCTCTTCATTTTCTTGTGTCTTTGGAACTTGTGTGTCTTCACCATAGATTTCTGAATTCAAATAACCTTCATCATCAGCAAAGCCCTCGTTCATCATCTCTTCTCTTCTTTGACTCACAGAGTATTGAGATTGTGAGTGAACATCATACAATCTGAAACAACGCTGCATAATATCCCAAAACTCTGGAGGGTTTCTGTGAAATGATTTTATAACTTTACATACCTGTCAATAAAATTATATAGTTTCTAGTTAATATTTGTTTTTTACTCGCAAAGTTATTTAATAAATTTTATATGTAAAAGAGATTAAAAGTACTTACTTCACGATCTTTCCACCATGAATCAGATGCAGTGATCACGAATGTAACAGGATCAACCGAGATTCCCGTAGAATTTTGTATAAGACCCAAATACTTCTTGTACTTTCTTTTCAAATGATCAAGTTTTTTTCTGAAGAACTTGTAGTCTATATTAAGACTGAATTCTTCGTTGAATTTTTCAACTATAAACTCTTTACCAACTGGTGTAGGATCTTTGAAACGGTAGTTGCTCATAGCAAGAGCTTGATCATATAGCTCGATAAGTTTTCTTTCTCGTCTATGATTCCAAATTATATCATCCTCGTTCTAGAACGATTATAATTTATAACTATATTACTCACTAAATCTCTAATTAAATTTTAAAAAATTCAAAATATAATAGTAAGAATCTTACTCGTAATGATGCTTCAGTCTGAGGAATAGTATCTGGTTGTACAGCAGAATTTCTGTTTTGTCTACGATTTGATGCCATATCTAGAAAAAAATTAAATGATATAAGTTTATAGAACAATACACAAATTTGTTTTTCATATTATATCATGATCAAGTGGTCTAGATCTTTACTTACAAATTATACATAAATTATAATATAATATACATAATTGTAGTATAATAATTTTTTACATTACATAATAATCTATTATTTATAGTTAGACATTATTGATATAATTATTACTGTTTTTCAAATCTTAGTTAGTTATAAAATTTTAGTTATATTCAAAAACTTAATAATTTTTTCATATGTATGTTACTTGTCAAATTTTGTAATTATTTTGCAGACCCAATCTTGACAAAAAAGAGAAAGAAAATTATTTAAGTTATTTAGTTTTTTTATTAATTATTTTAATATGATGATATCTAACAAATTATATATTTGATGTTTAGACATATTTCATGTGAAATAAATTATATTTTCCTTTTTATATCAATCTATTAAATTTTATAATTAATTTTTTTTCTTAAATATATTATTATATTATTATACTTCTTCATAATAATATTAAATATTACAATTAACAATGAAACCACTAAAAAGGTTCAAATGCTAAAAATAAAATAAGTAAAACCATTTAAACTTCAAGTTTATTTAGTTTAACAAGTAAAGCATTCATTATGTTTTAGAAAAATAACTAATTTAGTATATTTATAGTATATTACTCATTATACACAATTTTAACATTTTTATTAAATTTCTTCCTACAAGAAAAAAAACATACTTTGGATTTGAGAATTTTTTCTGGTGGATATATATAATTCTGAGCTATGAGACAACCTGAAAAATCATTTACAATCAAACATATATTAAATATAAAAGATAATAATATAATGCATGTCTATGTATAGAACACATGAAATTCAATGCTAATTTTTTTATCAGTTATATATATTCACAGCTAACATATATATTATAAATAACATATATGAATTTATTATATTATAAATGTGTGGTTCTCTATTAATCTAAATATTTGTTTTTAACTAAGAAACATATTTAAATATGACTCAATAAAATTAACATGTATATCTTTAGTTGTTCCAAACAAATTAGATAAATATTTTCAAAAATTATAAAAGGTATATATATATAGTCTTCTCTGTATATGAATATTGTTATTTAAAAGGGAATCAATACAAAATATATGTATTCATATCTCATATCTCACTAAATAAGATAAACCTTGAAACAAAAGTTTTATAAAGAAAAAATAATTTACCTTTGAGAGAGTTTGCAGATTTTTGTTTTTGAAATTGAATAGTTGATGAAAATAATTTTGAGTTGATTTTATAAGAAGAACAAGAGATAGAAAACAACAAAAATGAGAAAAAAAGAAAAAACTCTGTTTCTTTTTCAAAAGTTTGAGAGAATTTGCAAATTTCGTTTTTGAAAGTGAATAGTGAATTAAAAGAGTTTTGGGTGGATTTTATAGAAAGAATGAAAGATAAAAGAAAAAAATAAGAAAAAGAAAAAAGAAAAAAAAACTCTGATTTATTTGCATGCACTGGTGAACTGGACCTAGAAGACCACTTCCTTGCAGGCTTTGCTTTTTTCGGAGTGGTTGCTCTGCATGCAGCTGATGGGCTTTTATTCTGTATTTTTATTTATTTGTATTAAATGGTTGATTGGAGAAAAAATGTAGGTGGGCCTGCATGGCAGATGGAATGCATATGATCTGTATCTGTATCTGTTTCATACATCCATTCAAAGCCATAGTCTCTCTCGATTGGATAGAACTAGTTTAGATTTAGAATTTTATTTTTTTATATGCGACGTGTTTTACCATTCCTTACTTACCCGTGGCCCCATGTATTTGCTAGAGTTACAGTAAGACTTTTAAAAGTTATCATTCCTCCCACTGTAACATATTTTCGGCCAAAAGATTTGCCATTATATTTTTTTATACCAGATTTGACACATTTTTCTTTTCTTTTTCTTTTGACCGAACAAATGAACAATGTGAACCACTCGTTTGCCGTGTAACGGAGTGGACTTTCGTTGGGCAGTTCAAAATATGTCTATGTCAAAGAAAAGAAGAAAGAAACTGTGCATGTCAGGACCTTTTTAATATCCTCACTACCAATTTAAGCTCATATCTTTCTCCTCACAACATTTTAACATAAATCTTTATATCATATTCTCCTCCCATTTTTGCATTTCACTGAAGAACTCTAGGAGCTACTTTCTGAGTCTATCGTTTTGGGTTTCCCTGAAGTGTTCTTATTGTTTTTCGATTTCGACTTTGTTTCTTATTTACGACCCTTTCCTCTTTCCCGGTCAGGTTAGATCTATTGTTACTTTTTCAAAAAAAAAATTCTCGATCTTTATATGTGTATGTTCGTATCTTTTGAAAAGTTTTTAGACTGTAACATAAATCAATTTGTATATGATTTAATTTAACTTTTTTTTTTGTTCGGTTGCTTTGTTTCTTCTTTCACTTTTAAGTGGGTTTCGTAAAGTTATTTTCTCTGCATTGACTGGATATATGTGACCTGAGATCTGGTGGACTTTTGCTTAGAACCTAGGACACATGGATGTTGATTGTGTAAAGTTGAAAAGTAAAAACTCATTCAAAAATTATTTGTCAGTGGATTATAACTTACAAGAATAGTGGTTCTGAGAGTTAGAAATTTATTGTGAGCATTACATAAGTCCATGATAACTAAGCTCTCCTCTTAAATTCTTTTATCAACAAATACGTTCTGCTAATGTGTTTCTTTTATTTGGAAGCTTATCATTATTTGCTCTATGACAGATTAGACTGAAATGTCACGGCTTTTGGTTTGTGAGATTAGTGAGTTTTCAATTATGTTGGTGTTGTAGTTTTGTGAAACATTGACTGTCTCTTGTCTTTGCTCAAAGTAACAAAGCCTAAAAAAATAATTTTTTTTTTTTGTAGAGATATGGAGGATCAAACGGAGATGAGTTTCACGTATGAGCCAGATAGCTTCTCTGAGAAGAAAGGTTTCATACCTACGAGTTTCACGTTTGAGATAGATAACTTCTCCGAGAAGGAAGGTTTCATACAATCTCCAAATTTCCCTAGCGGCGGCTGTGAATGGTAAAAGAAATTATTATTCAATGTATATGTGCGCTTTTGATGTTTAACTTCAACAAAAAAAACTTGCCTCTGTTATTAGGTCACAACCAAATCGTTTAGTTATTATAATTTTCAGGTTTATTGCCGTTGAACCCAAAAGAAATGACAGTGGAGATATGTCTCTCGTCCTCTGCCTCTGCGTTGCGGATTCTGAATCATTGCGTTTTGGATGGAGAAGGAGAGCTGTTTACTCCTTCATTCTGTTGAATCAATCAGGCCAAGAGCTATACACAACTGGTGGTAATTAAAACCCTAACAGATGTAAACTGTATATATGGTCGAGGAAGAATATTTTGAAATATGAATGTTTCTGTTTTTTTGTCATACAGAATCGCCGTGCCAATTGTTCTGCGCTCATTTCGCAGGACGTGGTAGAACAAAGTCCTTCTCACGTAAAAAGCTTCAAAAGAAAGGGATTGTGGAGAAGAACAAACTCATTGTTAAAGTGGAAGTAAAAGTAGTTGAAGTTGTTGATGATGGAGATGTCAGTGGGAATGAGATTGTAGATTTTGATGGTTTCCAAATTCGTTATTCTCAGGTATAATTTAATTCTTATTGGTTTCTTTTTTATTTATTTGTTCTTTTTATTCTGGTTAAATAATTGCATGGTTCTCTTGCTAATAGGTTTTATCCGTGGCTACGCTTTTCAAGGAACACCCACGCTTTGCAAAAAATTTCAGACCAAACAGCCACGTGTTGAAGACAACATACATGAATCTCCTTCTCAGTCTCATCGAGACACTGAACAAGAAGCCTCCACATAGCTTCTCGGAGACTGAGCTAAGAAACGCTCGCAGCGAGTTGGCCGATCTAACAGACGCAGGATTCAAACTAGATTGGTTGAAGACAAAACTTGATGAGGTTGCCTTGGAGTGCAAGAAATCAAACATTGATGGTAATCAAGTCCAAGAACTTGAGAAACACATCAAGAGTCTCAAAGCTGAACTGGAAATGGAGAAGACCAAATCTGCTGGTAAGTTTCTGTGGGTGGAGCAGGCAATGTTGAATCTCAGTTCTGAGATGAACAAGAAGCGGAAATTAAACCCTCAATGAATAACTCTTCTACAAAGTAAGGTGTGTTTTTTTCTAACTTCGGTAATCTCAGAGCAGTAAAATCTTTTGGATGTCAAAACTTTAGCTCTGTATTTTGGGATTTTGTGTTGTGAGTGAAGATAAAAGTTGTGACATAAATCTTCCTTGGACGTACAATATTTTCTGAAGATGTTCCTTCATAATGAATTAGTAACTTACTGCTCAAGTAATCTCAGAGCAGTAAGTATAATGTATGTCAAAACTCTCGCAATGTATTTTGGGATTTAGTGTTTTGAGTTGTAACAAAATATTTCCTTAGAAGAAAAATATATTTTGAAGATGTATCAGTATCTTCATAATGAATGTAATCGGATACAATCTACGTACTGAGTACTATAAAAGAGAGAAATTACAAGAGTACTTAGAAACATAGCGAGAGTTTTTATTCTTCTTCTTCTTCTTTTTTATGATCGGAAACAGAGAGAGTTATATTCTTGAGGCTGCTTGACGGAGAAGAAGAAGAAGATTCGGATCGTTTGCTGTTCTTGCGTGATCCGCCCCGGCCTTGGGAGCAAGCAGCAACTTGCAGCCCGACCTAGAATAAGTAAGAATTTCGGCCTTAAAATTCCAAAAGTTCTCGTAGATGAGTCGGTTATGCACATGGTTGAGGTAGGAGGTGGTCACAAGTTCGAGTCTTGGCTTCAACATTTCTGAATTTGTGTTCGAAAACATATTTTTACATGCCCAAAAGTGTATTTTGATTGTAGTCCATTACTTCTCAGGGACAGCTCTGGATCCACCGTCGACGGGGTGTTACGGAGGGCGCGCCTCTAGTCCAGTAACAACGGCAGTTTTTGCAAAAGTGATGGGGCTGTGACTGATTGTAATTTTTGAAGTAACAGAATTTGGTGTTGAGTGAGTCACAGCGAGGGCACTTTAGCTGCTGCTCTTGCTCCGGTAACTCAGGTTGCTTTATCATCTTGAAAGTAGAAATATTTTTGTTCTAAGAAGAAAAAATGTAAGATATCTTATTTCTGCAGAGCTTATAAAAAGGAGAAAGGTGGAATCTTTTTGGTGTGGCAAATTACAATTTATGATGAATGTAATGGGTTATTGAGGAAGAAAAGAGTGGAGGGAGATATTTGGTGGGTTTTAGTGAGAGAGAGAGTTTCTTTTTTTTTGTCAACAAACTCTATCTTTAGAACAGCTCGGAAATCAAAACTGGTGAAACAAAGTTTACATAGTACACATCAGATAGGTAGAGCTCGAGCACTCCGTACTAGCTTGTCTGCCTTCTTGTTTTCCGTCCTTGGTATCTGCATGATGGAGAAAGAAGTGAATCTCCTCTTACATCTGTCAACCTCTTCAAGTAGTAATGAGAAAGCCGGCCCCTCCTCTGGTTTAGACACCATCTTCACCACATCAGAACAGTATGTCTGAAACACCATTGTTAATTTTCCAGTCCTTAACATACATTGCATAGCCCAAATGAGAGCTTCCAGCTCTGCCTGAAAAGGTGATATCCCCCGCCTCATATTACACCCTCCCATAAGTTTTTCAAGAGTATTCGTGTTAAAATAATACCATCCTAGACCAGCTCTACACTCTGATTCCTTCCAGGCCCCGTCCACCTGACATATGTCTCCTAACGCAGATATTTCCTCGTCGGTTTCTGTGTGGGGATATACCATCTCCAGCTGTTCCTGGGCCTTTGTCCATGCTATAGACTCCGCTTCTGCTTTGACGATTATCTCATTGGGATCCCAATCCACATTAGACATAACCTTGTCATTATGGGCTTTTCAAATGTACCAAATCAACTAAGGTCAATCAGGTAATGAGATAGATTTAACCCTCCTTGATCTCCTTGGTCAATCAGGTAATGTTATGGCTGTTTCACTTGCTGCTTTAACCACAAAAGGGAACCCACTGCCAGATGGAGTCTTGCAAAAGACGTTACAGGCTTGTGATCAAGTTCTTGATCTTGATTCCATAAGAACCAAGGTTCTTGAATTTGTTGACAGTAAGATGGGATCTGTGGCACCAAATCTCTCGGCCATTGTTTGGAGTGCTGTTGCAGCCAAGCTCATGGGAACAGCTGGAGGTTTAACGGCACTTGCAAAAATGCATGCATGTGATGCTAGGGTCGCCAAAAATCTCAAAGAAAGACGATATTCAGGTGGTGCTACTACCTCTGGTTTGTGTAACGCCCCGACCGCCCCTCCCGGTGAGTCACCCACGGCCTTTCTCTTGATCCGCAGGCTCCTCTTGGCCCGTGTGCTTCACCCTTGTCTGACGGTCGGTCTATTATTTTTGAGAGGCTCTAATGACTTGTTTACTATCCCTACAATCAACACCCGACCTTTCCCTTGTGTTTTGACCTAACTCACACGGTTTCGGAAACCACTTCCTTGAAGGTCACCCATCCTTCAAATACTCCAGCCCAAACACGGTTAACTCAGGAGTTACTTATAGACCTTTGACCGAAAAGGTAAGTGCACTTTGTTGACATAGGTAGCCAAATCAATTCTCTTAAGCCTCTCCTCATTTATCACAAACTGAGATGTTACAACTCACCCCCACTAACTGCACGCAATGTCCTCGTTGCGCACCTGGATTGTCACCCCTTGATGGTGTGAGCCAAGGCCACTTCAACTTGACTCCACACTGTCGTCTGGGTTTGGCTTTGATACCAAAATGAAGCAACCTAACATTTTTTTTTTAAATCAACTCAACGAAATTCTCAAGTCAATAAAATCAATAAATAAACAATTTAATAATAATTCAGCGGAAGCAAAAACAATTAAATAAATAATTATAGGGGAAATTTCAAAACTATACCTCTTGATGTGCCAATTTTCAAAAATACACCTTTATGGTGTTTATTTTCCAAACTACACTTTTTTCATGGAGTAAAAGAACTTTAAACCCTAAAATATAAACTCAAAACAATGCAAAACCATAAAACATCCTATCATCCCCTCTTCAGCCTTGATTCCACGATCACACAAATGTTTTACCTGCATCACATTGCGAAAGAGATGCATAAGTATTTAACAAATACTAAGTGAGGCAATCACCCTGCCTACAGGCCAATTACGCAATTTACTAACAATTTAAAATAATTATTATACACCTCAATAATTAATAAACTCCATTTCTCAATTATTAAATAATTCTCATAATTAAATAATAATTTTCCATAATTAAAATAATTAATATAATTATTTTAAACCATTTAATTAAATAACCAATAATTAATTAAATATCGAAATTAAACCAACCAATTTGCCTTTCTCATTTTAATTCAATTAAACCAGACCAATTCGATTTAACCAATTCAATTCGATTTAAACCGGGTTGAACGGGACTGTGTCGAGCGACACAAGCTTTGTGTCGGTCGACATGGACCACTTTGTGTCAACCGACAGAAGCTTTGTGTCGCTCGACACCAACATCAACGAATCAGCTCAAAACTCACAGTAAACAACGGATTCACCATAAACTCAACCACAATAGCACAAAATCACTCAAATACACATGAACACATCATGAACAACAATAAACAAATCCGAATCTAGTCAAATCGCGGACCCACAGTCATGCACTCACCTTGATTTGGCTAGAAACCGGGAAAGGAAGATGAGACAAGGAAAAACACCACGAAAATACCACATATCGACCACCAAACCACCAAGAACACCAAAAACTCTCTGTGGAATCTCTTGTAACTCAAGGGGATGATACTAAAGCCTAGTAATTCTAACACTCCTAAAACCGTCTAGGCTCTGATAACAAATTGTAACGCCCCGACCGCCCCTCCTGGTGAGTCACCGATGGCATCTCTCTGGGCCCGCAGGCCCCTCTCGGCCCGTGGGCTTCACCTTTGTCCGACGGTCGGTCTGTTATTTTTTAGAGGCTCTAATGACTTGTTTACTATCCCTGCAATCAACACCCAACCTTTCCCCGTGTTTTGACCTCACTCACACGGTTTCGGAAATCACTACCCGGAAGGTCACCCATCCTTCAACTACTTGAGCCCAAACACGCTTAAATCAGGAGTTACTTATAGACCTTTAACCGAAAAGGTAAGTGCACTTTGTTGACATAGGTAGCCAAATCAATTCTCTTAAGCCTCTCCTCATTTATCGCTTTCACTCTTGTGCAGGGAATAGAGTTGTGCAATCGTCAGGCACTAGGATTATGCCTAGGATTAGATAGTGGGATTCAAAGCACTTACTTTTTAGAGTCAGGAACTTTCTCCAAACTCAAATAAGATTTAATCTTCCCACGCAGAAAGAGACAACTTTTCAAGTGTTGAAAAACCAAATAGTACATCTCAGTAATGAACCTCTATTTATTTTATTTTTTCTGATAAGTGAAGTTCTAATAATTGATTACCAAGAGCGTTTACCTTCATTTTTGTAAACCTTTTTGTAAATCATGTACACAAAGATTATATTAGAAGTTAATTAAAATTCTTGATTCTTTCTTAATATTCAGTGACTAAGAAAAGCTGCAGTAGATTAAGCACTTGTTTGGCTGATGAAAGTTGCGGGTTTTGATTCCATATATGGTTTCCTTTGCGAGTTTGTAATCTTTCACAAAGCTTGAACCCGATACCACCATCAAGGAATTCATTAGTTTAAGCAAGTATTTTGTTAGTTAGCTAGGTTGAAATTTTATAATACTCAAATTTGTGATAACGAAATATTTAAATATTTAAACTTTTTAATCAAGTTAAACTTTTTCAAGTATTATAATACCTTGATATAATATTTTCAACTTTTTAATTGTGAAATATTTACAATAATATAAATTTTATTTGGTTTAATTATATAGTTTTATTAGAAAACCATATGAAATGAAACCAAATATACTGCTAAATTTGGATACTTATTAAATCAAACTTACATATCTTATGATTATTATTTTTTATCATTTTGGTTCTTTTTATAATAGTCTTATGAACTATATCACACATCTTCATTTCCAGTGTAAGAATTTGATGATATAATTATTATTTTCATCATTTTAGTAATTGATATCTGTTTTTCAAAATTCAAATTATAATTGTGTAACAAAACCATAGTTTTTTTTATTCATTTAGCACAATCCAATTTAGTTTTTAAATATTTTTAGTGGGCAAATATTGGACCAAAGCCCATGATAAAACTTAGTGAAGCTAAACTCTATTTATTAGTGTAATAAGCCCAAATTTCATTTACACATGTTTTTTATAATTATTAGTGGTCCAAAGTTTGTCGGGCTCGGCATTTAGTTGCCCTAAAAATAAAAATAAAGGATAAGTATCCTTCGATATAAAGCTAAAATCCATTCCCTTAAATCTCCCACTAGATCCGCCGCATCCTCACAAATCATTTTCAATGCTTTCGTCCGAGCTCAAAAACAACGATATTTATTCAGGTTAGCAAATTAGATTTCATGGTTATTTCAATGTCGGGTTTGATATATATCATTCCTAATTATGCAGTTTATTGTTGGTTCGACAATAAGTTCGATATAGACAAGTTTGAAGAGATATACTTTTCATTCTTAGATTAAGTTTAAACTTCATCTGGTTTTCAGATTGAAATTAGACAAGATTTTAAATTTTAAAGGAACAACAGAAACAATTGTAAATCTTGTTTCGTCTTGCTTATTTTGTTGTCACTGAAAGTAATCAATTTTGTAAATTGAAATGAAATTTACGGAATTTATTTTTTGCTGTTGATATCTGGGTATCTCTTAATTAAGCATATCAATAAGAAGATAACCAACAAAAGGAAGTGAAGTGTCCCTACAAAATCTTGTTCATACAGTTTCATTGTATCTTAGTCTCCTAGGATTCACAAAGAAAGGTACCCACAAAATTTCTTCTTATTAAGTGATACTTTCTCCGTTTCATACTACTTATCGTTCTATGCTTATTTTTTGTTTTGTTTTCTTGCATTTTTAGTGTATACTACACTAATACTTGCACATATGTGCGAGCTTTTCTGTTGTTGTAGTTTAAGAAGATGATGTAAAACAATTATACATTTGTGATTAATAATTTAACCCAAATTAATATCCACACTTTAATTATCATTTGTTTGGTTAGCGATTGTCTTTCAAATATGTAGTTTTGCATTGTGGGCAATCGAGCCGGGATTAACAATTTATTTTAAAAAAACAGAGATTAATCGGGAATGAGTCGGGGAGGAAATATTTACCATATTTTGTATATTTTTAGAACATTTTCATATATATAACTATATAAGTAACATATTCCAAAAGATTATATATTGTTTTTTTTTCAAATTGGCTGAAATCATAAAAAAACATTTGCAATTCTGGTCCAAACAATTTCTCCCAAGTAGATTTCTCTATCAATTTCTCTCAAAAGATTAGATATGTGTTACGATTCCAAAATTACACATTAACATGATATAGTTGTCTTAAATGGGCCGAAATCATGATTTTTTTTGCATTGTGGCCCAAACAAGTTATGATATTACATGTTGCTTTTTTAAAGAACCGGCTTTACTCAGTCAATAACAGGCGTTGACAACACAGTACCAACGATTAAGACTCATCGCCACGGTGTGAAGCCAATGAGCGATTTTTTTCACCCGATTAATTGGCACATCGGCCTATTCTTTGAACTCAGGTTTTGCATAATACCACATGTATTTATGTCTTTAATTTTCTTTATTTATTCACCGCTACATGAAATGGATTATGATTTCCCGCTATAGGAGAATTATGAAGAGATGAAGAGGTGGGAGAAAACAACAATTTTTTTTATAATAAAAACAAAAAAAATGATTTAGAGTTCTATGAAGATTTAAATAAAAACACAATGATTTAGATTCAAAGATTCATGATGAACATAAAAACACTAGGTTTAAACAAAAATACTAAAAAAGAGCTTTATGGCTTGAAGGTTAAACGAAAAAAAAAGTTTGATTATCTGAAAGAAACTTTTGAGCAGTGATACACTGATACTAGTATACTAGATTAGATGATGAGAGGAGAACACTTTAGTGTTTGGGAAGATTACATATTGCTCTCATAATCACACAATGGTTAGTGGTTACAAATACATGTACTTATATAGAAACTTATATAACCTAATCAAATCATATTACCATAATTATAAATATCTTCACAGTATTAACAGTAATGATATTGATCATCTAGATCCTTCTACACACTGAGGTCGGATTTTCAGTTCCTAGTATTTTGTCCAAACCTAAGATAAACAGCAAGCACAAACAATGAAATGCAGCAAACACAAACCTTTTTTGTTTGAGCCAACCAAATCGGCCCTAGTAATTGTTGCTTTAAAAAACACATTGAAAATTTGAAAAGTGATAACTATAGAAAACTGGATCTCACAAGCAAATACATGGGGCCACGACTAAGTAAAGAACGGTAATTAGTAAAACACATCGCATAAAAAAAAATTCAAAATGAAAACTAGTTCTATCAAATTAAGTGAGAGACTATATCTAAAAGACTAAAACTCATTGAATCAATTTATTATATATCAAACCAGAAGAAGTGTTAATATTTCCTTCCTTTTCAACAGAGAAATTAAAGTTAAAATAAATAACGTAATTTACGTATGAGAACATGCAAAGAACATTAACATTAGGGGGCTTTTCTTTTATGTATGTAAATATACACGAATCAACAATTGAAAAATCCAGACAGAAAATTAGATTTGACAAGCAATTACATGGGATACAAGTAAGTAACGAACTGTGGTTAGTAAAACACATCGCATAAATAAAACTCATTAAAAAATAAACCTAGTTTCTATCGAATTGAGAGAGATAAAATATTAAAAAAACCATGACTTCAAAGGAGTTTCAAAAGAAAATAATGCAAGAAGAAAGAAGAGAAGGGCGTGTACGAAGATGAGAGGGGTTTAGGAGATTTCAAGACTATACGGATCGGCGACCCTCTCATCTTTTTTTTTTATACCCGATTTGACACATTTTTCTTTTTTTCTTTCTCTTATGACCAAATGAACAATGTGAACCACTCGTTTGCCGTGTAACCGAGTGGACTTTCGTTGGGCAGTTCAAAATATGTCTATGTCAAAGAAAAGAAGAAAGAAATTGTGCATGTCAGGACCATTTTAATATCCTCACTACCACTTTAAGCTCATATCTTTCTCCTCACAATATTCTAACAAAAATCTTTATATCATCTTCTCCTCGTTAACATCGATCAAATCTCTTCTCCTCCTATCTTTTCAATTCACTGAAGAACTCTAGGAGCTTCTTTTGTGAGTCTATCGTTTTTGTGTTTCTCTCAAAGTGTTCTTATTGTTTTTTTATTTCAATTTTGTTTCTTGTTACAATCCTCTCCTCTTTCCGGGTCAGGGTAGATCTATTGTTAATTTCTCAAAAAAAAAAAATTGATCTTTATATGTGTATGTTCCGTATCTTTTGATTAGCTTTGTAGACTGAAACATAAATCAATTTGTATGATTTAAGCTAACTTTTTTGTTTATTTATTTATTTTATTTTTTTCCGGTTGCTTTGTTTCTTCTTTCACTTTGTAGTGGATTTTGTAAAGTTATTTTCTTTGCATTGACTGGAAATATGTGACCTGAGATCTGGTGGACTTTTGCTTAGAACCTAGGACACATGGATGTTGATTGTGTAAAGATGAAAACTAAGAACATACAGAAATTATTGGTCAGTGGATTATAACTTACAAGATTAGTCGTTTTGAGAACTAGAAGTTATTGTTAGCATTACGTAAGTCCAAGATAACTAAGCTCTCCTCTTAAATTCTTTATCAACAATTACGGTTTGCTCATAAATGTTTCTTTTATTTGGAAACTGATCATTATTGTCTTATGATTAGACTGGAATGTCACGGCTTTTGTTTGTGAGATTAGTGAGTTTTCAATTATGTTTGTGTTATAGTTTTGTGAAACATTGACTATTTCTGGCAGTTGATGATGGGTGTTTACAATTTAATTGGCTAGTTTGTGTGAAATGTAAGTCCCTGTCTCTGTTAATTGCGTAAAGTTAGAAAACTAAAAAAACATACAAAAATTATTGGTCACTGGACAATGGAGTATAACTAACAACAATAGTGGTTTTGAGAATTAGAAGTTTATTGTTAGCATTACGCAAGTCCAAGATAACTAAGCTCTCCTCTTAAATTCTTTATCAACAATTATGCTTTGCTCAAAAGTCCAATATTAGTGAGTTTTTAGTAATGTTGGTGTTGTAGTTTTGTGAGACATTGACTGTCTCTGTCTTAGCTCCAAGTAACAAACCCTAAAAAAAGAAAGTGTTTTTGTAGAGAATATGGAGGATCAAACACAGGCGAGTTTCACGAATGAGACAGTTAACTTCTCTGAGAAGAAAGGTTTTATACCGACAAGTTTCACGTTTGAGATAGATAACTTTTCTGAGAAGGAAGATTTCATAGAATCTCCAAAATTCTCAAGCGGCGGATGCGAATGGTAAAGGAAAATATTATATGTATTTATATGTGCGCTTCTGATGTTTAACTTCAACAAACAAACTTGCCTCTGTTATTAGGTCACAACTAAATCGTTTAATTGTTCAATTTTTTTTTCAGGTTTATTATGGTTGATCCCAAAAGAAATGACAGTGGAGATATGTCTCTCGTCCTCTGCCTGTGCGTTGCAGATTCTGAATCATTGCGTTTTGGATGGAAAAGAAGAGCTATTTATTCCTTCATTCTGATGAATCAATCAGGCAAAGAGCTGTATAGAACACCTGGTAACTAACCCTAAACTGTACATGTGAATATATATATATATATATGTATATTGTCGAGGAAGAATATTTTAATATATGAATGTTTCTGTTTTTGTGACATACAGAATCGTCGTGCGAATTGTTCTGCGCTCATCTCTTAGGACGTGGTAAAACAAAGTCCTTCTCACTTAGAAAGCTTACAAAAAAAGGGATTGTGGAGAAGAACAAACTCATTGTCAAAGTGGAAGTACAAGTAGTTGAAGTTGTTGATGATGGAGATGTCACTGGGAATGAGATTGTAGATTTGAAGGGTTTCCAAATTCGTTATTCTCAGGTATTTCATTTTAATTCTTTTTTTTTTTTTTTTTGGTTTTTCATTCTTTAATTGCATGGTTCTCTTGCTGATTAGGTTTTATCAGCGGCTACGCTTTTCATAGAACACAAAGACGTTGCAAAAAAATTCAGACCAAACAGCCAAGTGTTGAAGACAACATACATGAACCTCCTTCTCTGTCTCATCGAGACACTGAACAACAAGCCTCCACAAAGCTTCTCTGAGACTGAGCTAAGCAACGCTCGCAGCAAGTTGGCCGATCTGACAGACGCAGGATTCGAACTTGATTGGTTGAAGACAAAACTTGATGAAGTTACCTTGGAGTGGAAGAAATCAGACTTTGGTACTCAAGTCCAAGAACTTCAGCAACACGTCAAGAATATCGAAGCTGAATTTACTGCTGAGGTTTCGTCGTTGAAGCAGGCAATGTTGAATCTCATGTCTGAGATGAACAAGAGGCGATATTAAACCCTGAATAAATAACTTACTGCTCAAGTAATCACAGAGCAGTAAGTCTTATGTATGTCAAAACTCTCGCTCTGTGTTTTGGGATTTAGTTTTTTTGAGTTGTAACAAAATCTTCCTTAGAAGAACAATATCTTATTATCTTATAAAATTTGAAATTTTGTTATCTTATTATCTTATAGAGTTATTATTTTATCGATAAAACAATAATTATTATTTTATAGAAATATTCTATCAAAAACAAGAAACTTTATAGAAATATATTTTTTCAGATTTTTTATTCAAATTTTCCTTATACTTTGTTATTTACATATTTCATGCTCAGAAGTTCAAAGTCTATAAGAAATTATGTCTACTGTTCTTAATGGTGAAGATGAAGTTGAAGATGATGAGGAAGGACATGTGCAAGTAGTTACACAGTAAGGATGCAATTGTGGCTTCGAGAACTCTTCACAACTTTTGGCTGCATGTTGAGAATACACCTCCAATTTTCAGAAAATACAAACTACATTGGAGTCATATTTTACTAAATTGTCTTAGATATATATGCATTAGTTTTATAATTATTGTCTTAGCTTATTGTTGGGACTATATTTTTACATAGGAGTTTCAAAAATATTATTGTCTTATCATCTTATCGCATTATGCTATTTTTTACACTGGCCCGAGTTGGGACCGGAGAAAAATATTATCTTATAGTGTTTATTGTTTTATCGAGTATTGTTTTATAGAGGTTCTACTGTATTTTGTGAAGATGTTTATTCATAAGGAATGTAATCGGGTACAATTTACGTACCGAGTACTATAAAAGAGAGAAATTGCAAGAGAACTTAGAAACATAGCGAGAGTTTTTATTCTTCTTATTCTTTTTCTGATTTGGGGTCAGAGCTACGATGATCAGGTTTCTGATCGGAAACAGAGAGATTTATATTCTTGAGGCTGCTCGAAGGAGAAGAAGAAGAAGAAGAAGATACGGATCGTTTGATGTTCTTGCGTGATCCGCCGCCGACGGGGATGTTACGGAGGGCGCCGCCTCTAGTCCAGTAACAACGGCAGTTTTTGCAAAAGTGACAAGGCCGTCACTGATTGTAATTTTGGAAGTAACAGAATTTGGTGTTGAGTGAGTCACAGCGAGGGCACTTTAGCTGCTGCTCTTGCTCCGGTAACTCAGGTTGCTTCGCCGTCATCATCTTTCTTGGAAGTGGGAGTAGAAATCTTTTTGTTCTAATAAGAAGAAAAAATGTATGAAGGAGAAAGGTGGAATCTTTTTGGTATGGCAAATTGCAATTTATGATGAATGTAATGGATTATTAAGGAAGAGAGATAAAGAGTGGAGGGAGATATTTGGTGGGTTTTAGTGAGAGAGAATTTGTTTTTCTTTTTCTTTTAATCACAAATTGACAAGTTCAACACTTTCTAGATTTTTTGTTGTGAGAAGAGTGTGTGTTGATCTAAATTGGAAGACTAGTCTCTCGTTGACCTTAGCTCTTATCCTCCTATATTTTGAGTTCACGTCATTTCAGTGGTGCATGAAGATATTATAAAAACCATCTTAACATTTTCATAACCGTAATAGAAGAAGACAGATCAAATGACGTTGACTAATTGTATCAAGTTTGACCAGAAGAGCCTCCCAACATATAATGTGGTCCAATATGAATGAAACCAGCCATCACGCATTGTTGAGATTATAGAAGTAGAAAATGGCCATATAATGTGGTACATATAATGTTGGTCCATATAATGTTATACCAATATAATATGTTGGTACATATACTGTTGGTATAATGTTACACATAATTTTATACCAATGTTACACATAATGGTATGTTATACCAATGTTATATGTTGTTACATATAATGTTGTACATAAATATTATATGTTACCAATATTATATGTTGGTACATATAATGATTGTAGAATTTATAGGTAACAAAAATACCTCAACTAAATTTTGTAAAGTTTTATAATACTTCAAATATTATGTTTTTTTATTTTATTACTTCAACTTATTCTTAAGTCAACTTATTCTCATTATTTTTTTTCAATCTTAAGAAAAAAACTATAAATTCATAAAAACTAAAAAATTCATAACTTCAAAATAAATAAAAAATAGCATGCTTCATAACTTGCATACCTCTTCATGTTATGAATATTTATATTTTTTTTATTTCAAAAACTCAATGTTGCTTATGTTTGAACTTTGTATTTTTTTGAAAAGTACATAATAATTTGAATATGAATGTTTATGTTTTTTGTCATACAGAATCGTCGTGTCAATTGTTCTGCGCTCATCTCATAGGATGTGATAAAATAGTCATTCTCACTTAAAAAGCTTTTGTGGAGAACAATTGTTGAAGTTGTGATGTAACTGGGAATGAGATTGTAGATTTTAATGGTTTCAAAAGTCGTTATTCTTAGGTATAATTTTAATTCTAACTGTTTTTTTTTCCCTTCTTTAATTGATTTAACATAATTGCATGGGTCTCTTGCTGATTAGGTTTTATCAGTGACTACGCTTTTTCAAGGAACACCCACACTTTGCAGTAAATTTCAGACCAAGTAGCCTAGTGTTGAAGACAACATACAACATGAATCTCCTTCTCTGTCTCATCGAGACACTAAACAACAAACCTCCACATAGCTTCTCCGAGACTGAGCTAAGCAATGCTCGCAGCGAGTTGGCCGATCTAAAAGCCTACACAAAGCTTCTCCGAGACTGAGCTAAGCAACGCTCGCAGCGAGTTTGCCGATCTAACAGACGCAGGATTCAAACTTGATTGGTTGAAGACAAAGTTTGATGAGGTTACCTTGGTGTGCAAGATATCAAACAAAGTCCAAGAACTTGAGAAACACATCAAGAATCTCAAAGCTGAACTTGAAATGGAGAAGGTCAGATCTGCTGCTAGGTTTCTGTCGTTGGAGCAGTCACTGTTGAATCTCAGTTCTGAGATGAACAAGAAGCGGAAGTTAAGCCCTGAATAAATAACCTAGTGCTCAAGTAATCTCAGAGCAGTAAGTCTTATGTATGTCTAAAACTCTCGCTCTGTATTTTGGGATTTAGTATTTTTGTGTTGTAACATAAATCTTCCTTTGAGGAACAATATATTTTGAAGATGTTCATTCATAATGAATGTAATCGGATACAATCTACGTACTAAGTACTATAAAATAGAGAAATTTCTTAGATTGAAGAATCGTTTAGTGAGGCAAAGGAAGAGAGAAGTTAGTCACGAGCAAGATGAAGTTGCAACAGAAGCTGGACGAATGAGATAATTTATCTTCTCATTAGTCAGAAAATATAAATACAGAGTTATGGTTTTACAATTCTTTTATCTAGATATTATGTAAACAGAAAGTTAGAGAGAGAGTGATTAGGGAGCTTGTTCTCGGATCAAGTGAGAGAAAGAGTCGCTCAACGATCGGAGAGTCTCCCGTTGATCGGCATTGTACCTTTGTTATCAGAATAATACATCTATTCTTTTAACAAATTGGTGCGGTGCACTATCGGATTCGCGAATCAGAATGGGAAAAATTGACTATTTGGCGGAAGTTCTTCACGGCACAGTGGCGTCGTTGACAGATCGAGTCGATAAGATGAAAGTTGGTTGGGATCAGCTCATGGAGGCTAATCACGTCGTCTCCGGGCGTTTAGATGCGATGGATCGGAACATTTCTCGAATCGCGGAGACGTTGGCGAGGATGGAAGGAAATATCCCGAGTCGTCTCACCGAAACCGCACGACTATAGATGCTAGTGAGGTACGTGATTCTATTCCACTGGATCCTGGAGAAAATCAATCACTAGGTTATCGGAAATGTAGCTCAGTTTTAGAGAACCGAAATAACATGTTGAAGAGAATTGAGCTACCGGCGTTTTCCAGAACAGATCCGTACTTGTGGATCTCACAAGCAGAGAGATTTTTTCGACTTGGGAAATATAATGATGAAGATCGCTTGGATCTGTTGTCCATCACACTTCAAGGACCGGCTCTTCACTGGTTCAACAGAGAGATGCAGCGCGAGCCGTTCTGTGATTGGTGTCAGTTTAAACAGAGGATGATTGCAAGATTCAACCAGAAGTTGGAAGAGAATCCAAGGATGAGGTTCTTTGCGTTGAAACAAAGAGGATCAGTTGCGGATTATGTGAATGAGTTTGAGGAATTGACAACAATTGTGACGGGAGTAGAAGAAGAGAATTTGGAGCTTGTATTCTATTTGGGATTGAAGCCAGAGATGGATTTAGGATTTAGGGTTTAGGGTTTAGGAGGTTGTTAAAATGCAAAAACCGAAAGGTTTATCAGCTCTTTTCACAACAGCAATATCAATGGAGGATAGTCAGTTCTGCAAGGCTATGGCAGCGTTAGTGAATCCATCAAGACGTGGCCAATTGTTCTTTCTGTTGCGTTCGTCCTTACAATACAATTTTCAAGGGAATGTGGAACCAACTGAAAAAAACAAAAGCCTGGTGACTCAGGAGAAGAGCAAACCACCGTGGCAGAACAATGGAGGAAAGAATTATAGCGGAATGTTGAAATTGAGTCCCGCAGAGATAGCAGAAAAGAGGAGATTGGGCCTTTGTTACAAATGTCCAGAGAAGTGGTCAAGAGGGCATCAATGTCAGAACATGATGTTGCAGGTGTTTACACTGATTGATGACGACTTCGTGGAGATTACCGATGAAGATTGGATGGATGGGTTTGAGGAGAAGACAGAGACGAGCCCAGTACTAATGGAGTTATCTCTTTGCTCTTATCTGGGACTTGACTCACCGGTTGTTACAAAACTTTGGGGAGATATTGGTGGTGTGAAGCTAGTAGTGATGATTGATAGTGGAGCCACACACATTTCATAGACCCTTCGGTTCTAAGCAAAATACAGTTGAATCCTGCTAAGAACAGAAGACTTGAGATTTTGTTGGGTACGGGTATTACAGTGGATGGCACAAGAGTGTGCAGAGACGTTTCACTAGAGCTTCAGGGACACGCCTCTGTCATGAACTTGGTGGTGTTAGAATTGGGGAATGCAGAAATAATACTTGGAGTTGATTGGTTGCGAACACTGGGGAAGTGTGAGCATGATTGGGACAAACACGATATGTCTTTTATATACAACGAAAAGTTGGCTGCTCGCTTCTATGGTCCATTTGAAGTTTTGGAGAAGATTGGAGAGGTGGCTTATCGATTGAAGCTCCCTGCAGAATCCAAAATTCACCCGGTTTTCCATGTTTCTCAGCTGAAACCAGTTCTCGGAACGCGTCATCACGTTTCACCTCTTCCGGACTCGTTCTCGACTCGGCCGGAACTTGTGATCGAACCTGAGGCTGTGTTGGATACTCGCTACAACACTGCGGGTCACTTGGAAGGGTTAATCAAGTGGAAGAGCCTTCCGGAACATGAAAAAACGTGGATTCGTGCTTCTGATTTACTCGAACAGTTTCCTGAACTTGAGGACAAGCTTCTTGTCGACGAGGGGGGTATTGTTAGATTGAAGAATCGTTTTGTGAGGCAAAGGAAGAGAGGAGTTAGTCACGAGCAAGAGGAAGTTGCAACAGAAGCTGAGCTGGACAAATGAGATAATTTCTCTTCTCATTAGTCAGAAAATATAAATACAGAGCTATGGCTTTACAATTCTTTTATCCATATATTTTGTAAACATAAAGTTAGAGAGAGAGAGAGAGAGAGATCAGGGAGCTTGTTCCCGGATCAAGTGAGAGAAAGAGTCGCTCAACAATCGCGGCGTTGTACCTTTGTTATCGGAATAATACATCTATTCTCTTAACAAAATTACAAACAGAACTTAGAAACATAGCGAGGGTTTTTATTCTTCTTCTGATTTCGGGTCCAAGCTACGATGATCAGGCTTCTGATCGGAAACAGAGAGAGTTTTACTCAAGAGGCTGCACGACGGAGAAGAAATATGGATCGTTTGATGTTCTTGCGTGATCGGCCGCGGAGGGGGTTTTACGGAGGGCGCCGCCTTTAGTCCAGTAACAACGGCAGCTTTTGCAAAAGTGACTAGGCTGTGACTGATTGTAATTGTCAAAGTAACATAATTTGGTGTTGAGTGAGTCACAGCGAGGGCACTTTAGCTGCTGCTCTTGCTCTGGTAACTCAGATTGCTTGGCCGTCATCATCTTCAATTGTGAGGTTTTTCTTGGAAGTAGAAATCTTTTTGTTCTAAGAAGAACAAATGTAATGATATCTAATTTCTGCAGAGCTTTTAAAAGGAAAAAGGTGGAATCTTTTTGGTGAGGCAAATTGCAATTTATGATGAATGTAATTGGTTATTTGGTGGGAGATATTTGGTGGGTTTAGTGAGAGAGAATTTATTTTTCTTTTTCTTTTAATCACAAATTGACAAGTTCAACACTTTCTAGATTTTTTGTTGTGAGAAGAGTGTGTGTTGATCTAAATTGCAAGACTAATTTCTCGTTGACCTTAGCTCTTATCCTTCTACATTTTGAGTTCACCTCTTGGGTCATTTCAGTGGTGCATAAACATTTTCATAACCGTAATAGAAGAGACAAATCAAATAACGTTGCCTAATTGTATCAAGTTTGACCAGGAGAGCCTCCCAACTTATAATGTGGTCCACAAATGAATGAAACCAGCCATCACGCATTGTTGAGATTATAGAAGTAGAAAATGGCCATATAATATGGTACATATAGTGTTGGTCCATATAATGTTATACCAATATAATATGTTGGTACATATAATGTTTGTATAATGTTACACATAATGTTATACCAATGTAACCCATAAGGGTATAGTGTTATACCAATGTTATATGTTGTTACATGTAATGTTGGTACATATAATGTTGGTCCATATAATGATTGTAGAATTTATAGGTAACAAAAATACCTCAACTAAATTTCGTAAAGTTTTTTAATACTTCAAATATTATGTTTCTTTATTTTATTACTTCAACTTATTTTTAAGTCAAGTTATTCTCATTATTTTTTCAATCTTAAAAAAAAAACTATAAATTCATAAAAACTAAAAAATTCATAACTTCAAAATAAATAAAAAATAGCATGCTTCATAACTTGCATACCTCTTCATGTTATGAATATTTATAGTTTTTTTTCTTCGAAAACTCAGTGTTGCTTATGTTTGAACTTTGTATTTTTTTGAAAAGTACATAAAATTATACGAATGTTTATGTTTTTTTGTCATACAGAATCGTCGTGCCAATTGTTCTGCGCTTATCTCATAGGACGTGGTAAAATAGTCATTCTCACTTAAAAAGCTTTTGTGGAGAACAGTTGTTGAAGTTGTTGATGATGGAGATGTAACTGGAAATGAGATTGTAGATTTTAATGGTTTAGGAAAAGACTTTTTCCTCTCGAAAAAGACGATCTCCGGTGAAGCTCCGTTCTCGTGGTCCACTAGCTCGATGACTACTCCAGTCCTCCCTACACCGCCAATTCCACCAGATCTGCTAATTCTCCATTCTACAGATCCCCTAGCTCCCGTTTCCTCTCCTCTGCGTTATAGAGACACTGTAATAGTGGATCTAGCTGGGTCTTCTCCGGTGGTTAACTCCGGTAAAAAGGAACTACCTCCGGCGGCTCCTTCATCAAAAAATGGCTCTATCAAGAGCTCCTCCTCTCCTCCTTCATCGATTGTAGCTCCTACTGCTGATGTCGGCCTTCCTGGATATGGGAAAACAGTTGAATCGAGTGAGTCAGCCTCAGCGAATCCTTCTTCCCTCTCAAATTCTGCGGATCTTCCGTCCAAGCCTTCTAAAGAATTCAATTGGGCAGCAGGCCTGAAATCATCTTGCAAAATCCCGGAATCTAACGTCGTAGTGACGACTACACCGGAAGGCGTGCCTAGGGTAAAGGTACCAAATGCGGTCTTCAAAAGAGGCGCTAAATTGCATTCCGACTATATTGTCGGGATTTTCTACGGAAATCCTCCATCTTATGGAAAAATATGGGGAGTCCTAAACTACTTGTGGGGAAAGGACCGGAAGGTCACAATTCATAATCTGACTCCAAATGCTTTCTTGTTTCGAATCCCATCAGCTTCTTTGAGGAACAAAGTGCTCCAACATGAACTCTGGAGAGTTGGTGATTCTCCGTTTTTCGTGACCGAATGGAAAGCGTCCTTCAGCCTTGATCCGCCGTCACTTAAAAAGGCACCGATTTGGGCAACCATCACCAACATCCCTTTTGATCTGGTGACAGATGAAGGTCTTAGTATCATTGCTAAACCTTTGGGAAAGATAGTTGATAAGAAACCTTTTACAAGCGTCAACTCAGCAGAGGTTAAAGTGATTGTCGATCTCACGTCTACTTTACCAACCACAACGGAGATTGAGAGAGATGATGGTCAGATTGTGGTGTTATCTGTTACATACCCCTGGCTCCCACCTCTGTGTTCGGTGTGTAATGAAATTGGACACAAAGCTCTTTTCTGTCCTGTTGTCAAAAAACCAAAATCCGGGAAGGTGAATTCTTTGAGCTCAGGTCAATCTGTTCAGAAACCGTCGAGTTCAGGTAAATCTGCTCAGAAACAAGATCATACCCCAAATATCCAAAACTCTGCTTCTTCAGGGTCCCAAGTCTGGGTAGAAAAACAAAAATCTTCATTGGGGAATCAGGTTCGTCATGATGTTGTCTCTGGCGTCTCTCCTTCAATGGAACCTCAACAGAACGAAGAGATAGTTAAGGAGAAAGAATGTGCTCAATTGGAACCTCCAAACAAAGCTCCTCCGAAAGTGTTTGGGGACAATTCATATCTGAAGGCGACAAAGGAGAATTCAGTTGTGGCTTTCTCTGCAAAAGAAACTTTCTCTACGCAGACTCAGTTTCAGATAGCAGTTAACACTACTCAACGCAAGATTGTCCCTGCTACAAGCTCGGAAGCTTTGGTTTCCCCAAATGCGTTTGATTTGCTTGCGGTGGAATCAGAGGAGGGTGAGGAAGACTCTGAGTACGAGGATCCTTGACAGCGTCATATTTTGGGGCGTGATATCATTCTTCATAAACCCTCCACGCCTAAATCCCTATCCCCTTCTTCTCCTTCATCGTCTGCCAAGCGTAAGAGAAAGAAGAGAAAGAGGTTTGGGCAGAACTCGCCGGTCAACGGTGGCGGTTTCCCTCTATTGTTAGAGGGTGGTCACCCCAACTAAACCTATCTATGTGTGATACATTTTTTTGGAACGTGCGTGGTATAAACGAAGTATCGAAGCATTGGCCGCTCGCTAACTGGATATCTAGTAAACCAGTATCTTTTGGAGCGCTATTGGAAACGCATGTAAGGGAACCTTCTAGAAACCACATCTTATCTACTATAGCTCCTAATTGGTCTTGTATATCTAATTATGACCACTCTGAGTTGGGGAAGATTTGGCTTATCTTCAAACCTCCCACAACTGTTAGGCTTTTGTTTGTGGATCTCCAGTCAATCAATCACAGTGGAAGTTACTATTGAATCTGGTGAAAGTTTTATCTACACTGCTGTTTATGCCTCAAATGATTTTGATACTAGGAAGGAGTTATGGCTATCACTACGAGATACTTACTCCTCTTTCAACCTAGCTGCTAGACCTTGGATGGTAAATGGAGACTTCAATGAAATCTTGCTTCCTTCAGAAACATCTAATCCTGCTATTCTGAGGACTAATCGGGCAATGCGACTCTTTGGTGATTGCTTAACTGATGTAGGACTGTTTGATCTTCCTTTTCATGGTCCTGCCTATACATGGACTAATCATCAGCCTACTAGCCCGATTGGAAAGAAAATAGACAGATGTTTGGTAAATGGGAACTGGTTGGCCACTTTTCCAACTAGTCACTGTTCATTTGAGGCTCCTCTGTTTTCTGATCATACCCCCTGCGTTATAAACCTGATTACAAAGCCTCCGAACTATGGAACTAGGTCTTTTCGCTTCTACAACATGTTGCTGAAACTACCGTCTTTCCTAGAGACTGTTCAAGAAGCATGGAATGAAGCTGGTGATTCAGCTACTACTCTTAGTTCTCTCTGTTTTAAGCTCAAAAGCCTAAAGAGACCTATGAAATCTCTTTGCAAGGAAAAGTTTAGTGGTATAGAGAATCGAGTCTTTGAAGCGGCGGACCAGTTGAAAGCTATTCAGATGGTATCTCTACAAGACCCTTCACCTTCAAATTTGCTGCTAGAGAAATCAGCAAGGGAAAATTGGCTACTTCTTCGTCAAGCTGAGGAAAGTTTTTTCAAACAGCGTTCTCGTGTAAAATGGCTTTCGGAGGGAGACTTCAATACGTCGTTCTTTCACAAAGTCATGAAAGCAAGAAACGCTGAAAACTCCGTGAAGTATCTGACTCGACCGGATGGCACTCGAGCAGAAACGTCTCAGGAAATTCATATGCATGCGGTCAACTATTACGAGTCAATTATGACTTCTGTGCGTGGTTTTTTCTCACCTGACCTCCCGGATTTCTTGGAGTTGCTCCAGTTGCCTATTTGCTCTCATGCTCATCTAGTGATATTAACGAAGGAAATTACAGCGGAAGAGATAAAGCTATCCCTTGCTAGAATGCCATCAAGTAAAACCCCAGGTCCCGACGGATTTCCAGCAGAGTTCTTCAGAGCGTCTTGGGGCATTCTCGGTGCCGAGATAACAGCGACAATCTTGAGCTTTTTTCGGTCTCCTTTCATGCCAAAAGCTCTCAATTCCACTTCTCTTGTTTTGTTGCAGAAAAGGCCTGAAGCGGATGAACTAAAAGATTATAGGCCAATCTCTTGTCTCAACACAATTTATAAGCTTATTACTCGTCTCTTGGCAGGTAAACTAAAGTCCATACTCCCGGAGATGATAGTTCCAAACCAGACAGCGTTTGTCAAGGACAGACTCTTGTTGGAGAATGTTTTGCTAGCGTCAGAAGTGATCAAAGGCTATCATAAACTGAATCTATCTCCAAGAATGACTCTGAAAGTGGACATCTCTAAAGCTTTCGACTCTGTTCGATGGGATTTTATTCTGAGTGTCCTGCAGGCTCATAAAGTTCCATCAGTCTACCTTCAAGCTATAAGGTCATGCATCTGTTCTCCCACTTTCTCTATCACTATCAATGGTACAACCTCAGGGTATTTTAAAGGGAAAACAGGTCTCAGGCAAGGGGATCCTTTATCTCCATCTCTGTTTGTTATGGTGATGAATGTCCTTTCTTTGATGTTGAATAAAGCTGCGTCAGAGGGGATCTTCGCTTATCATCCTGGCTGTGAAATCCTCAAGCTTACACACTTATCTTTTGCCGATGATTTACTCATTTTCCTGGAGGGAAACCTGGACTCTTTGAAAGGTGTTTTCCAAGTTCTGAAACAGTTTGAAGAACTCTCAGGCTTAGTGGTAAACATCTCAAAAACAAGTCTCTTCTGCTCTGGCATCGACTTTTCGGTTCTAGCTGATATTGAGGCATCTGTGGGTCTGTGTCCTAGTGCTCTTCCCATTCGTTACCTGGGGTTGCCACTTTGCACAAGAAAGCTCTCTATGGCAGACTGTGACCCGCTGATTACACAGATCAGGAAGAAACTCAATAGTTGGACCCATCGGCTTTTAAGTCTAGCAGGAAGATACACTCTTCTCTCATCAGTGATCCCGGGTATTGTTGGATTCTGGAGTTCTGCGTTTTTCCTGCCAAAGGCGGTAATAAGAAAAATAAATTCGATGTCTAGCGCTTTCTTCTGGCATGGCTCGACTGACTCCGCAAGAGGGGCAAAGGTGTCATGGCATGATATCTCTTTCCCTAAGAAAGAGGGAGGATTGGGGTTGAGGAATCTTAAAACCTGGAATGATACTTGCGGTTTAAAGCTCATTTGGATGTTGTTTTTCAGGGCTGGCTCCATTTGGGTAGCTTGGATCAGGCAAAAGTACCTCTCCCATTCTCCTTTCTGGGCGTTGAATGGAAAAAATTCCGGATTTTCTTGGATGTTCCGTCAGATTCTGAAGTTGCGAGTTAAGGCTAGCTCCCTAATCAGAACTGTGATCGGCAATGGTGATGACACTTTCTTTTGGTGGGATCCATGGACTCCTTATGGACCACTCATTCATTATATTGGAGGCGACGGACCTTATGCAATGGGCATTCCCTTATTCTCCACTGTTAGCGAGCTAAAAACAACTCAGGGATGGAAACTACCTCCTCCGAGGTCAGAAAAGCAGCTGAATCTCCATGTGTTTGTCACTACTTTGACACCTTCTGTTTCCAGTGATCATACAGTCTGGGTTATTGACGAGGTAATTCAAAAGTCTTTCTCGTCTCGTCAGGTGTGGAACTGCATAAGAGAAAAGAAACCAGAGGTACCTTGGGCGAACACTATTTGGCATAAAGCGAGGATTCCTAAACACGCTTTTACGGCCTGGCTTTTTGTTCTAAATCGAAATCCAACGCTTGATCGAATAACTAGATGGGATTTTGAGTTAGAACAGACTTGTCTTTTGTGCGGTCTCGAGGCGGAATCGCGAAATCATTTATTTTTCAGCTGCACTTTCTCTCGCCAGGTTTGGGAGGTCATTCTTTTAAAGCTGGGGATTCAGTCTCCACTTTATCAATGGGACGTTGTGCTTCAGTGGCTGCCGGCGGCAACCGGAAGTGGGGATTTATCATTGGCATTACTTCAGGCATGGCAGGCCTGTATTTATGAAGTGTGGTGTGAGCGGAATAGAAGATTTCATCTTGGAGTCACTTTTCCGGTTAGGAAAATCATCCGCCTTGTTCTCTTGGTGGTTAAAGATAGGACTTTGGGTCTTGTTCAGCAAAATCAGGACAGGCAGAGTCTTCTTTTGTGCTGGAGCTAATGTGCTTCAGTTTGCTCTTCTCTTATTTCTTCTTTTTCTAGCTTCTTTTTATGTAATTCTAGATGAGTGATTTCATCTGGTTCTCTTGTAAACTTTTATTTATAAATTCAAGAAAGCCCTTTATCAAAAAAAAAAAAAAAAGATTTTAATGGTTTCAAAATTCGTTATTCTTAAGTATAATTTTAATTCTAATTGTTTTTTTTTCCTTCTTTAATTGATTTAACATAATTGCATGGGTCTCTTGCTGATTAGGTTTTATCAGTGACTACGCTTTTCCAAGGAACACCCACACTTTGCAGTAAATTTCAGACCAAGTAGCGTGTTGAAGACAACATACATGAATCTCCTTCTCTGTCTCATCGAGACACTAAACAACAAACCTCCACATAGCTTCTCGGAGACTGAGCTAAGCAATGCTCGCAGCGAGTTGGCCGATCTAACAGACGCAGGATTCAAGCTAGATTGGTTGAAGACTAAACTTGATGAGGTTACCTTGGAGAGCAAGAAATCAAACATTGATTGTAACCAAGTCCAAGAACTTAAGAAACACATCAAGAATCTCAAGTGATGTGTGTATTTGTGACAATAAAGGCACATGTACACTCTAAATGAAAAAACAAATAAGCATGCATACTTGTTACACAAGCAAAAGGCTCAAAGCGACCCCTTTTGCACAAAACCCTAATTACAACATTGGCATAGGTCAAGGTTCTCTTAGATATCTGGAAGTGGTTTAGGCTGATTGATTAATATAAACATTAGAGCATTGATTGATTTGGAAGATCATCAAAAGTAGACGTAGGAAGAAGATCTGACACAGTTATCAAATCACCAAATGAACAACAAGAAGCACACAAATCTTATATCAAACTCGATCTCTAGAGCTATGGAATCATTATGACACCATAACATCTTATTATATACCGGAGCTAATTACACCCTGAATCTTTTATAAGCTACAAGAACTTGCTTAGTTGAGACCAGCCTGCCTCTCCCAGGTAAGATCAGCCGAGAACTCGGATAACGCGGATCTCGGATCGCCCTCCGCGATAGCCAAGTAGTATTGAGCGGTTCCGTCGTCGACTTGCATGCTCCTCCTTAGAGAATCAACCAACCTTCGCTTTCCAAGCTCTGATGAGTTTGACATTGTATGATTCGGTTCTTGTTCTCTCTTTGGTCCGCCTTCGAGGTAAAGCACAGCGACTTCCCGTTTCGCGTATTTGTCCACCTCTATGTAGCAAACGGTGTTTGCAAGAATTACAGGATTGCTTATTGGGATAAGCAGTCTGTCTCTAGAGTATATTCCGTGGTCACTCATCATATTGTTTAGCCTCTTTATGTCCATAACCTAATCAAAAGCAAACATAGACAGAAAAAGAGAAACCAATCAATCAACCAAGAAAAACTTACTTTTTCCCAAACAAAATCTTGAATTCTTGATTACAAGAAGTTTCAAAGAAGAGTTTTTTAAATTCTTGATTATAAGTTTCTCCTACTTTGGTCGTTATAGATGCAGACATTTACACACATAAACTAAATCACTCAAAATCACTTCACATATCTCTTGATTTTGTGACTCCATTCCTCAACAATCCAATACACAAATTCGCAAGATTCTATTGATTCATCCTATAAATCACATGAAATTTGAAAAGGATTATGAAGAACACAAAATGGAGATCACATTTCCGAATCAATTCCAGTAATTAATTGGATTCAGTAACATAGGAGCTAAAATCTCATCTTTCAAACTCATGAAATTTAACATGTAATTACGAAGAAACACAAAAATTGAGATCAAATTTCGATTTGCTCAGCCAAAATCACTTCACAGATTGTCATAGATTCTTGAGTTCATCTTCACGAGTGCTTACTCAAAATCGCAAAAAAACTTATTGATTCATCATCCTAAATCACATGAAATTCGAAAGGATTATGAAGAAAACAAAATCGAGTTCACATTTCCCAATTAATTCCTGTAACTGATGGATTCAACAGCTAGAATCTCATATTTCAAACTCATGAAATTCCAAGTGATTACGAAGAAACACAAAAGTGAGATCAAATTTTGATTTGATTCCTGTAATTATCAAGCAATCGAAGACGAAAGAGGCGAAATCGAAACGAACCTGAACGGAGTACTTGACGGCGAGGCTAGTGACACTATCACCACGAGAAATCCGATGAGAGATTGCGAATTTCCAGATTCCGTTGTCTCTCCAGAACGAACCAGAAACCGGTCTCCCAACAAGCTCCTTGATCCGCCACCGCGCCGTGAACGCCGTTACCACCAGATCATCCTCTGTAGCGACGGAGTTCCAGATCCTGGAAACGCAGCTCGCACGGGCGAGATCGGCGACGGTAAGGCTCTGGAAGATAAGGCGGAGTGTGTCACGGGAGGAGAGTGCCATGAAGTGCGAATTCGACGGCGGGATGGTGGTGGATGATTGATCGGCGGTGGCGGTGTTGATTCGACGAGGCTATCGTCGGCGATGTTTTGATTGCAGCAGTGTATATAGACTTTTAAAGAAAAGAAAATTAATAACAAGTAAACGTGGCAGTGTATATATCCACAATTTCATTATACCATACAAACCAATGAAATCTTACTCTCTCAATAGACATTTCTAAAACGTTGTCAAAAAAAGAACAAAAAAAAAAGTCATTTCTAAACCAGAAATTGTGAAAGATATCTTCTTCATTAGTGTTTTTTTTGTTGTTGTTGTTTCAAGTTGCATGGAAACGAGCGAATTTCATTTCCAAAACAGGAAATGTGTATTTTAAAAATTATAAGATCGGAAACATATATATATATAAATAATATTAAATAATTTAACGAAAGATAAATATTAATTAATATTAAAAAATTACAAAATTTTTATACCTCCATCAGCCGAAATTATTTTACATAACTCCATCATCTTAAGAAAGATCTTTAAAGTCAATAATGTTAAGACTAATCGCATATAATTAATCAAACTAATCATTTATAACTAAATTACTCATTTAATCTTATTATTGTTTTTTTAATTATTTACATACTTTCTGAAAAAAAAGGGAATTAAGCTTCGCTGAAGTTTCTAAAATGAAAACATGTTTTATCGCGTTTCCAAACTGAAATTATTAGGAAACTTGAAAAAACAAGTTTCCGAAAGTTTCTGTTTACGAAAACGAAATTTTCATGTAACATAGGTTCCCACAATTGATTTGATTGGATTATATTGAGAGACTGATTGATAAAACACAAAGATTACCAATGGATTTAGCAATTTGCTTAATTAGATTTACTCTCTCAAAGGTTGTTAAATCACATAAACTCGTTTTTGATGAGCAATGCACCATATCATAACCTAAAGAGTTGAATATAGTATATTTTAAGCAATTGAATCTTGAACGAAATAAAATATGTTTATTTTCTCCTTTAAAAATGAAAATTTGGTCATCAGAATGTTTTAGCATAATGTTACGAAAGTGAAATATTTTTTTTTGTTTGTTCAACAACGAAATGTTCCAAACAAAAGATATTAAGGCCAAACAGGCTAAAAGGACCGCACTAAACAAAGCAGGAATAGAGACAACAGCAAGAACAACAACATTGATAAGGGATAACAAAACACTTGAACCACCAAAACCGAAGAACTCCACAACAATAGTATGTATAAGTGAAATGGTGCCATGGGCATTGTACGATACATCTAGTAATCCTAAACCCGAGATTGAAAACGCATCTAGTGCAAGTTTAACAATCCTGATAACGTCAATGAACTCTATAGTGACAAAGCACCAAGCTACTGAGCCTACAAGACACGAAGTGTTTGACAATTTCGAACTCCAACACCCTGCAATAACACCACTCAAACCAAGCAGCAATTTTGGGAGGGAGATAAACTCCATAAAGGAGAGATCATCCAATATCTCATAGGGATTAAACATATCCAGAAAATTCACACCAAATTGCCATAAATCTTGTAAAATAGACTTCAAAACATCAATCACTAAAGTAAGATTTGGGAAGAGACTGCATATAACAATAAGGGTTCGCACAAAGGCAATAAGATCCGAATCAATCGGTAATGTCTGCAACTTATCAAGAAACTCCAAGACCAAAGTTGCCCGTTCCCCGGCAATCTCAAAGACGAATCAGAATGAGACACGTACGTGCCGGGAGAGAGGAGCAAACCTGGAAAAGATGGAGAGAAAAGGCCTACGAAATTGGAAGCCGAGATCTGATTGGCGACAAGGGAAGCCATAGGAGATCTGATGGACAGCGAAGATGAACGAGATGAGGATATAGCGGTGGAGAGAACTGTGTAGTGATGGTGAGAGGCATAGATCCACCGACGTCAGGTGGATCTGGAGGATCCGGTGGGTTCCCGAGAGAGAAGAGCGACTCACACTCTGGCACGAAAGTGAAATGGTTAAACATCATTTATTTGATAACTAAAACGGTTTTAATTAGTTTTCAGTTTGTCAATCTATGCAACGAATCTATTGTAAAGTATTCATTGATCTCTTTTGTTTGATCTGAGCTTGTCACCAATAGCAACTATTCTTGCTAATAAGGAAAAGCTGAGGCAATGAATGACAGAAATCAAAGCAAATACAGTAGAAACTCTATAAATTGATACTCGATAAATTAATAAATTCTATTAAATAATAATTTTCTCCGATCTCAAATCGGACTAGTGTAAAAATTAGCAAAATTCGATAAACTAATAAGATAATAACATTTTTGAAACTCCTATGTAGATATATGGTCCCATTAATATCATAAATTAATAAATGTCATAAATAATTTTATGTAAATACATATTTATGATAATATATTAAAATATAAGTATAATTTTCACTTCTTTTCTACTATAACTCAAATATATTTAGATTTCATCCATAATTTTAAAATGAACTTATACAAAATATAAAAAAATTTAAAATTTTCTTATTTTTGTTTAATTTTATCTTTATTTTAATTATTTTTTAATGAAACAATTATTTTATGCAAGATCCATAATTTAATAACTCTATAAATTAATAAAATATCAAAGTTTCAATTTTATTAATTTATAGAAGTTCTACTGTAACTCGTTTGTAACCTTGTGAGTGATGAGATTGTGGGTGCACTTCGAAAAAAAAATGTGATTGTGAAAAATATTTGAAAATTGTGCGTTCCTATAACCGACAAAACGTTTAAGATAATATCAAATCCTTAGGAAAAGATTCTGTAAATCGAATTTTTTTTTGGCAAATCAACAAAATTTCCGGCTGGATACTTCAAGCCTTCATTTGGTAAATGGGAGAGGCAAAAACTTCAAATCATAAAATGCAAACCAACCTCATTTTGAGAATCTTGAAGAAAAGTAAATATATATCGTTTGAAAACAAAAACAAATAGATCGTTGAAGGTACAATAACCGATAAGATTTAGTTTCAGCTTCAAGTAGCTAATACTAATACTTAACAGACATTACATTGACGTATGTGCGGCCGGACGCGTATGCTTATGTAAATCTATTGATAAACTATAATGACAGGCTGGTTCGTACAAAGCTACATTAACTAGTAGGAGTATCCGAGGCGATCCGACCAAAAGTCTTACTTTATTATTTTTACACGAACTTGCGACAAAATGTTAAACTAGTTAATCACCAAGGTAACCAAGTATGACTTCTTGGGTCTTTAAATATAAGATTACTCCCCAAAACATATCCAACCGAATCTCTTCTTGAATCTTGATCAAACTTTGTCTCTTTCACTAAATGCCCACTCCAATCGGCTAAGTGAAGAAAAAATGAATGATAAAGATTTGCCACCTCCGCAGCATCAAGTGTTCATCAATTTCCGTGGAGTTGATGTTCGCAATGGCTTCCTTGGACATCTGGAGGGTAGCTTGAAAAGACGCGGGATTAACTTTTTCATCGATACATACGAAATTAAAGGTGAAGAAATCAGCAAACTTTTCAAGAGGATCGAAGATTCAAGAATCGCGCTAGCTGTGTTCTCCCGGAGGTACACAGAATCAGTATGGTGCTTGGACGAGTTAGCAAAGATCAAGGAGCGTGTAGATCTAGGCATGCTCAAGGTAAGATAATGAATTAAAATCGGTATTGCTAATGTAAATTTTTTTTTTTTTTTTTTTTGCGTCAAATGTTAATGTAGCCAACTAGCCAAGCCATGTGTATAATTATATCATTAAATTTTCTTTCTAATATTGGTGAGTTTAATTCTCTGTCATGTTAAGGTACTTCCCATCTTCTACAAGATAAAGACCGGTGACGTCAAACAACTCGAGGGAAATTTTGGAGACAAATTGAGGGAACAAAAGCGGAAGATTCCGTTGGAGAAACAAAGATATAAGAAATGGAAGGCGGCATTGGAGTCTATTTCTGGTAAGCATGGATTGACGCTAACCGAAGAAAGGTATACACTTCATTCTTTCCATAGATCTATGAGTATCTATAATTCACAGTATTCACTAGAACTTTCTTTGGTTTAACTACTCTGATATGTAGTCTCGAAGATATATATATGGAGGGAAAGTCTCTAATCAACATGACAATCCCAATTTTTTCATAGCTTAGTTAGGGCTTTGAATTTTTTGAATGATACCTAAACGTTTCTTGTTGGTCAATTTATATATGTACTTAAGGTATACTGAAATGAAAAATATTGAAAATTTTGAGTTTTAATGAGTTTTTAGATGATTTTAGGTGAATGAGGAAAGTTGTTATGATTTATTATTAAAATTCTCTGCAATGAAATATGAATCTTGTTTTTAACAAAAAAGCTTCACCAAGGTACTATGAAGTCATTAGAAATCCACCAAAATCCACTACTTAAAATATTTCCAATAATATTGGATTTGAACGTATATTTTCAAATCACTAGTTCAATAACATTGGATTTTAAAGTTTTAAAAAGTTCATGAGCAAATAACATAGAATTTGTCATTTTAATATAAATTAATTCAAATTTTTGATTATATACACTAGTCCTAGTTTTCTACTTTGAATATGTCTTTTTTCGTTAGTTATACATACCCAATGTTACGTAAATGTGCTAATTAGACTGTTTATTTATTGACTTCTCTTATCAACTCTTTTAACAGTTCAGTCAGAATCTTGTTCCAGTTGGCCCTGTGACATTCATAGCTTTAAGCCTCTATCTGGACCGGGCGGGTCTAGTTACAGTGTATCGAGCCTTAGTGTATCGACATCTGTTGATGGTGGTCCAGTTTCTACTACAGAGAAAGTGTGGTATTCAACTCCAGACACTACGGCGAACACACCTGACTTCTTGCCAATGGAGAATTTATCGTTTGGAGATATTGTCAAGCACATGCATGATGATACCTGGTCTTCACGAATGCTTGGCTCCAGTTCAAAATGATCTTACGATTGGCTTGATTGGCTTGATATAATATTCTTAAGAACGCTCTTTCGTAGCATTTCCATGGGTTTCGCATAAGTTATTTCCAACTTTCTTTTTATAATTATTTTGGATTTAAGATGGATATGAGCCAAAAGTGAAATCGATTATGTGTTCGCGATTTTTGTATTACTTTTGATGTAAGATTATTAATAAATCATGGACCAAAGAAGCTTCCACGACGGTTTAGATTAATTTATATCGCAAGAATATATTTAACTAGACAATGACATGCTTAATACATATATCAATCCTTAATATGTGAAAGAGGAACATCAGCTCATAAGAAGTCAGTCAAATGGCTAGGAAAGATAATATGGCCAAGAGGTAATATATTTGGCTATTTAGCAAATTGTCGACCGTTGCTAAAGCCAAAAACCAGGACCATTATCTAGGGATTAATAACGATAGATCTTTGGCTAATGTCACGGCAAGTTGATGTAGCGACGTTGTTGTTGTAGTAGACCCCTCCTCCTTGGTGGCTTTTTCGTGTTTAAGAATGGGTCACTTCTTGTTGACTAGTTTTTGGATTATATAAAGCTACTTTTTCTTGGCAACGAAAAAGAAAACTAGATTTATTATGTAATCCATTTTTAGTTGGATTGAAAGCTCTTTATCAAAAAAAAAAAAAAAATGGATTGAAAGCTAAACGTTAATAAATCATCAAAAGAACATTTCTAACATCATATTTAAACTACGGTTAATTCAACCGATGGTGACATACTACAATATCATGCCATTGGATTACAGAACAGTCCTCGTACACTATCTGACAAATTATATTGATTTCTTCGTTATATCATTTCTAAAAAAACGAAATAATTTAAAACATTCGACCAGTGTTGACATATTCTTAAGATCATTTGCTATTATTATTTGACGAACTATTATGTGGGTGGGTATCATACTAAATATAAATATAGACGCTCCTCTTGGAAGTTTGACTCCTTGACCCTACATAGTTAGTATAGTATTATTCAAAGATGCACTTAATCAGTTATTGACTTGATCATATATATATATCCTATGTATTGTATTATATATATTAATTGAGAAGTAAAATTAGCAACTTTAAATTATAATTACACAACATAAAAATTCTAAAAATAATTGTAAAGTTAAATCAAATCCTAAGGGAATGTAGTACTTGTACAAAAGTCTAAATCAACCCTAATGAGTAATGACTATCATGAAGAAATTGATCTACCTCCGGGCGATGGCTCAACCGCTCAAGCACTAGAATTCAAAGGAATGGTCTTGCAAAGCTATTGACACCACTTCAGGATCAGGTTAGATTTGTTTTCATGTAAACCTTAATAGTCTTTCTTTGAACAAGAAGCCAACTTCAAAATTTTCACATTTACAAATATAACTCCAACTTGTATACGTTAATTCTCTGCCTAATTATAATTGATCTTATCCTTTAGGGGAAATCTGATAAAATTGAAATGATACAAAGAAGATGAGCATTGTCTTTGCGAAAGAGTAACATACACAAATCGAGAAATAGTCCAAATAATTGTTAAAGAAAACTTTAGCAAAAAAAGAAGAAGTACAATCCAACTTGTACTCGAAACTCGGGTTTAAATGAAAACTTCAATAGGTGTTTGGACATGTTATAGAATAGTTGATAATAGATAGCTAGTTATATTTTTTCAAAAAAAAAAATTATTTAGATACAATCATTATGTGACATTAATCCCATTAACAAAAGAATCATTTTTGTGACTTGACCAAAACATAAATGGAGGCGACACCCCACCCAATTTGTACACTATCCTCAAGCAAACCACAGAATTGCAAATTCTACGCTTAATAATAAAGAACTGGAAATATAATTCCCCTCCACATGCACAATAATAAAGAATAAATCAATCAGTTTCTTGACACACAAACACTTTATTTCCCCCCTTATCTTCCATGTCTCTCCCAATCTTACAAAACAAATTAACAGTTATACCTAATTTATAAATTTAGGCCTCACTTCAATACCATCAATCACAATGCCACCTTTTAGTTGATAGCCTTTAACTTCCGTGAGACTCATACTAACCTCATCATCCTCTCCTTCTCTTGTCTCAAACTCTCCTAACTCAATCTCCATCCACCCGTCGTCTCTTCCTTTTGGCTCCCTCCTTTTCCCGTCCCCGCCGACCGCCTTGACAGTCGACGCCATTCGCTCTTCTCGGTTCCCATAAAGCAGCCTCTTCAGTTGCTGTTTCTTCTCATCCACGCAACATAGATAAGCTGTGTTCTTAACATTTTGACCATTCTTGGATGTAACACAAGTCTCTGCCGGAACAAGGTCTAGTCCATAGGCACTTTTAGTTACTTTCACAATGAGGTATGCTCCGTATTTTGTGTTTGGCGATAACATTCCGGTTTGGATTTTACCGTTGATTTCTAACCTTTCTGTTGTAATAAGTTCAGCCGACTCCGAAAACCTGAGATTATTTAATATTAAACATTTTAGATAAAATAAATTTGAAAATCTACACAAAGCATAAATATGTTTATTTTACTAAATATAGAAACTGACCTAGAATCTGAGACATTGCTCCAAGACCAGCAAGATGCTTGGTCGCTCCTTGTTATAGAAACATCTCTTGCTGATAAAATATATGAAACTTTTCCAGAGAATTTATTGATCTTGAAGAGCTGAAATTTCATCACACAAAGAAGATATAATTAATTCAAATAATTCAAAGAAAAATCAATTTTCTTGTAGTTATTTTAAACTTTCAAGCAACTCATAAAGGTCAAACTTTTCGGGCATTATCGATGAGCATAGAATCGCAGAAACATCGATAAATCTCTTTTTTGGATGAGAAACTCCGATGAAGTTCAGTGGATTGAGAAATGAGGCTTTTGTAATCTGACGGCAGAAACTTCTCCCATACGAAATCAGAATCTCCGGCTAACCAGAACAGTGAAGAAACCGCCGACGACGAGAATGTGTCCGCTGGAGATGTTAATGAAAGGATGTTGGCTACGCATGCTTCAGGTAACATCATCTTTTTTTACTTATTTGCAAGTAAAAGAAAATAGTAATTCTAATGAATGCTTGAGAAAAAGAATGGTATTGAGTATTAAATATCTGAAAAAGATTGTGTTTCTGATTAGTGTGTTTGGCGTTGAGTTTTTGTAAATGTGTTGATGTGTTATACACTTATACTTGGAGTAGAGATGGTGTCAAGTATATATAGTACTATTCGCTGACCAATTTGGACCGAATGTCTATTTCATAGAAATTTCTTTTTTTAATATTATCGAGGTTAAAGACTTTGAGCATGGGCCCCGCCAAGGTCAAGACTTAAAAGTTAAAACGTTGTTGGCGGCGAGAAAATAAAAAGATTGGTCTTCGAAAAGTGAAACTATGCGCGTAAGAGAAAAACGCCTTCGTCCAAAATGGATGTTAATAAATTTGTAGTAATTTTTGTTTAAGACTTATGAATTTTGACGACAAAATAATTTGTTTTGTTAAGATGTCCATCTTTCTTTATAAAAAAAAAATGTCCATCTTTTAAACCAAATATTTTTTTTTTGTGCAACTATTTAATTCATTAACTTAAACGTGGAAGAAGAAATTAAGCATCCTTTTTCATTGTTGGTATCTTCTATGGAAATGCTCCCTCTTATATCAAGATTTGGGGAGTTTTAATTTTTCTTTGGGTAAAGATAGATATGTAACGATTCATAACCTCACGAAAAACGCGTTTCTCTTTCACATTCCCTCTGAGAAACTAAGAAGGCGAATTTTGCAGCATGAGTTGTGGAGGGTGGGCGATTCCCCGTTTTTTGTCACAAAGTGGAAAGTCTCTTTCACTTTGGATCCACCGTCGCTTCAAAGAGCTCCACTTTGGGCAAAAATTTCTCAGATTCCCTTTGACTTAATTACTGTTGAAGATTTATCGATTATATCCAAACTGTAACATCCCGGTTTGTGACACTGGTTTCGACCACAATGGAATCTCAGAGACAAGGTTTCTCAACCACTCAGCCTCTCTACCAGCAGCTGCCTGATCGCGGGATCAGGTCTTCCCCTTTCCTATCCCTGATTCTGCAAGTGCACAGGTCAGAAGTAGTAAACGGGTATCGAACACAAGGACCAGATTGCACACTACAAGTTATGAGTTTGAGAACAAGCTAGGGCAAAAGTATAAGTTGGTTGAGTGCAGAGAAAGTAAAGCATGCAAGTAATAAAAGTGAGATTCAATAGGAGAGAAAGGCTAAGCAATAGGATAGTCTTGAGATAAGCAATTCAAGAAGCATGAAATCAATCAATTAGGGTTACCGCACTTAGGTGCTAATCTAGAACTTGAAACACTATGGTATGATCATTCCACTGTCGAGGCTCCGACCCCTTTGTTAATCTACCTAGTCGCTAAACTTTTGGTATGTCCCTAGGTGATTAAATCAAGCATTAGTTCGATCAAGATCAATTGTTCACAACCTACAAGTAGATCAACTGTCGCAGTCTAAAAGAGATTGCCCACCAAATACTAGTTCAGGCGAATGATACAGCACTGTCGAGGCTCAAATCAACCTAAAGGCATATGCTAATTGGCCAGATTAACAACAAGCATTAAGTATAAGCAAAGATGGAGATTATAAGTAAAACCCTAATTGTGATCAATCATCAAGCATACATGAATGCTATCCTTTGACTTCCTATCACTTAACAAGTAAACTACTCAGACATAGAGAAGGAAACGAATTCATATTCATAAGAACAGAGATTCGAATCCTCTCTAGAAAGAGTAACAAGCAAGAACAAAGTAAAAGCAAGCAAAACTTTATTAAGATGTAAAATAGATTGTGGTCTCTCTCCTTCTTGAGTTACAAGGCTAAAAAGAAGTATTTATAATGCTCTAAGTATAAGAAGCGGCTAAACCTAATCTAGCTAGGTCGGCGCCGGCTTTGGGCTTGAATTGTGCGGATTGGGCTTCAAAAACGGCTTCGGGTCGACCGCGGCGTTCGGACGGTCGTCGGGACGGTCGGCCGGACAGTCGGGTCTTGGCCGAGTCGGAACGGTCGGGCCGGATGTTATGACGGTCGGCCGGCGTGGTCGGCGGATAAGATTTGGCCGATGGTTTCGGCCGGACCGGGCATAGTTTCCCGGCTCGGACGGATGCATCGGCGCGGTACGAGGTGAGTTGCGCGGCCGCGAGGCGTTTCCCGGCTCGCGCGCTTGGTCGTGCGCGGTTGTGGCGTGGCGTTGTGGCTTGGCCGACCGCGGGCAATGTTTCCCGGGTCGTGTGTGTGATCGGCCGAGTGGTTTGGACTTTGGCCGAGACTTCAGTCGGACGGATACGGTTTTGGCCGAGCGCGGAACATTCGTTCCTCGGCCAGCCGGACTGCGCGTTCGGCGCTGATTCTCGATATAGCCGTCTGGAGCAGCCTTCACTCTTTTGGCTATAACTCCTTTTCTACTCATCCAAATGAAGCCATTCCAGTTGCGTTGGAAAGTTAACTCAATCAGAGCACGCAGGGAACTGGTCTTGATGAAATCCATTGAGTAGATCTTTTTCTAGCTCCATCCAAAGTTGATGCAGGGGCATTGAACTGGTTTAGAGTCCAAATCTCCTGTTTTGCTCCATAATGCACCTTTTTACCTAAAATGACTCTTTGCACTATAAATCCATAAAAACTACCTTTTAACACAAGAATCCACTAGAAAACCATTTAGTAAAATAGCATAAAAAGTAGGTAAAATAGAGGTATATCAACTCCCCCAGACTTAGATCTTTGCTTGTCCCCAAGCAAAAAGAATCTAAACTAGTGAAGAGGTTTTGAAAAACGTGGGAACTCTCTTGCTTCTTTGAAAATCCTGTGAAAGGTTCCTTTCCTGTATTCCACTAAGAACATAGTCAACATAAGGTTAGCTTCACATACACCCTGCAAGTTTAGCAACAATACCAACCCAACTAGTCTCATCCAGCAATCCAAACTCTCTATTGTTAACCTCTTGCAGAAATTTAAAGCGTGAGTTCTTTATCAAGGGAAAATCGATCAATTGAACTTGTTCTTACCCACTTGATCTTCTCCAAGATTGTCTTTGAAGTGCAATGAGTTCCTTTCCTCTCTCTTTCTCACATCAGAACTTTGAAAGGTCAATTTCTCCCTACTTTTCTAGGGTATCATTTTATTTTTTCTATTGACCTTTCTTTCAACCACAGGATAAGTCTTTAGCTTGTTCCTTGTTTGATTTAGGTATTCCATAAGACATGAAGGTACAGACATATGCATTCCTCATGCTTACTTGTTTTCCTTGTGCTCTTTGAGCTTTTCTCATAAACATTACTTACCATTTGGGATGGGAGAGAGAGGTGAACTCTTTAGACAAATCTCATTGAAAATCAAGCAAGGAACTGTCGACATGTATGCCAATCCCCTTGACAAGAGTTATTAAGATTGATTAAGGGTGAGGTTAACTCTAGATTGCTTGGTTACCTTAGAAATTTCGCTGAGCTAGCATGCTGATCCACTCTAGGAGCTTCTGTTAGGCTTGTGCCTTCAGCTGATGTTTGCTCTAGGGTCATAGATTGTTAGCATGACACTATCAAATCTCAAAGCAAGTTCATTGTTCCCGGACTGGTTTTGACTCAATAAAACAGAAGTTTTGAAAAAGTGGGTTAGGAAAAACCAATTATAAGATCAAAACAACCATGAACAAACACATTAGTACCGACAATCCCCCCAGACTTAACTTGCACCGTCCCGGTGAAAGAAAATCCAATTAAGGGAGTTAAAGAAAGAGGTAATAAAGTGGTTGTGAATGTAAAAAGAAAGATGTAACCTGATTTGGTGTTACTTGAAGAATGGTGAATGCAGTGGAATGATGGTAGTGATGGAATGCAAGTGTGGTGAGGTGGGATGGGTGAGATGCAGATGGAATGAGATGGGATGGTGTGTTGGGCGGCTTGAGAGGACATGGGCGAGCGTGGAGAGGTTCTGCTCGGCCATCTAAGTCGCGCCAACTATGAACATTCTTCTTGTGGTATATCTTCTTTACCATTGTGTGGTTCTTAGATTCCTGTTTCCAAAACTCAAAACAAAACTAGACATTAACTAAAACTAATTGAAAAGAAAAGTAAAGAAAAACACCTTTCATGGGTTGCCTCCCATGCAGCGCTTCTTTTTGAGTCATTAGCTTGACTGATAGGATCTCTTAGTTGGAGATGGGGTAAGGGCACGGCCTGAGACATAGTCTTTTAGTTCTTGTCTCATTGTGACCTTGAGTGTGGTCTGGTGGCTCTCTTGGGCGGCCTTGGGCAGTGATGAGGTAAGACAGCTTGTTTGGTGCGATGAATGGTATGGTCTTGTAAAAGACTGTCTTGTCACATTGGCTAAGGACATTCGCCGGTTTGGAAGGTCCATGACAGCTCCAGCAGTGGCCAAAAAGGGTCGGCCTAGTATCAATGGTGTGTCACATCCTCCTTGAATGTTTATGACATGAAAGTCCACCGGGATCTTGATATCTCCAATCTCTAGAAGAACATCAACAACAACTCCTCTTGGCTTGGCTATAGTATGGTTAGCAAGTCCAATACTAATTTGAGCAGGTTGCAAGCGTGTGATGCCAAGGAGTTTGGCGGTTTGGGTTGGCATGAGGTTTATGCAAGAGCCAGAATCGCATAGTGTTCTATCAAAGTAATGACCATTTACTTGACAGGGAATAGAGAATTGACCTGGGTCTTCAATCTTGTAGAGGGTCTTGAAGGTTGGCTGAACTTTAGCTTTCTCAAAAAGCTCTTTTATGTCCTCAGGAGTCTCCTTGCAGTTGTGGAAGAAAGGGGTGAATGGGTAGTGGCGCCAAGCTTCTTTGAAAGACATGCTGGCTGGAAGAGTTTGGACAAACTGATTGAACTCAGCAAGCTTCTCTCTTGATATGGAATTGACATACCACTGAGGTGGTGGTGATGATGGTGGTGATGGTGGTTGATTGACTCCATGAGGGGCAATGGGAAATCGAGCCTTCCTGAAAAGTTGGTGTATCTCTTCTTTGTTTTCACTAGTTGTGAAAAAGAACTCCACTAGACCATGTTTATCCCAAGCTTCTTCAAAAGTGACATAGAATGGAAGTGATTTCACCTTAGCATTGAACTCTTTAAGCTTCATGGGGCTTATCTTGTTGGGATCAATGGGATCATACTGCCAAGTATCTTCTTCTTCAGTAGGTGGTGATGGTCTTTGCATTGCTTCCAATCTTGGAAGTGTAGAAGCTTGACTTCTTGGTGAGAAACGAGGGTCTCTAGGGCTTGGTGTATCCATGCTCTGTTTTGGGGAAGCATTGATGTCGATGCTCTGCTCTTCATCTTCATCATTCAATTGTTCCTCATACTCTCTTTCTTCTTCTTCATTGTCCTCATGGACTTGAGTAGTGCTTCTTCTTGTGATGGCATTACAATAAAAGGGAGGGTGGTTGGGTGTTGGACTCCTCTCTCTCTTGTAATTGGCATGAGATGATCCTTCAAGGGCTTGTAGGCGGTTGTAGATTGAACTAAGATGTTTGCTATTGACGTAACATCTCTTGTTCGCTCAAGAGGTGACTTTGAGGTGGTATGTGGCGAATTGGCATCGCCTTTATAGGGGAAGAGGCTTGTGTAAAATAGCATAAAAAGTAGGTAAAATAGAGGTATATCACTGCCAAAGCCACAAACTCAGATTCCATAGTCGAACTTGTGATACAAGTTTGTTTCTTAGATGCCCAAGAAATGGCACCTCCCCCAAGTAGGAACACCCAACCACTTGTAGAAGTATGATCTTCCACGTTGGTGATCCAACTTGCATCAGAATAACCTTCCAAAACCGAAGGAAATCCTCCATAACACAAACCATAGTCCATGGTTCCTCTCAAGTACTTGAGCACACGCTTTACAGCCTGCCAATGGTGAGTACTAGGATTACTAGTGTATCTACTCAACCTTCCAACTGCATATGCAATATCTGGCCTTGTGCTTGTCATTGCATACATTAAGCATCCAATCACTTGAGAATATTCGTGTTGCAACACAGCCTTTCCTGTGTTAGGCATAAGTTTCACACTTGCCTCCATGGGAGTACTTACAGGGGCACAGTTCAAATAATTGAACTTCTTTAACACTTTCTCAACGTAGTGAGATTGTGATAAACATATCCTCCCATTGTCACGCTTGATTCTAATACCAAGAATCACATCCGCCTCCCCCATGTCCTTCATGGCGAAATTTGATGACAAAAACTCTTTTGTGAGTTCCACTAATCTAAGGTTGGTACCAAAGATCAACATGTCATCCACATATAGACAAATGATCACTCCATTACTGGAATCATCAAACTTGCTATATAAACACTTATCTGATTGGTTAATCTTAAAACCAAAAGACAAGACAGCTTCATCAAACCTTTGATGCCATTGCTTAGGAGCTTGTTTCAGCCCATACAGTGATTTCACCAGCTTGCACACCTTGTGCTCACTTCCAGGCACAACAAATCCCTCTGGTTGTTCCATATACACCTCTTCTTCCAAGACACCATTTAAAAATGCAGTCTTAACATCCATTTGATGGATCACAAGATCATGAATGGCTGCTAAACCAATCAAGAACCTTATAGAAGAGATTCTGACAACAGGAGCATATGTATCAAAATAATCAATGCCTTCCCTTTGTCTAAAACCTTGTATAACCAATCGAGCTTTGAACTTATCGATTGCACCACCGATCAACATTTTCTTTGTGAAAATCCACTTGCAGCCTAAAGCTTTGCAACCAGGTGGGAGATCAGTCAGGAAATAAGTATTGCTTCCTACTATAGAGTCCATCTCATCATTTACAGCTTCTTTCCAGAAAGCAGCATCAATATGGAAGCCATAGCTTCACTGAATGTCCTAGGTTCATCACCAACTAGGTAACAATATGAGTATTGTAGAACAATCTCATCTCTTGAACCTTCTACCAAATAAATTTGGAATTCAGGACCAAATGATTTCTCAATCCTTCCTCTCTTACTTCTACGAAGTACAGGTGACTCGCTGGTTGTTGGAACACAAGCCGAGATGTTGGAACGTACGTTTGTACCATCTCCTTGTCCAGTTCCAAACGAAACCAGATCCTTTGGTCTAGGTATTGATGTGAAACGATTCTCATCAAATATTGCATCTCTTGACTCAATCACAGTGTGAACTGCTATAGAATCATTAGGTTCAATGACATAGAACCTATAAGCCTTGGAATGCTCAGCATAACCAATAAAGATGCAATCAATACCTCTTTCTCCCAAAGTTCTTATCTTTGGTTGGGGTAGTCTTACTACAGCCCTGCAGCCCCAAACTCGAAGGTAGTTCAAGTTAGGCTTCTTTTTGTACCAAAGTTCATATGGGGTTATCTTGTTCCTTTTGTTAGGAACTCTGTTCAACAAGTAACATGCTGTTAACATGCCCTCACCCCAGAAACCGTCACTCAATCCAGAGTAGGATAACATGGAATTAACCATTTCTTTAAGGACTCTGTTCTTCCTCTCAGATACACCATTTTGTTGTGGTGTATAAGGAGCTGTGACCTCATGTATTATACCCACAGACTGAAAGTAAGCAGGATCATAATACTCATCCACCTCTATCGGTGCGTAACTTCTTAATCAAGTTACTTTGTTGCAATTCAACCTCAGTTTTGTAAACCTTGAATTTCTCTAAGGCCTCATCCTTAGAGTGCAACAAATATACAGAACAATATCTGGAATAATCATCAATGAATGTGACAAAATATTTCTTATTCCCCAGAGATGGTGTAGCATGCAAATCACATAAATCACTATGAATCAGTCCAAGGACTTCCGATACCCTAACAATGCTATCAAATTTCTTCCTAGTTATCTTAGTCAACATACATGTTCTGCATTTCTCTACATTCATGTCAAAACCAGGAATTAAACCTTCCTTCGACATTTCAAGCATCCTAGCATAATGTACATGGCCTAATCTCATATGCCATAAGAAACTATCATTTCCGACTGTTGTTGGAACATGCGGATCAGTGTTGGAACATGTCATATAACTAGAATTGATAACTTTATTAATATTAAGCATATACATGCCATTACAAAAGTATCCAAATCCAACAAAGAGACCACGTTTGGATAATACATATTTATGAGACTCATACACTTGTTTATATCCAGACTTGTTTAAAACACTTCCAGAAACTAAGTTTTTCCTAATTCTGGGTACATGAATAACATCATCAAGATGAAGAGATTTTCCAGAACTAAACTCCAGCACTACTTTTCCACGACCAAGGATAGGAGCAGTTGACTCGTTGCCCATATAAAGAACAGATCCATCTTGCACTGCTTCATAAGTCTTGAACCAGCCACGATCTTTGCAAACATGTGTTGTTGCACCCGAGTCAATCCACCACGACACATCATCATCCTGCACATAACATGCATCAGATATCTTTGATACATAATACACTTTAGGGAATGTATCAATCTCAGAAATCTGACCTTGTTGTGGTGATTGGCCTTGATCCTTAGACCCTTGCCCAAAACGATTTTGAGGCGCCTTATCCTTATCCTTTCCAGCCCTACAATCACTTTTGAAGTGACTAGACTTGTTACAATTCCAACAGACAGGCTTAGACCTCTTGTTGGATCGATTGTGAGTGTTGTTGTTAAAAGGACGCTTCTTCCCTTTATTCTTCCACTTAGAATCATCATTTTCCTCCATCATGTTGATAGAAGAAGCCTCAGCCACTTTGGGTTTTCCACCCTCTTGCATCTCAGAGAATCCTCTATGCGCAAGTGGCTGCCAAGTTGTACCAAAGACAACTCTTCCTTCTGGTACTTTAAAGTTCGCCTGAAATCCTTCCAGGAAGGAGGCAACTTGTCAATGATACTTGACACAGAGATGGACTCATCCATCTTCGTATCATACTGAGAAAATTGGCCCAATATGCGAAGCAATTCATTGTATTGCTCCATCACTGGTCTTGTATCAGACGTCTTGTAATTGTTGAAATTACTCACAAGGAACTTCTTACTAGAAGCATCCTCTGCCATGTACTTTGCTTCCAACGCATCCCACAACTCCTTTGCGGATTGGACATTTTGATAGACATCAAACAGAGAATCAGACATACCGTTGAGAATGTGTCCATGACAGATGTAGTCATCATTCTTCCATTTGAGTTGTCTCCTTGCTTGCTCTGCATATTCCTCACTTGCTGGATCTACCGTCACAAGAGGCATCGGCATGCTTAGAACATGAACAACATTGAGTGTTGTGAGAAGAAAGTGCATCTTCTTCTGCCATCTTCTGAAATCGACCTCTTCAAACTTGTCTAACTTCCCAAAGTTGGTTGTCATCTCGCGCACAGAAACACCAGCCATCGTTCTCAGAAAATACTCTTTAAGATTGTTGGTTTATTTCCTCTGTTTTGTGGTGTTGGAACAGAGCGCAGGGTGTTGGAACAATGAAAACTGTGTTTCAGAGAGAAAAGTTTGGGTATCTTGGATTGTGATTGAATCCTGTACGAAGCAGTTTCCTTAAAGAGTATTTCGACCCTATACAGCCTTGGGTTACACGAAACCCTCGCAGGATAAGACAATCACGTCCACTCTTTGTCTAGGCTTAAGATCAAAGAGTAACAAGAAGAGATCTTGTGTGTGTTTACTTTGGTTGCTTTTGTGAATCAGATCTATCTCTGTAGATCTCGAATTTCTTCTTTTCCTTTGTCTCAGAGAGACAACAGAACTTATAAAGTTCTCATAAGGCCTCAACGAAACGTTTGCAACCGTTCGTTTAATGATTGAACCAAAGGTAACTATTCACAACATGTTGGAACACCATTGGTCCATGTTGTAACACCTTATTCACTTAAATATCCAATAAATTCTCGATTAGATCGGATTGGTTAGATTGAGCTGCCAACTTAAATTATTTTGTCTACAATAAAGAAAACATTGTTGTCCGGATGAAGTCTAACATAATAGAAAGAAGCTATAATTAACAAACTAGTACTACTAGACTATTAGTGTGTCTTTAGGAGATCCAAATTACAATAAAGTTTAAACTCGTGTTTGCCATTCTACCTACTCCCTATGTTTCATTGATGTTTTAGAAAAAAAATTTGTCACATAAAACTCGATGTTTTAGCATTATTTAATACACTTTTTATTGGAAATAGTTTAACTTTTAGGTGAGAGAAATTAGAGGGAGCAGATGATTGGATCATTTAAAAAATCAAGTGTTTTTTAATAATCAAAAGGAAAATAATAAATATATACAAAAGTGTTTTTTAATATCTGTGTTTTGTCTAAAATATCAAGTTTTCTAAAACAGAGTGAGTATATCAAATAAAAACACACACCCTATTCATATTTCAAGTTGGTTATGCTCCGGATTCACAACGACCGGTGGTTTGATTTACAACTGAAAAAAAAAATTATTTTATATGAAAATTATTTTGTAGTTTGAGTAATATTTTTATGTGAATTTGTGATATTTTTGAAGACGTTCTAAAAGTAACCATAATTTTTTGATAAATGAAAAACTTGTTTTATTTGAATTTTAAGGATTATAAGAAACAAATTCAATAATTTGTAACACATTTATCTTCTTCTTTTTTAGCCAAGGGTAACACATTTATCTTAGTTTAACAATTCATAGGGAAAAACAAGCAAAGAAAAGCACAAAGTTGCTTCGTGTTATTTTTTTTATAATTAAAGTTCCTTTTGATTATATTTGGTTTATAAATTAAAGGGTTTCTTTTGAATAATGTTTCAAAGAGAAAGTGTATTTAGCGACTATTTCCGTGAAACTTACAAGTTGGACATGTGATCTATTTGACATAAAGAATATACTCAAATAAATTCATCATGGTCAAAAACTTAACTTTATCCCTGTTTATATTGTATACTCATCAATACTAAGTTTTTAAGTCTAATATAATTTAATCGCATTCGACATATGCTAAATTGTATTGCACTACAAGTCTACAACTTTTGACAAGATATATAAACACAACATTAAAATATTAATGTATTACTTTTGTGTTCTCCAGGTTTTGAACCTATGTACACAGATTAAAAAAATTATTGAGAAAATAAATTTTAAAATAAAGCAGTTTTATCATAACTCCAACACAATTCAATCAATAAATACAGTTTTAAAAAACAATTTGTGAAATTTAAACAGTTAAAAGAACAAAAACTACAACTGATTTTCTACGTTGATTTGTGAAACCACCACTTAATTGTGAACCAATTTTTTTAAACTAAAACCCCATTTATGGAAAAGAGATGAAAAGAGGGATGCCCGCCTCAGACCCTACAAACTAAACAAGTTCTGCCAAAATTCATCCAGACTTTTGACATATGTTTATTTCCCCAATTTTTTCAATTTCTGTGATTCCACCAAATTCAATTAAATACTGAAATTGTGATCAATTCACCAAATCGTGTTTTAGGTAGATCATGTTTTGGAGGGAAATATGCATAAATTAATTTGTTTTTTTTTTTTTTGTCTGAGGCCTTATGGTCAAGTGGTTTTTTCTTTTTGTCCGAACGCAGTCAACCCAAAGGTTTTCAAAATATCTAACAACGTCTATTTATAACCATAACAAAGTTTGGTATAAACCCTAAAAACACATATATTGATATGAAAAAAATGGTATCTATACCTGTTAGAGGAGAAATTAGCACATTTCCCTGAGCCCGTCATCATTAGTAAAGTCACAAAGCCCAATCCGATTTTAGGCCTAACATCTTCAAGAAAAAGGCAAGACTTGAAGAGAAAGGCACAATCCATGGAGAAATGTAAATAAATCTTCATGCCGACTTAAAGAATGGAAAAGATCCAAAAACAAGAGGGATTTTCCATATCGCAAAAGAGGAAGTTTTCCATCTCGCCTGAAGGAGAATATTCATCATTCGGCCGACTTATCAACACTATATATTGAAGACCCCCCATGGGGAGAGGGATCCGAAATCATCTAGAATCACTAGGCTTTCACATTAGCTTTTACTCTATCCTCTTGTTCACCATCAAATCTCGCTAGGCTTGTTAGCGAGATTGCTCTCTTGTAACTTCTTGATAATCTAAGAGTCGAATTAAGCGTTCCAGTTTCCTAAACTCACATCTAAGATAGCCCGTCTTGACGAGTGCTATCTCGGATTCAACAATTGGCGCCCACCGTGGGGCTGGAAACGCTTCTCGCTATTCATCTCGAAGATATCTAGATTTTCACGAACTAGCAACGATGGTAACTCGAAAGAGAACACTCCCACCGGGAGCCCGTCTCCCTCAGAAGAAAACTTAAGCGACAGTCTACCACGCACGATAGACAAGTCGCTACCCGCTGAAGGTAGGGACAAGCCTGCTCCCTACAAGAAACCATCTTCTCGCCACAGAGATCCGTCTCGCCGCGAAGATCTACTTCGCCGCAACGATCCCCTCCGCCAAGAAAGGACGAGAGCCCCCCTCCGTCCGCACCACGCCGCTCGAGAAAATCTTCCTCGAGCGACAAACCCCGCAGCTCGAAGAAATCCTCCTCGAGCGAGAAGATCCTCAAACTCATGGAGAATCTCGTCAAGCCACTCGCCGACGGTTTCGAGTCAATGCGAGCACAGCAGAAAAAGACTCAGGAACAGGTGGAAGCCCTAGCACGAGAAGACGATGAAGATCCGTCAAGTCCCCTGACGGAACAACCCCGTCCCGCGCACTTCAGGCGACTTACCACCAAGAACTCGAACGGGTGAATCGTCGCCTCGACGAGGTCGATTCGAAAGTTCATCGCGCCACCAGCTCAGCTCCGGAATTGACGAAAGCACTCGCCGACACCCGAAGAAGCCCGCTCACCCGCAGGCTCCGCCAGATCGAGCTACACGAAAGAGTTCGACTCAAAATCGACTCTTACACCGGCGAAGAAGACCCCAAGAAGTGGCTAACCGCGTTCAACCTCGCCATGAGGAGGGAGAAATACAAATCTTACGATGAAAGGGAGGCCAACTACTGTCAAGTATTCGTCGAGCACATGGCGAAAGATGCCTTGACCTGGTTCTCTAACCTCCCCGCCGAGTCGATCGATAACTTCGACGACCTAACCAATGCTTTTCTGAAGCATTACTCCATGCACATGACCCGAATCACTCGGAACATGTTCACCACAACGCAAACCCAAGGCGAACCATTGCGCAGCTTTATGGAAAGGTTCAAACAAGCAGCTCGCGATACTGGCGACATGCCGATAGCGTCCCGCTAGAAGCACTCCGCAACGGCCTCTGGTACGACTCCAAGTTCAAGGAGGATTTGTCACTAAAACCCCCTGCGACTCTGGAGGACGCGTTCCACCGCTCTCGGAACTACATCTTCCTCGAGGAAGACCAGCGCTTCTACGCCGAGAAACATGGAGATAGGAGGGCAACCTCGACGAAACCCAGAGAGGAACCCATGGAGGCACGAAAAGATACGATCCGAAGATCTCTCCTCACAGCGTTCGCAGCAGCCGACGACGAGCCCGAGCAGGAACCGCATCACAAAAAATGGGCAACAGATGTCGCGACACCCGATCTCGACGACTCTGACACGTTTTGCCGCCTCCACGGAACCGGTGACCACTCTACAAGAAACTGCCGACGCCTAACTCGCGATCTCCTTCGGAGATACCAGCACGGGGAGCTACCACCGATAAAAGGGGACCGCTCTCGTCACAGACGAAAGCCGGCACAACCCGTAATCCCGGAAACACGCCGGATGACATAACGAACTACTCCGACGAATCAGGGCAAGAGATTAACATGATAATGAGCAACCCCATCCATCGCGATTCCATCTCGACAATCACGGAGCATGAATACGCAGCGGTGGAGCACGATCGCAACCCGACCCGCGAAGAAATCCCCACTATCATCTTCACGGATCAAGATACGGCGGGGCTGGATACCCCTCACGTCGACCCACTCGTGGTCAGCTTGCACATCAGTGACTCCAGCGTAGCAAGAATCCTGATCGATACCGGGAGCACGGTGAATCTAATCTACAAAGAGACCCTCAACCGCATGGAAATCAGCAGAGACCAGATCAAGCGTTCGTTGTACTCCCTCACCGGGTTCACCTCCGAACACGTCTCCAGTGAAGGCACGATCCGCCTACCTATCCACGTCGGCGGAACAACCAAAGCCGCCGAATTCTTCGTCATCGATAAACCAGCCATTTACAACGCCATTTTGGGCACCCCATGGCTCCACGAGATGAAGGCCGTCGTCTCGACCTTTCACCAATGTGTGAAATTCCCGGCACAATCAGGAATTTACACACTGAGAGGGAATCAGGGGGCAGCAAGGTCATGCTTCCTCTATGAGCGACGGCTCCGCCTAGCAGCAACATGCACCGCAAACGAGGAAATGGATCCACGCCTTCCATACCACCAGAGACCAAAGCCAGCCCTCGTCGACGAGGTGAATATCGACGAATCGTCCGGAAAGGTGCGTTGGCATCGGTGGCGACCTCGACGAAAAGATTAAAGAGCAACTGGTCACATTGCTCAAACAGAACGTGCACCTTTTCGCATGGTCAATGGCAGATATGAAAGGGATCGACCCGGCAATCACATCCCACGAGCTAAACGTGGACTCACTACAAACCCATGAGACAGAAAAGACGCAAGCTCGGCGCCGATAAAGCTCAAGCAGTCAATGAAGAAGTGGAAAAGCTACTTAGAGCCGGATCGATCACTGAAGTAAAATACCCCGAATGGCTAGCAAATCCAGTCGTCGTCAAAAAGAAGAACGGAAAGTGGAGAGTCTGCGTCGATTTCACAGACCTGAATAAAGCATGCCCAAAGGATAGCTTCCCTTTACCGCATATCGATCGCCTCGTCGAGGCCACGGCAGGGAATGAATTACTATCCTTCATGGACGCCTTTTCAGGATATAATCAGATCTTCATGCATCCCGATGATCGCGAGAAGACGGCATTCATTACCGATCGTGGCACCTATTGCTATAAAGTGATGCCTTCGGCCTGAAGAACGCCGGCGCCACTTATCAACGATTAGTGAACAAAATGTTCGCGGACCAGCTCGGTAGAAGCATGGAAGTCTATATCGACGACATGCTAGTCAAATCTGCCAGGCGCACGATCACGTCAAGCACCTCAGCGAATGTTTCCGAATCTTGGAAAGTACGGGATGAAGCTGAACCCCGCAAAATGCACATTCGCCGTTACCTCAGGAGAATTCCTCGGTATGTTGTGACCCAACGCGGGATAGAGGCAAACCCGAAGCAGATCTCGGCGATCCTCGACCTCCCATCGCCGACATCCTCCAAAGAAATCCAAAGACTCACCGGACGTATCGCCGCATTGAACAGATTCATCTCGCGCTCAACCGACAAATGTCTCCCCTTCTACCAATTGCTTCGATCAAACAAGAAGTTCGAGTGGGACAAAAAATGCGAAGACGCTTTCAAACAATTGAAAGAGTATCTCACTACCCCACCAATTCTCGCAAAACCCGAAGAAGGCGAGACCCTACTCTTATATATCGCAATATCAAGCACGGCGGTAAGCGGAGTCCTCGTCCGAGAAGATCGAGGAGAGCAGCAGCCAGTCTTCTATGTCAGCAAAACCCTCAATGATGCCGAGACGCGATACCCAACCCTAGAAAAACTGGCACTCGTCAGGCCGAAAACTCACTTTCAATCACACTCCATCGTCGTCTTTACCAGCCAACCACTACGCCAAATCCTTCACGGCCCCAACCAATCCGGAAGAATGGCGAGATGGGCAATCGAACTATCGGAATACGATATTGAGTTCAAAAGCCGGACGAGCGCCAAGTCACAAGTCTAGCCGACTTCATCGTAGAAATCCCACCAGAGCTCGCAACTCAAGAGGACGAGCAAATCCTCAAATGGACACTGCATGTCGACGGATCGTCCTCCAGGCAAGGAGCAGGCGTCGGCATCCGCCTCGTCTCCCCGACAGGCGAGATTCTCGAGCAATCGATCAAACTCGGTTTCCCAGCGTCCAACAACGAAGCCGAATACGAAGCGATTATTGCCGGACTTCGTCTCGCCGAAGCAGTCGGAGCAGAACACGTTCGTGCGTTCTGCGACTCTCAGCTCGTCGCTAAACAATTCAGCGGTGACTACGACACGAAAGACGATCGCATGGACGCGTATCTCAAACAAACGCAAAGACTTGCCAAAGCATTCAAGACGTTCGAGTTGACAAAGATCCCCCGTTCCGAGAATTCCGAAGCCGACGCACTCGCAGCCTTGGCGTCAAAAACCGAATCAGCACTGCGACGGGTCATCCCGGTCGAAACCATCGACGAACCAAGCATCAAACTCCCCAAGGGAACCGTCGTCATGGCAATCTCGCAAGAAGAAGAAGAAGACGAAAACCTCACGATGTGGCAGGATGAAATCAGAAATTACCTCATCAACGACGCCGTGCCAGAGGAGCGATGGGCGGCCCGCCGCCTCCGACGAAAAGCAGCTTACTACTTCTTACGCAACAACGAGCTTTTTCGCTGGAGCGCAAACAAAGTCATCCTGCGATGCTGCGACGAAGCACAAGCTAAGAGCATCATGGTCGAGACCCACGAGGGAGCATCAGGAAACCACGCCGGCGGAAGATCACTCGCTTTAAAAATTAAGAAGATCGGATACTTCTGGCCAACGATGATCGGCGATTGCATAAACGTCGCCGCCAAATGCGTCCCCTGCCAAAGATACGCACCGGCGATCAACGCCCCAACGCAAGCACTTCAAGCTGCGATCCCGGCATATCCCTTTATGCGCTGGGGAATGGATATCGTCGGCCCCATGCCACGCTCACGGCAATGCGCTTACCTCTTGGTCGTCACCGACTACTTTACTAAGTGGGTAGAAGCAAAAGCATACAAAAACCCAACGGCTCATGACGTAAGAAACTTTGTGTGGCAGTATATCATATGCCGTCACGGTCTTCCTTATGAGATCGTCACGGACAACGGAGGACAATTCGTCGCAGCAACTTTCCGAGAATTTTGCGCATCATGGAACATCAAGATCACTTACTCCACGCCAAGATATCCTCAAGCTAATGGACAAGCCGAGTCCACAAACAAAACTATTGTTGATGGATTGAAAAAAAGGCTTGAAGGCTACCAAGGAGCTTGGGCGGACGAATTGGATGGAGTACTCTGGTCGCATCGAACCACCCCAGAACCGCATCCGGGGAAACCCCATTCTCTTTGTCGCACGGTTGCGAAGCGCTAGCACCGGCAGAACTGCACGTAGCCAGCTTACGACGATCGTTAATGCCCCTCAACCCGGCATTGAATGACGACTCACTCCTGCATAGTTTAGACCACGCCGAAGAGCCGCTCCTGCGTATGCAAAACTACCAACAACAAGCAACCAGATATTACGACAGGAAGGTGCGAAACCGGCGCTTCGAGCTCTACGACCTTGTATCTAAGAAGGTCCACGACTTTACCAAACCCGAGCACGCAGGCAAATTCGGGTTCCATTGGGAAGGACCGTTTCGCATCACCAAGATCATCAAACCCGGGGTCTACGAGCTGGACGATTGTCACGGAAACCCATTGCCTCGTCCATGGAACTCCATGAACCTACGCAGGTTCTACACCTAGACGCGTCGCACCGCACAAAAAAAAAAAAAAAAAAAAAAAAAAGACATGTCCATGCATGAACATTGTAATGAACTACGTTGGCTTGATCCCGGCATGGGTACGTAGGCAGTCTTTCTCGATAAAGGCACAGCTATAAATTAATAAAAATAAATAGCTCTTTTATTTTTATGCAAGCACTTCTTACGAACCTCTTCGGAAGGGTTCCCGTCTCGGCAAGGACCCAGAAGTAACGACTTCTGCCCTCAACCGGTAACTGAGTTCCTACCGAAGACATCAGCAACGCAAGCACCGCACGCAAAGCATAATTCCGAAATAACGCAACATCACCGACGTTCTGGCCCAACGCTCGGATGCACTTAAACGCAGCACCCGTGGACTGATCACCCACAAAAGACGAGAGCACGCACCTCGCACGACACCAGCCCCTATGAACGAGAGACAAAATCGCTACCACGTTACACATAACGGACCATGGAATCGTTGGCATAAATCGAGCCCCTAGACCTCGTCGCCAAAACATGTGATCTACCGAATCACAGCACCTCAGACCTAATACGCATTGGTCGGTGTCTCGAATGAGAATCGTGACAGACTACGAAAGCTTCGAAAGAACATCACGACGCATCCGCACCGTCAAGAAAGCACTCGTTCGACACACTTGAGATTAACAAGCCATCTCGGCATAGGTAAGCCGTTTACCCGATGACGATCGAATAAACTAGCCTACCCCAACCGATTGAAGGCGTATTGTTTCTCATTAAAAGACATGGCCTAAAGCTGGGTTCTTTCATCGCGCTGTGAAATTATCAACTATGTCTAAGCCAATTTGTTTCGCCAACAAAGCAGCAAATAAAGCACCAAATAACGTCCAAAACTAAACCCAAAGTTTAAGGATAAAAGCCCTCCCGGGCAATTGTCACGAAAAAGCAAATGGGAAATATCAAAAGAGAAAAAAGAAAGATAATTTCGACTTCCTCTCCCCTACTTCGATTGATGACGCGACGGGGATCCCGGAAACGCCAGCTCAGCTAGGGTAGGCCTGAAAGTTCGATATATTGACCCATATTGATCAAAATTCCGTGGAACAATCCATGCGCTATCAAAGCAAAATTCAGCAAGACGAAAACGAGATCTAACCTTAAGGGCGGAGCATAGTCATCAGCTTCAACTTCGTCATCCTCAACCAAATCTCCCGGCCTTACTCTCCCGCAACCGGGCCGCAAGCATCTTCTCCACCGCATCAAAGTCCTGCTCGACCCCCTTTATTTTCCTGACATAGGAAAGAAGAGCCTCGTCGACTTGAATCCTAATCACCGCCTTCTCCACTGCATCCCGCTGACTGACGTATCTACCTATACGGTCCAACCTCGGAGTATACCAATTATGCATTGATTCGTACACTTGAGCAGCCGTCAACTCAGCCCACTTCTTCCGGGACTTGCGAAGACGAGCCATCTCGGCAATCGAGTTTTCCATGTCCCGACAGGCTTTATCCTCCAGTTGCGTAATTTTGTCCCGAAGCTGATTATTTTCAACCTCAAGGCTAGACACCTTCGCAACCTCACCTTTGAGAGCTTCTATCTTCTTTTCAAAAGCAATCTTTTCTTCTCGAAACCTAACTGCAGCCGCATCACCATCAAAGTTATCAAACAAATCGGCTTTAATTTGATCAACTCCGCTCCGAGCACCCTTGAGCGCCCCGTCATAAAGTTGAATCAACGCAGCAAACTTCCCTCCGGCTCTAATAAGATTATTAGAAGCATCATCGAAAGCACCCTTGAACTCAAGCTCACCACGCGGAACCCCCCAGCATGGCTTAGGTTTGCAACCCCAAACCATCTCTCCACTAAAGTCGCCATTATCCATTAAAGGAGCACCACCTTTCCACTTAAAGGAGACCTCCAGACTCCAGGATACTCATATCCCCGCCCTGACCAGTAGAAGCCAGTGACAGTCCGAGAAGAGAAATCGCCACTGGTGACACCCCCAAGAGACCCCAGTGACTGAGGAAGATCACCTAGCTCGCAGGAATCTGACCTCATCCGCTTGGATAAAGGATCAGAAATCAGGATATCATCATCCACCAAAGCCGGAGCCCTTTTCCTTAAGCCTGTCTTCCTAGCAACACCCGGCAACTTATCTGGAAGACATCAGGGAGCGCGATTTAAGAGCCGGACCAGGCGTAAAAATTCAAAGGCGATGATCAAACACTCACCAGGGAGAGGAATCGCTATAGCAATAGCCTTTCCTTTCTTTTCCTTCTTCTTCCTTTCGGTCTCGGCAAACGCATCCGCCCAAGTCTCTCTACTCAAGTCGCGTAAAGTTCTAAACTTCTCCTTTAGAGTAGTATTTACTTTCCTTGGGACAATCCTTCCTGCATATCAGATAATGGGGGCGTAAGTTAGCATACGAAGCAACCGCTAAAAATAAGGAAGAATTCACAACCACTTTACCTGGCTCCTGGACCCATTTGTTAAGACGTGACTAGGATCGAAATCCCCGACCGAAGCACGGTCGACCTTGACAAAAAAGTAGTAGCGCGTCCAGTGATGAATCTTCGTTCGATGATCACCAAAAACGATGTCATGTTTCATCGATGTGTGGAAACGCTTGAAACCTCCTTCCTTAACCCCAGCACGAAGATCAGTTATACGCTCAAAGAGCTCCCTGTCTAGCTTCATCCCGGCTGCCTTCGCCAGAGCGGCCGAGAAGACCATATGCCGACGTGACTAGGATCAAAATCCCCGACCGAAGCACGGTCGACCTTGACAAAAAAGTAGTAGCGCGTCCAGTGATGAATCTTCGTTCGATGATCACCAAAAACGATGTCATGTTTCATCGATGTGTGGAAACGCTTGAAACCTCCTTCCTTAACCCCAGCACGAAGATCAGTTATACGCTCAAAGAGCTCCCTGTCTAGCTTCATCCCGGCTGCCTTCGCCAGAGCGGCCGAGAAGACCATATGCCGCACTACACCATGGGTCAGCTGACTCAACGCTACACCCCGCTCATACGCATACTCGAGAAGTAACGGGAGGACCGGAAAACGTATTCCAAACTCCGTGAGGAAGCATTCGTAGAGGCAAAACCATCCAGGTGGAGCGTCCATCGGCCTTTGGTCAGGTAAGGGAACGAGAATCTTGACCGCGTCACTGATTCCCACCCTCTCCCGCAAAGCGATGACTATATCTTCGGTCATCCCCGATTGACCATCCCGAGCCAGAGATCTTGACGATGATCTCCACGGCATCTCAATCTTTTGAGGGATACCATCGAGCCTAGCGCAATCAGGGACTTTCTCCTCACCGAGCTCAGGATCGGATCCCGTATCCTCGTGCGGAATTCCCTCGCAAGAACGGTCGCCGCATTCCCCGTTTAGAACCTCGGATTCCCCTTTAACGGATGAGTTCATCGCCTTCGCCAAACCCACCGTCTCGCAAATCTCCTTGGGGCATTATGCTCAAGGGCCGACGTCGACATCGATGAACTGGTCTCGATTTGTACCATCGAAAGCGCGAAAGAATAAGGTAGAAGGAAGGAAATGCAGGTCAGGGCAGCGAAGGAGATATTCGCTCTCCCTCGAAGGGCACTTGGTGAAATCGGTATCACGAAAAAGGAATAAGCACCCTAGGAAATCCTAATCGTTTCCTTAAATAAGAATTCCACGATTCTTAGAAGAGAAGGCTTCTCCGAGACTTTTTCCTGTTCCCGCCCAAACGATTTCACCAAAACTCGAACCAGATCATGGGCCGATTAAAACCCATTACTGATTTCTACGAAAGAAAGCATTTTTGGTCGCGGCAAAAATCATTCGAAGCAATTACTCATGAATTAGATGACGTCAACGTACTCTTTTTCCTTTTTATGGTTTTTGTCCCAATTGGGTTTTTCCGTACCAAGGTTTTAATGAGGCGGCACGAATCTACATTCAGCATGCACCTAGGCACTAAGATCCGATTGAAGTGATGTATTTTACTAATGATTCTCAAGCTCGTCCTCTATTCATGAAGCTCGCCGAGATCAAACTACATTTGACCTGCCGAGCTGGCGGGGGGACTTATTGTTAGAGGAGAAATTAGCACATTTCCCTGAGCCCGTCATCATTAGTAAAGTACAAAGCCCAATCCGATTTTAGGCCTAACATCTTCAAGAAAAAGGCAAGACTTGAAGAGAAAGGCACAATCCATGGAGAAATGTAAATAAATCTTCATGCCGACTTAAAGAATGGAAAAGATCCAAAAACAAGAGGGAATTTTCCATATCGCAAAAGAGGAAGTTTTCCATCTCGCCTGAAGGAGAATATTCATCATTCGGCCGACTTATCAACACTATATATTGAAGACCCCCCCATGGGGAGAGGGATCCGAAATCATCTAGAATCACTAGGCTTTCACATTAGCTTTTACTCTATCCTCTTGTTCACCATCACAATCTCGCTAGGCTTGTTAGCGAGATTGCTTCTTGTAACTTCTTGATAATCTAAGAGTCGAATTAAGCTCCAGTCTAAGATAGCCCGTCTTAACGAGTGCTATCTCGGATTCAACAATACCCTAAAAGACGCATTTTTCAAGTTTGGCTTTAGACTTTTAAAATTATTTTTTGTTTTAGTAAAATTATTTTCGCATTTGAATCAAAATAATTGATTAGTGCATTAACGAAAACATATCCTGTGTTAACGAAAACCCAATGTGGTAGTTTAATATGTTCATAATGTACTTAATTATTTCGATAGATTGAAAGAAGAATTTATGAAGCTTTCAAAATCTAATGAGTACATTATGAACATGTTAATCCCGCTTCTTCACTACTAGACTAATGATGGCAATATAGCATTTATTTTTAGTTAGGTCTCAGCTAATTCGCTGCCTAAACATAACTCCAAATTGTACGTTAAATTTTAAATAAAATTCGGTTTAAATGAAAACTCCAATTCATACTAATATTTTATTTTATTTTTTGAAGTATTTATTTGGATCTTATCATTTTCATGACCAAAACATATATGGTTGCGACAACCTTAATTGTTATTATCCTCACGAAAACCAAAAAAAAAATGAAAATTTGAACATTCTACTCTATTCAAATAATAAAGAATAAATCAATCAGTTTCTTAACACAAACCCTTTATTTCTCCCTTATCTTCCATTTCTCTCCCAATCATACAAAACAAATTAATAATTATACCTAATTCAGAGATTTAGGCCTCACTTCAATACCATCAATCACAATGCCACCTTTCAGCTGATAACCTTTAACTTCCGTTAGACTGATACTAACCTCATCATCCTCTCCTTCTCTTGTCTCAAACTCTCCTAACTCAATCTCCATCCACCCGTCGTCTCTACCTTTCGGCTCCCTCCTTATCCCATCCCCGCCGACCGAATTTACAGTCGAAGCCATTCTCTCTTCTCGGTTTCCGTAAAACAGCCGCTTCATTTGTTGTTTCTTCTCATCCAAGCAACATAGATAAGCTGTGTTCTTAACAATTTGACCACTCTTGGATTTAACACAAGTCTCTGCTGGAACTAGGTCTAGTCCGTAGGCGCGTTTAGTTACTTTCACAATGAGATATGCTTCATATTTTGTGTTTGGTGATAAAATTCTTGTACGGATTTCTCCATTGATTTCTAACCGATCTGTTGTAATAAGTTCAGCCGACTCCGAGAACCTGAAATTATGTAATTTACATTTTAGATACAATAAAATTTGAAAGCAGCATAAAAAGTTTTATCATAAGAGAAAAGAAAAAAAGAAACTGACCTAGAATCTGAGACATTGCTCCAAGACCAGCAAGATGCTTGGTCGCTCCTAGTTATAGAAATATCTCTTGCTGATAAAATATATGAAACTTTTCCAGAGAACTTATTGATCTTGAAGAGCTGAAATTGCATCATACACACAAAATATTATTATTTCAAGTAACTAAAAATAAAATTCCTTTTTTTCTTCAAGTATCTCATAAAAACAAACCTTGCGGGCGTTATCGATGAGAATAGAATCGCAGAAACATTCATAAATCTTTTTCTTGGATGAGAAACTCCGATGATGTTCAGTGGATTGAGAGATGAGGCTTTTGTAATCTGACGGCAAAAACTTCTCCCATACGAAATCCGAGTCTCCGGCTAACCGGAAAACGGAAGAAACCATCGACGATGAGAATGTGTCCGCTGGAGATGTTAATGAAAGGATGTTGGCTACGCATGCTTCAGGCAACATCATCTTTTTTTACTTATTTGCAAGGGAAAACAAAAATCTAAGAAATGTTAATGAATACTTTAGAAAGAAAATGATACTGAGTTTTCAGAATTTGAAAAAAATTGTGTTTAAGAGTGTGTATGGCTTTGGGTTTTTGTAAATGTGGTGATGTGTTATACTTGGAGATAGAGATGGTGTGAAGTATATATAGTATCATTCGCTGACCATTTTGGACCAAATGTCTGTTTCATAGAACTTTCTTTTTTAAATTTTATCAAGGTTAAAGACTTTTAGCACGGGCCCTCCGCTACGGTGGAGACTTACATTTGGGTTGTTGGCAAAAAATATATAAAACGTTGGTCTTCTTCATAAAGTGAAAATACACGCGTAAAAGAAAATTGCCTACGCGCAAAAAGGGATGTAAATAATTTTGTAGTAGTTTAAAGATACTTGAATTATGACGACCATATAATTCATTTTGTAAAAATGTCTGTTTTTCAAGGCAAATATTTTTAGGAAATTAACGTGCTATATGGTAGTTTTTACGGTCATAATTATAGGAGTGGGTCTCAAGTTTTATTATAAACTCAATATTTTTATTAGTTTCTTCGCAATTTTTTATATTTAAATTAGATGTTTAAGTTTATTATATCTGTAAATGCAATCTAGTTTCGGACCCTAGAATATGTAATACAATATTAGAAATTCTATGAAGTCAATCTAGATTATATTGGATTGGTCAGATTCAGCTGCCAACTTATATAATTTTATATACAATGATAAAGTACTAAGTTAAAGGAATGATACTTTGACAAAGAAAACGTTGTTGTCTTGATGAAGTCTAGTAACATTAATAGAAGGAAGGTATTATTAAAGAAAGTCGTAGTAGTAGTAGTAGTATAGTACATTTCTTGAGAAAGCGCACAAATTGTCCTAAATTCAAAGTGGTTCCGTCTTGGTCTTGCCCAGGGACCGGTGATTTTATTTATAATTCAAAACATATTTTACGTAACTTTAGATGAACATTATCTTTAGTTTGAGGGTAATAATTTTCTTAAGTATATTCTGATATTTGAGAAAACGTTTTAGAAGTAATGATATTTTTTGTTTGCCAAAAACAAATTGTTTTATTGGTATTTGAGGGATTTGATTGTCTTTTTTAATAATTCATCATAGTTTAACAAATCACAGGAGAAAGAAAAAAAGGGGTACAAAGATAATCCTTTCTCAGAAAAGGTACAAAGATGCCTCGTGCTTTCTTACTATTTGTTTTCCATAATAGTTACAAAGAGAAAGTGTGATTAGTGACTATTTCCATGAAACTTACAAGTTGGACATGTGATCTATTGGACATAAAGAATATACTCGAACCCATCATCAAGGTCAAAAAGTACTTTATCCCTTTTATATTGTATCCTCATCTATCGGGATAGTTTATCCATTAACTTACCACGTGCAAACTTTTAACATTATTACGTATTCAATACTAATTAAGTTCCAAGGTCTAGTTTAATCGCATTCGACATATGCTAAATTGTATTTGCTTTATAACTTTTGACCAAATATATAAACACAACAATAAACACTACCTATGAACAAAAGATGTAGCAAAGAACACTACTTATGAAAGCGATTGCTTTAAAGACGTTAAGTTACAGTAAGTCCTCTATTGGCCTGTTTGACAAATTAATTTGGTTTTCTTCGTTATTTCCTTTACTAGGACAGTTAATTTCAAACAGTGTTGAATATTATAAGATGAAGCCATTGGATGTTCCAAAGAAGAAGAAAAAATGAAGCCATTGGCTTATAAGTCTTGATACCCTATTGGCCTATTTGGCAAATTATAGTAATTTTCTTTGTTTTTCCCAAAAGAAAAGAAAGAAAGAAAAAACATTAAAATCTTCGCGGTGATTACAATACAGTTAAATTCATCCAGTGTTGACATTTTATAAGATCAGTATGCCATCGGTATTTGACGACATAATAAGAAATGGTGGGTTGGTATATAGTTTGACTCCTCTTACATTTATCTGACTTATCCTAAGAAACACCTATATGACTTTTTATCACTTACGTATACGGTATATCATAGTAAAACTCTCTTAATAGGTTATCTCCATCAATTTACATAAATTACATCTTCTAGTAATTGAACTTCCACAAAACTTTTAGTTGAGTTTATTTATCATGTAAAATACGACTTACATAATTAGCAATCTGAAGACTAGTTCTCAAATTTACGATAACTCATCCTAAATATAGCTAAAGACCATAATGGCTAAGAGATCATAGGGTTGGTGCTATTTAGTTTGGAATGCCTAAAATTGGGTCAAAACTTGGATGCTGATTTGATTAGGTTCTGGACCAAACAATGAGTCCTTTCACATTGAAAGCTCTTGTGTTAAACTTTATATTTGAATCGAATCATTAGCAATGTGTATCATCTAATTGACCTTTTATTATAATAAGATAAGATATTATACTTAGTTTACTTTTCAACCATCTTAAGTTTACTTTACTTCTTAATCATCTTTTTTTTTTGTTCAAAAGCATTTCATTTCATTAACTGCGCCTTAACTCCTCAACCACTGAAAAGTTGCGGAGTGATTGTTTTGCAAGAGAGTCTGCCATCACATTGGCTTCTCTTGAAATTGAAACAAACAACACATGAGAGTACAGAGAAGAGAAATGCGAGATATCTTGTAGAATTCCGAAGATCTTGGATTCGTGGCTGCCTGAATTGATGGCGTTGATGAGTTTTTATGAGTCTGAGGCCACATGCAAGTAGTGGAAACCCAGATCTAAGCCGTGTTCGAGAGCGCTCCGGATCGCCAGTCCTTCCGCTATCAACGGAGATGCGACGTTTCGCTTCGCTAGGTTCTTTTGAGAGATCAGATTCTCATTTTGGTGGAAGGTCCAACCCATTCCTCCGAGCTTCCTTTCTTCATTCCAGGCTCCATCTGTGTGGCAGCGGATGTAGATCTCGGGTATTCGGGTTCGTGGGGCTCTCCTTGGCAATTTCACAGCGGACGATTCCTCCTGCGCTTCCTGCCATTCTCTGGCCCGTACTAACGCGAGGTTCATCGTTTCCCGGGCGCTGAAGCTTCTTCTATTGAAGATCTTGTTGTTTCTGGTCATCCAGATACTCCACATTATCCAGGGAGCAAGCGTACCTTCTCTGATTCCTGTGGGGGGAAGGCTTATAGCTCTGTTCAGGGCTTTGACTCCATCCTTCAAATTGGTGAGATTGCCTGAGTAGATTTGGTTGCGGAACGGTGCCAAGCTCCATACCTCCTGCGCTAAGGGGCAGTGGAAAAGCATGTGGAGCGTTGATTCCGGACTGCCACAATGGATACAGTTTGATTGTGGGAAGATTCCTCTAATCGCCAAGTTGTTCCCCACCGGTAAGGCTCCTTGGACAGCTTTCCATAGGAAAATTTTTAGTTTTGGTGCAAACTTCCCATCCCATACCTCTGATATCCAATTGAATTCGTTTCCAACTGCAGGGATGTGAATTGGATTCAACTTTTCTCTTGCTGTGAAATATCCTGACTTTACCGAGTAATCCCCTGAGGGTTGCGGGAGCCAAGCTAATCTATCATCCGAGTCATAAGACCCTAGAATAAGGCAGAGGATCTCTTCCATATGCTGCGGTAAGATTTCATTGATTAGCTCTTCATTCCAGATTCCTGAGTTAGGTAGTAGTAGATCTGATACTTTCATGTCTTTAAACGCTTCTAGTGCTGGTCCCATTGGTCTTATAGGTTCAGAGGTCGAGAGCCACGGGTCTTCCCAGATTCTTGTAGATTTCCCGTTCCCAATGATCTTTCCTAGTTTGCCTTTCAAGAGGTCTCTTCCTGTTATGATCCCTCTCCATCCATGGGAGCTGCCATCTGCTAGGTCACAATCTAAAAAGTTGGAATTCGGGAAGTATTTGCCTTTAAGCAGTTTTGCGAGGAGACATTCCGGGCTTGTAAGGATCCGCCAGCTTAGCTTACTGAGAAGGGCATCGTTGAAGCTCTGAAGGTCCCGGAGTCCTAATCCGCCTTCTCGTTTTCCGAGTGTAAGCTTATCCCATGCGACCCAACACATTTTTTTTTTTCCATCATTTCCATCCCACCAGAATCGTGTTAAGACTGATTGGATTTTTTGACACAGGCTCACAGGGAGTTTAAAGCAAGACATTGAATAAGTGGGCATGGAAGAGAGGACTGATTTGAGCATGACTAGCTTTCCTGCACTTGAAAGCTGTTTTGATGACCAAGAGATGGCTCTCTGACATATTCGATCTACAATGGCATTGAATAGGTCCTTCTTCCTCCTTCCAAAAGCTTCTGGTAAGCCAAGATATTTCCCTTGTCCTCCTTCTTGGGTAATCCCTAATAGATTCTTGACTCGTCTTTTGACATTCTCAGGTGTACGTTTGGAGAATGTAATCGCAGACTTTTGACAGTTGATTTTCTGTCCCGACGCTTCTTCATACTTTCGTAGAATCTCCTTTAGGGCTTTGCAGGTCCTCTCGTTTGATTTACAGAAGAACATCGTGTCGTCTGCAAATAGTAAGTGATTCACTTTTGGTCCTCTTTGTGCAATTTTGATTCCTGAGATTTGACCATTTGCTTGTGCCTTGTGACAGAGTCCCGATAGTACTTCACTGCAAAGAATGAAGAGGTATGGGGATAGTGGATCTCTTGCCGGATCCCTCTAGATGGTTGGACATGTCCCTTTGCTTTCCCATTGATGAGGAATTGGAAGGTCACCGTTGTTACGCACAACATTATCCAGCCTATCCACTTGGTATGGAAACCCATTCTCTCTAGTACTACTTTGATAAAGTCCCACTCCACTCTATCGTAAGCCTTGGTCATATCGGTTTTGATTGCCATTGAACTTCGTTTTTTCGCTTTTGAGATTTTCAGGAAGTGGAGGATTTCGTGGGTTATCATCACGTTGTCCGATATAGCCATTCCCGGGACAAACACTGATTGATTCTCCGAGATTAGACCATCCAGGATCGGATGAAGTCTTGCTGTAAGTATCTTCGAAATGATTTTATAATAGACATTACACAATGCTATTGGCCTATAATCTGCCACTGACTTTGGAGCTGTTTTCTTTGGGATTAGGCAGATGTGAGTGGCATTGATTCCTTTTGGGAGGTGTCCTGTTGGTGAAGAAGTTCTGAATCTCGGTGGTGATGTTTCCCAGTTCGAGTGAAAGAAGCTGGCTGAGAAGCAGTCTGGCCCTGGAGCTTTGTCGGGATGAATTGAGAAGATTGCAGCATTTATCTCTTCCGGTGTAGGCATCTTTATGAGCTTTGCATTCACTTCATCGGTAATCTTCGGGGAGATGCTCTGCTTTACTGTTTCCTCTCTGGATCCGGGTTGAGAGGTAAACATCTCCGTAAAGTACTTTGTGATAACTTCTGATATCTTTGCTTCTTCATAGACTGGGTTTCCTTCTTTGTCTTCGATTGCTGATATGTTGTTTCTTGCTCTTCTCCCCTTTGTTGCAGCATGAAAATAGCCACTGTTTTTGTCTCCCAAGCTGAGCCACATTTGTCTACTACGCTGTCTCCAGTACTCCTCTTCAGCTTGGTAGGCTTCTTTTAGCTCTTTGTTAATTTGGTCAATGAGACTGTCATTGGACTCGGAGCTGGTCATTGCTGTTTCTAACTCTTCTCGTTTCCTTTCTATCTTTTGCTGGCTATTTCTGTGGTTTTGCCGATGCCATACTATGATGGCTTTCCTGCAGCTTGAGATGCGTTGTTCTACATCATTAGATGGGGAAGCCTTCCATGCTTTTTCTACTAGGAGCTTCACTTCTTCATTGTTTCGTAGCCGTCTGTCATACCTGAAGAGTCCTTTTTGCTTCCGTTTTGTGGGAAAGAAGAAAGAGATGATTGGTCTGTGGACCGACCCTTCAAATCTCAAGTATTCGCTTCGTCCGGACGGGTAAGCCTCGATCCAAGCACTATTCGCCATAGCTCTATCTAGTCTGCACTTTACGTTATGTTTATATCGTATTCCCCTCCAGGATAGGAAGTTTCCGGAATATCTCAGATCGTAAAGATTACATTCCGACATGAATGATCTGAAGTCGACAAAGGAGCTCTCGGCTCTGGCTGGACCCCCCACTTTTTCCGAGTTGTCGAGTATTTCATTGAAATCGCCGGTTAAGAACCACGGTGTCTCACGGTTAGTCGTCTTCCTCTGGATCTCTTGCCACACTTCCTTTCTGTTTGATTTCTCTGGCTCTCCATACACAAAGGTTGCCATAAATGTTTTCCCTTGGAATCTCACCTCTGTATCTATGAAATTGTCGCATTGATACATGATCTTGAGCTCTACCTCTTTCTTCCATAGTAACGCTAGTCCTCCTCCTCCTCTAGCGTACGGTGGGACCAAGGCAATGTGATCGTAGTTTAGACAGTTAAGTTCTTTGAGAACGAATGCATTTGAATTTTTCGTCTCCATGAGGAATAGAATTTCCGGGAAATCATTTTGTTTTTTGATTTCCTGCAGGCGACGAACTGTCGGTGGATTCCCCAACCCTCGACAGTTCCAACTTACAATCTTTAAGGGAGATGACTGGATGGATTTTGAAAACCCATCCTCTGCTTTGAAATAGCAGGTATTATGGAACATGACGGTTGCCCTTTTGCCTTTGTTGGAGCTTTAGCGTTTGATTTCTTTGAAGTACTTCCTAGCAAAAGTCTTCTCTTTGGTGAGCTTGCAACTTGTGTCATTCTTCTTTTCTTTGTAAGTGGTGGAGAATTTGCAATGACTTTCTTTTTATTTGGTGGTCGTCCCAATCTCTTTTTTGCAGGCACTCTTGATGGTTCCTCTTCTATAGGAATGTCCGTGAGCACTGGTCCAAGCCAGAGAGTAGCTGGGACTCTTTCATGCATCAGAGGTTCCAAATTTTTCTCCTCTTCTCTTTCTGCAGTGCGTTGTTGATGGTTTCGGATGGAATGTATAACCATCTGTATTGCTGTTTGTTCGAATTCTCCATTCTCCTCTGCTAACCTCATTCTCTCTTTGCGAGCCGCACTTTCAGTAGGATCCGCACAGATTGTGTATTGAGCCATCACTTCTCTTACTTCTTCTCGTGCTTCTGTTAGAGCTTCAACTGGGAGGTCACTGATGGTGGGAATGAGACGCTCTGAGTGAGTGGCGCTTCTGGAGTGAGTAGATTCTGCTGGAGCTTTTTCTTTGACTAGAGTCCTGGTGGTAAGTTCTCCACTTCTTCCATCTCCACTTCTTCTGTCTCTTACTGATTCCTCCCTTCTTTCACTCTGTTTCTGCTTGTAGAGTCTGCCAAAACCGAGTTAGCAACTCTGCAACCTGTTTCCACCCAACGGGGAGCGTTGTCTCCATACGGCTCGTAAGGAGGAGGGTTAGTCCTAGATCCAGATCTATAGGACGGGTTCCTTTCTTTTCCCCGGTAAGTGTTTCGACTCCTTGAATCATAGGACCATATATCTTTGTCTGGGCCTTCATTGTAGATAGCCTGATATCTACTGCTTAATCTTGCCTTTGAGCTCATCCTCCAGTTTTCCTTGTTTCTGATTTCAGCTCTCTGCCTCTCTGAGACTGTTCTTGAGGAGTCTCTGCTAGGACGGGAGGAGGGAGTCTCCCTACGGCTTGGTGGAGGCGGCAAAAATTCCTTAATCGGGGCCTGAATCGCCTGGTTTTTGGGGCATTCCACTTCCTCGTGGTCGAGCATGCCACATTTCGCACAGTGTTTCTCCAATTTCTCGTACACTAACGATGCTTCCACTTCATCTCCGTTGGCGAAGTCCAGCGTGTAAACGTTTAGTAGCGGGAGGAGTCCATTAACGTGAACTTTCATCTTGGCGTGAGCCTTGGTTATTTTCCCAGGATTCAAAGCTCCCCAGATCTTCTCCAATACTTCTGAGCATCACCTCGCTCCATAAGTGCACTGGTACCTCCTGAACTTTTATCGAGAACGGTATTTGAGAAGGGAAGGTAGACGAGACTGTTGGTTCCCATTTTTGGAGAATGACCATCCAATGCGCATAATGGTAAGGCCTGTTATCTAGGACCAACTGCATGTCCTCTTTTGATGCGAATTGGAATTGAAATTTGCCATGACCTAAGTCTGCGCCTATTGCAGGTGAACTTGTCTTCCAGTGCTCGGTGAAGAAAGGGATGAGCGACCACATTCTCTGGATCTTTGGGTTAGTGATTCTTCCTATCACCGTTAGAGCATGCTTCTTCACTAGATCTGAGTTATCAAAGTCGGGAACTTTGACTCTTCCGGAGCGTGGCGGATCCGCCGGTGGGACTAGCGCTTTCCCTTTCTCTGCTTGTGAGTATCTCCTCGCCATTGCAACCGAGCAGCGATGTAAATCCAACCGTGTAAAAATGTTTCAACACCACAAGGGTGAGAGTTTTTCAAGTGGTTTCCCACCGAAGGTTTCCTGAGAAATCAAGACAAGACCAAGTGTAATCTCAAGAGACTTCCTTAAGAGCACTTGTTCTGGGAGAAAGAGTCATACCAGCGGAAGCTTGAGAATTCATGGAGAGGAGGCTTACCGGAGCTGTTTCAGGCGGACCCTCCGACCAAAGTCGGGGGCTTGAACCACGGTTTTCCGAAACCAGGCATGGTAATTTTCAAAAAACTTTCCTTATTTGGCAAAACAGGGTGGTTGAGAAAAGAGACACAAATGGAACCGGCGGGTAAAGATTATCTCGGGAGAAGTGCCTGGGAGCGTTTGTCAACTCTCACCTCCTACTCAACATAGTATACTTCTTAATCATCTTAAGTTGCCGAAACTCGTTGTCAACAAGACAATTGGCTAAATTTGGAATTTATTACTTGGTTCTCGAGTACTATATTCGGTAGGGTCGAATAGTCACATTTGTCCAAATTATATATGAAAAAGACACAACATAAACACATTGACAAAGCTGTCCTGGATTTGAGTGAACAAATTAAACGATTTCAATTTTAAGGATGAGTGACCTCTAGAAAAATGATATTTAGTATTATGAATAACGAGACAAAACACACACACAAAAGTATCTTGTAGTGATCAGTAAAATCAATCGAGAATATCATTTTGGTTCTATGAATAATGCACGACGTCGTACGAACATGGATCCAATGTAACTAGAGGGATCATGGGGCCACTAAATACTAATTGACAGTTTCATAGTTGAGTCGTTACAAATGATATTAGACCGAACTAAATGACTATAAACCACACTAAACTCATCAAATGGTATTGCCGGCTCTTAAGGATCCTACACTACAGGAAAATAAGACATTCTTAGCCTCTGAAAAACGCTATATAACGATAGGATAGCGTTTTGACAAGCGCTTTATCATCGCCTGTCATTGTAGGTCAGACACTTTAGATAGCGGTTTTTCGTATTGTTATTGTTTTATCATTTACTATAGCGCTTTGAGATTCTAAGCCAAACTCCAAAATTGTTTTGCGAGTAATACTTTATTAACATCTTTGAACGATCTTTGTTTTATTCTTCTTTGCGATTTGGGGTAACATATATAGCTTAGAACATGATAGGAAACGCAACCATTTGTATCATGATAACATTTTTTGGATGTCGCGTATTTTTAGGGCCATGACGTGCCAGGTCGCCAAATATACGACTTCTTAGAAATACATGTGGTTTTGGCCATTTTTATGTTTTACATTAAGATTTGACTATGATTTTCTGTATCTAATACTTGAAATATGTTATACTTGTCAATAACTTCATGTCCATATAGTCAGATTTCCAACACTCAGCTATTTTATTTCCAAGGATTACATTGAGATAACTTTAAATTTGATTATCTAACAAAACTTTTAAAGAACTTGGTGGTTTCTTAATATGTTTATGTGTCACACAACCGGAGTTCAATTCTCTCATTTGCATTCTATATCATATTTCTAATGCTTTGATTCTTGAACTCTCTGTCATATTATAATTTATATAGGATCAGTATGCCATCGGTATTTGACGACATATTAGAAGATGGTGGGTGGGCATGTAGTTCGACTCCTCTACCATTTTATTTGACTTTACCCCAAGCACTTATATGACTTTCTTACTTACAATTGTTTTTTGTTAAACCATGCACGCACGTACTTATCTTTATTTATATAAAAATTTCAAATGGATTATGAACATATTACTTACAAATAATTATACTGTTGTATTCCATTTGAAAACTCATCACTTGATATAATTAAAATATGTAAAAGTAACAAATGACATTGTGTTTACCATATGATACTCATGTTTTTCACCTAAAAATATATTTTATAAACGATTACATAACAAAAAAAATTATCTGTTTTACAAGAATCCACAACACATGGCTCTACCTACCATGTTTACAATGGACAACTTTGATCTTAACACATATAACCAGAAAAGCTTTACTTATAACAAAGTAAAACTCTCTTAAAAGCTTATCTCCAACGGTTTTCATAAATCCCATCTTCTAATCATTGAACTACAAAACATATTTCATTTGACTTTTTATATCATGTAAAATACGACTAACATAATTAGCAAACTGAAGATTCGTTCTCATATTTACGATAAATCATCCTAGATATAACTATATAAAGACCCTAATGGCTAAAGAGACAATAGGGTTGGTGTATCAAAAAAAGAGACAGTAGGGTTGGTACTACTTAGTTTGGAATGCCTAAAATTGGGTCAAAATTTGGATGTCGATATGATTAGGTTCTGGACCAAATAATGAGTCCTTTCACATTGAAAGCTCTTGTGTGACGCATTCTATTTGACTCGAATCATTAACAATCTGTTTCATCCAATTGACCTTTGTTATAATAAGATTAGATATTTACTTGGTTTACTTTTCATTTTTCAACCATCTTTTGCCAAAACTCGTTGTCAACTAGCAATTGGGCAAATTTGGAATTAATTACTTAGTCCTTGAGTACTCAATTTAGGTTCGAATATTGACACATTTGTCCAAATTAAATATACAAAAGACATTGTCCTGGATTAAGAGAAAAAAAAAAAAAAAAAAAAAAAAAACTGATAGACTTCACTATTTTCAAAGATGTGCTTCACTGGCTTGCACTTCCATATAACCAGAATTACTTAAGCTAATTAAACCAAACCGGTTCAACCCATAATCCCTCACCGGTTAAGAGAATTCAAAAAACTTTGTGAACATTGCTCACACAGAAAGCAGACCAAACCAAATCCACCAATTATAAGATTCATCTACAACAAACAAAGAGGTAAAAGAACGAAACAAAATATGTAAGATGAAAGTTGATAATTAGTCTAAATTAACCACGTTCTTCTTGTTTCCAGCTTCAAGAAACTGCCTCAGGAGTCCAATTGTTTTACGGTAGAGATTCATATCGATTCCATCCACATTTCTCCCTGTTCGAGCCTGCAAGATCGCCTAACAAAAACAGTATATAAACCAATTTCAGACTGATTAAGCTACCAAAGACAATAGCATGGAGCAATTTATTCGTTTAATAAACAAATTTCAACCTCATATTGTTACTAACAAAAGCAAAATTTGCATTCAAGAAAGATTAGAGCATTCTACAAAAGCAAAATTAAGCTCCCAAATATTATTTCTTGTTCATCTTTTGGTATATCCACAAACAGAAACAAGAAAACAGAATTATTTTATCTAACTTAACACTCTCTAAAACAACTAACCTCATGATTGGGCTCAATGTGGAGCTCTCCAATGAATTGGTAGACTGAGCCAACTCGTAGACTAAGATCTTTCAAGTGTTGAGTGCCGATTCTGAGACTTTTGTTTCCATCTTCAATAACACCAATACCTGTTTCAACTGAATATCCTCTCAGCCTGAAAAATAAAATAAAAAATCAATCTTTTAATCGAAACCGAAACCAAACCAAAAACCCTCAATTTTCCTCGAAAAAACTTACATTCCTGTGACTCTGATTGAAGCGGCTTCCTTGTAAAACGGAGAAGAAGGGTAAAGCTCTTGTAGAGTAATGGCAGCCGCAGATTTAGTTTGAGGATGCGCCATTGATTGATAAAACCAAAAACCCTCGATTTCGATTCTCTTTTCGTCTTTCGATTTTAAATCAAAGAAAAGAATCATACTTTCGTGAAACCCAGAATCAGTGCGTCATCATACACAAAACCCAATCGGAATCAGCGCTTAATCGAAACCCAGTGGTGAGGAATTGAAGAAGGAGAGTGAAGATTTTTACCAGAGGAAGAAGCACGGAGAACGATGGCTCAGTGGCGACAACGCGGAGACAAATAAATTGAAAACGGCATGGTTTTTATTTTGTAGACACAGTGTGCAAAATGCGTGCCGTTTTTACAGATTTAATCTTCTAGAACAGCAGCATGTTGTAGATGTGATGAACATTAGAAAAGGATGAATTTAATGTTAGTTTTCTTTTAATCTAATAATTTCGATTACATATTCCAAGTTTTGTTTTTGACTCAGTCATTTTTTGTAACAGTTTTATATAAGTATATTAAATTAAGTCCCGCATATTTTAAGATTTTTAAAATAAATTACGAATAAATATTAAACAAAGATTACTCTAAAAAGTAAGTAAATAATATTAAGAACACAATAAGAAATTTCTGAATAAACATAAGATAGTTTAGTGTAAGGATTCTATAATAAAAATATCATAATATATATATATATATATTTAAAGAATAAATAATGTTGACGCGACTTTTTTTCTAACCCTAATTTCTCTTTGCCTTCTCTCTATCTAAGAGGCGGCGCCGCCATCTTCTGGAGCTTTTTGTTTCGTTAGATTTCCTTTGTTGTTCTTGTTTGTTGTGTCGCTTAGCTCTCTTTGGATGAAAATGTTTTTAAAACCGGATCGGATGTCGAACCGGAAAGATCTTCAGATCATGGGTCAATATGATTCAACCAAGTTTTTAATATAAATTTTATTATATATAAATATATATATATATATGTGGCAATTAGTATTTAAGTGTATATTAACAATTAATGTGATTTGCTTATTTTTCAATAAAAATGAATCAAAGAAATTACATGTCATAAACTATATCCTTTTTCCTTTCCAAACAGCGCCACCTACCTCTTCGTCTCCTTCCTTACTCCTTTTTCTTTCTTCAAGTTTCTGTAAAATTGTTCTTCTAATTTTTTATTTTTTTTTACATCTTTAGTTTATTGTTTTTTTTCTTAATATCATATGAAAACTGACAAGAGAAAATCAACACTAGTAAATATTCAAGTTTAATACCTCTTCTTCTCCTTCCTTACTCCTTTCTCTTTCTTCAAGTTTCTGTAAAATTGTTCTTCTAATTTTATTTTTTCTTACATCTTTAGTTTATTATTTTCTTTCTTAATCATATATATGAATAGGGTCAGCCCTCTCCATATGATTGACATGTGGATGCTCAATAAATTGACACATGTCAAAGAATTTGAAGAGAAAAGTCTCTTCACATTCTTGGTCGTTGCAGTCATTAACACGTAAGTTTTTCAAAACCGTCAGTTGTTTCACCTTCCACGTTGCATTAACACTGCATTAACACTCCATTGATTAACATGTGGCATGACCTTTCCTCTTTCTTTCAATTCATAATTGTAATTCTTATTTATTTGCTAAACATTTCAACTTCTCATAATAAAACTACTCTATTACTCCAAGGCTATTACCCTTCGGTTTCCGTCGTTAGTCATTATTAAACATTTAAATTCTTTTAATATACAGACACGGATCCAATAAAGAGCGATGGCGGAAAATCATAGTGGCGGGAATAAACAAAGAGAGTTGAGAGCACATAGACGTATGGTACGATAGAAAAATATATATTTGAAAACCAGTCGTTAACCAAACAAATTGGAATTAAAATACGGATATTATTTGGATTACAATGCAGATATTATTTGGATCAAATAAAGAGCGATGGTGGGAAATCAGAGTGGCGAGAAATAAACAAAGAGAGTTGAGAGCACATAGACATGTGGTACGATAGAAAATATATATATTTGAAAGCCAGTCGTTAACCAAACAAATTGGAATTAAAATGCGGATATTATTTAGATTAGAGTTTATAATATTAGTCGCAAATCTAAAATTGTTTTTGAACATTTTTAAAAAATTATAACAATAGCAAAACCCGCGCGTATGCGCGGACATTAGTCTAGTATCATATGAAAACTGACAAGAGAAAATCAACACTAGTAAATACTATAATTATGAAAAACACATAGTTTTGATTTACATGAATACGAGGGGTGTGATGAAGCTTGGAATGGACAAAAATGGAGTGGAGTATAACAAAACCGGGTTAACTGATTACTCAAACCGGCCAGTTTCCAAGTTTTTGCCGGTTTTTATGGGTCAATTATAATTACGGTTTTCCCTTAAAACCAAACCGGGATAGACACCGGTTCCCGGTTAAACCGGTCGGACTGGCCGGTCCAGTCCGATTTTTTAATCCATGTATGAAACTGAATCTGCTGCTCCGAAAGTTTATTCTTCCAGATCTGGTCATATATAAGTGATCTTAAAGCTAGTGGATCCAGGTCTATAGTAAGTATCTTCAATGTGGCTTGGCTGTAATCTCCACGAGGTTTCTTTTTCGCCCAAGATATGTGTTCCAGATCTGGTTTTCCACCTGCTTCAACTATTGCTCCACCATCCTTGCTTCGTATAGCTTCTGAGGAGATCACTCTGGTTTGGTTGGTTCCTCTTTGGTTCGATTTAACTTTTTCTCTTTCTCTGGAGATATGGGATATCCGTTTTGGTTCGTTTGTTCCCTGCCGCTTCCTTTCCATCTGATCGAGAGCTCATAAGGCCATTGGCGCTTTTATCGAGGCGTATCATCATTGTTTTCGTCGCATCTAGAAGATCAAGTATGTTGGCCGGGTAATGAAAGCTAGTCTTATGAGTTGGAAGGTTGTTTATTTGTGTTTGCAGGGAGATCTATATTACTGTAGATTGGCGTGGTGGGCCAAGATTAATTGTGAAGGGTTTCTAGAAGTTGTGAAACTTCTTGATGAGTGAATTAATTTAAGTTGGTGTTGTTCTTTACCTTTGTTTAAACTGAGTATATTTGATTCGTTTATTCTTTAGTTACTTTGCGTTTAAATTTGCCTTGTAGTTTGGCCTTTGACTTTCCTGTGTGGGCATTATTTATGGGAAATTTTTGATTTATGTTAGCTTAGTATTCTAACAATATATCTCGAAAATGTACATCAACTCAATTTCACCGACCTCGTTCCCCGAACCGTTGTAGGAATTTAGGCTGTTGACAAAAAAAAAAAAAAATCTCGAAAATGTATTCCACATTAATTTCAATAAACTCTAAATAAAATAAAATAATAGAATATTGATAAATTGTTAATCATCATTATAACTTTGAAGCCGAAACTTTTCAAAAAGGAATTAGGCAGTAAATTTACATGATACTTTTTTATCTTTGTTCTTTTTGTTGTTCTTATAATAGATCAATGGCTATAAAGTGGTGCAATCAATATGATATTACGGGTGATTTTCTCGTAAATATTCGGAATGGGCCTGTTTTTAGCGTAAACAAGAAAACAAAATTAACCTCCTATATGGCTATATTTACTTCCTAAGACCAAAATAGTATGACACGTTTTCCAAAAACCAATCCATGTCTTTACCAAAAAATAAGAAAACAAAATTAACCTCCTATATGGCTATATTTACTTCCTAAGACCAAAATAGTATGACAAATTTTCCAAAAACCAATCCATGTCTTTACCAAAAAAAAGAAAACAAAATAACCTCCTAAAAATTAGTGACTTCTAAATTTGGCTAAAATATTTTTTACTATATAAATAATCTAGAAAACTCTAACATTCTCACCAAATTTTCTTGTTCCCGATCTCAACAGTTTTTTTTTGTGTTGCTTATTTTCACTTTCTTACGTTATGGCATCTCAAATGTCGAAAAACATTTGTAATGTCTTGGTCATTGTACTTTTATTTACAAGATGTTTTCAGCACATGTCTCTCATTCCTACGTGATAGATGTGTGTGTAAAAGATTGTGTCATGAATCAATGCATGAAAGCATCAAAAAAAGCAACACCAGCCATATGTAAAGACCCCTGCAAGAAAATTTGCGATCCACTAAGGAATTCAAAATACATCGTTCCAGCTCGAGGTGGTAACGATCCCGTAAAAAGGTTTTGCAGAACTTTTAGTTGGATATGTTCGTAATTGGGAGAGTACATGTGTAAAAGTTTTTATTTTAATGAAGATAGTTATATTTTCTATCATTTTTGATTGATTTTATACTCGTGTTATTATTTTAATAAGAAAATATATGTAATTGTGTGAAGTCCGATAACCTCATTTGAAAACTCTTAAAAGATGTTCATGTCAACAACACATTCAGTCATTCACATATAGATGATTGCAAATTTGTAAACAAACCGCAAAGATTAAAAAATCTTGAGAGTCCATTATGTTGGCAAATCCATATACGAAAACGACACCCTTGTGGTTTCAAGTGAGAAACTAATCCAACTCTCGATATTTACTTTTAATAAAAATGGTTAAAATATTATAAATGTTATGACGTTTTGAGTCAACGTTTGTAGTTAAGGACAAATACATAGTTCATTTTAGCAGTGACTTCCGATTTGCAGGTTTGACTTGCATATTTTTTAAGTTGAGGGTTAGATTTGCACACAAAAAATAGTTCGCGGTTTTTTTGCATAAAATCATTTTAAATTTTGTCACAAATATAGAGATGTCTTATATTGCGGGGTTATTTTGACTTCATATGTTTGATTTGCACAACTTTAAATTGAGGGTTTGATTTGCAAAAAGAATTTAGTTTGAGGGTTGTTTTGCACAAAACCCGTTCGCGGAGACCAACCATGGCTACGAAAACCATGAGCTTTAAAGCGGCGTTTTGGTAGCTGAAAACGTCAAGGAGTTTGATGATAGGCCAGAGAAACAGCAAGATGGTGAAACGAATCAGACCAGAGGCAACAAAGGCCAAGAGCATGAAGTAAGAGAACGAATCCTTGTTTTTCAGTA